GCGCGCGGCATATGATGAGGAGCAGCGACGACCCGGAACTGGCACGCTGCATTATTTATGTGCTGGGTGAGAGATGGGTGGACCCATCTCACGTATTTCACCTCGTAATAAATGCAGCCCGAGTCGCTTTGACCCACCCACGTGTGACTTTGGCTCGTGATTTTTCATGCTTTCTTTTGCCCCCTGCTTAAAAAAAAAACGAAACGAAAAATTCATATTACGAGAGAGTGAAAAATTGGATTCTCCCGCGTGGCCCCGCCTTTGTTGATGCGAATCTGATGCTGCCTCTTCAGGTGCCAAATGATCGTCCAGATATCATCGCACCTCTGGGAGGGCAAGCAAAAAAAAAAAATGCCAAAGCTGAAGCATTCAACGTAACTCGAGCTTATCCTCACGCGGCATTGAGGCAAAATTTTAACCTTTCATTGAAATGCCAAGTATTGTTTTACTGAATTTAAATCTTATTAAAAATATTTTAACTTCAAATTCATTGTCATGCGTATCAATTTTATTTCCATATTATTTGATTATTTATTTAAAATTTTTACAGTTTTTGAATAATTTTAGGCAGATCCGGGGCGTCGGTTGAATGTCACACAAATCAGAGCAATGGGCGTGAAATAAAAGAAGCGTTCTGAAAATTGATGGTCTCGTGCTAATTAATCGTCTTGCTGGCTAATTATGTTGTTCGTGGTCCGTTCGGGCGGTTCTCGCCAATTGTAATTAATCAATTAAAAGCATCTGCGATCGCGGCGAGAGGCCAAATTATTGAATCGCGCCTCTCCCTGTATATAATTTGGCCGGCACAATAAATAATTTTACATAACTGGGTGTAAAGAAGATTCTCGAGTGAGAAACGCTGATTTTTTTTATTCAAACGGCCTCGCTGAATCTTTTACAGCCGCGCGCAAATAGTGAGGCTGCTTTCGTTTTCTCCTTGAAGGGCGCAATTTTATTGCCGCTGCCACTTTCTCGTTGTACAGTTGAATTGTGTTCAATTGAAATATTATTCTTTTTAGCATTAACATGCGTGAATTAATAATTGCCGTGAATTTAGAGCGACTTTGTTCTTGCCAGGGCGACTTTTTGTGCGGAGAACAAAATACATATCGAAAGTGGTGCAATTAAAGCTGCGAATTCGAAACATACTCTAAGGAAGACAGATTAATGCGGCGGTTATTTTTTATGAGAGCACTTTCAATTTTTCGAAATAAATTCAATGTGTAATTTGAACCGACACAAGACTTGCGATATGCAAATATTTCAGCAGGACAAGGCTAAGTTCGGTGATTAATTTTAATGTACCAGTGTGGTCCAAATTAATTTAAAGACATAAATTATTAAACTTGTGTATGTAGTTAAAAATTCATCTATTTTCCCTCTTCCTGCTTGAAAATTGATTAACTTTAGTTATTGGTTTTTCTTAAGTGTAAAAATGTTAATCTTGTCTTTGGTTAAAAATTTAAATTTAATCCATCAGAGATCTGAAAAAAAAAAATTTGTTAAGGAAGATGGATTTCTCTAAAGAAAATTAAAATATCCGATTTTAAGAGTAAGAAAATTAGTAAGTGAATTAAATTGACTCTCTTTTGGCCAGCAAAATATATTGAATGGTTCAAATGTGCATTAATTCGACATAATATTGTAAATAAAAATACACAATTTTAGGTGTAGACCAACGTTTTTTATATGTGATGAAGTCAATACTTGACTCTTTCTGGGTCAAATTATGACCTATAATTGTAACTTAGCCTTAAACCACCATCTTCATTGCCTTGGAGTGACACAAGCGTATCTTTTTTCCATTGATATTTGCAATATTTTAAATGATTAATCACAATTAAACATAATTATCATCTGCAATTTTCCTTAAGTAAATTTTATAGTTTTTCAATATATCATAAACATTGTGTTAAATCTTAAAATTTTACGCGTGCATATTATATTTTATGTGTTTTGAGAATGAAGCAGGAAAATCTTGATGATTAAAGTCATCACTTATAAAATATAATTTTTTAGTGAACTCAATTTGTAAAATCGAACACAGAGAGCATCCGCATATCCACGCCAAAATATAGCCACTTGCCGTCAAGTCTGCTTTTAGAAAATAATTTGCTAATTCAATCGAGCGCGAAAAGGTCGGTTATAGAAGACGTGAGTGGTCCGCTAAAAGTGCGCAATCACACGGCCGTTAAGTAAGAGAATTAAGCAGAAGTTTTATTTTGGGTGCAGGAAAAATTTATGTACGTATACTGATGATATGCAACGCGCGGCGGCTCGGGCTAGAGAGGAATATCCGGGTTGGGTGACTGACCCTGGCTGTGCGAATTTATTTTTCTCCTCTTTTCGCGGCCGCCGCCGAGGAGGAGAGAGAAATCATCTTTTTAAACACACCACTTTTTTTCCAAATAAAATTACCGCGGCGGTCGATTTGGGAATGAATTTATAAAATGTCGGTGGAATGCAGGACGATCGTCTCGTAAATTAATTCGGAGCGGGCGTGAGACCAATTAGCGCTGCTCTTAAAGCACGCAACTTCTTCTTATCCAATCAGCACCTGTTGCGCCCAGCTTGCTACTCCGCGACTGAGCCCACGGAGCTTTATTACTAAACACATCTCTTTCTCTTCGGCTCGTTCGGGCGCGTGTGATTTTTATTTGCGCGCAGCGGGCGACTGTTTCTTCACACTGATTCAGCTCTTTCCGTCGTGTTTAATTGACACTTTCGCTCTATGCACGTGATTTAGTGCCTTCAATACGGAAAACGGGCCACTTTGATCAAACTCGCAGTGTTGATTGGGGTTTGTTGCGAAAGTAGATTTTTACTGATGTTTAGTAAAAAATTTTTTAATTAATTTAATTGTAAAATGTTAGTACTACTGTAAAATTTGTTTAATTAAATTTATTTATTTATAAACTTTTATTAAATTTTTACAGTAATGATTTTTTATTTTATTTAAATAAAATTTGTTTAATAAAACCAAATTTGTATAATGCTAACCAATAATTGTGTAATTATAATTTATTAAAAATATTTAAACGTGATTTTCATACTTATAAAAGCTTGCCAAATTATTTTTCCACAGCGCTAGTAAAAAAATTAATACAATTAACATAAAATACTTTAAGAGCATTCATTTGAATCATTATGTGAAAGGTTAAAAATTTTAAAGACAAATTATTTAAAATTTACAAAGATAGTAATTAATACTTGAACAAAGCTCATGATCACCTGAGACCAATCAAAGTTTCAAATTTTTTGGCTCTTCTCCTGCGCTCTTTTGCTCCGTTACCCGTTCCCTTCATAAGAAGTAGGTAACACAGAAGAAATCAGTCATACATCTGTTCAAACTAATAGCCAATTTAACTAACAGATGTGTATGCTATAAAATTTTAAATTTTAAAGAAAAATTACAGCATTATTAAATAAAAAATATGATTGTACATCAAATTTCCTAATTAATTAACATTTATTTCCCTGGACATTTCAATAATTTATGTTTTCAAATTACGATCATTAAAAAAAATACACTAAGCCCGTCAATTACTTGAGCACCCCATCAAATTTTATTCATCCAATATTGCCCTAGCATAATTATGTTCATTTTTACGCCTGCACATATCGTTGAATGGAGCTTTCGAAATGTGGCGCAGATTTCTCCAAATCGGCAGAAAAGCGCAAGGACCGGCCGAGCGCTACACCCACAATTTAACTGCTGCTCATTCCAACTTAGGCGTTTATAATAATCACAGTAATCAACGCTGCGCTTGCTGAACGAAGGGAGCCTTCAAATTCCCTCACGTTTCTCATCACGCAGGTCCCGTTGCTTCATTTTCATTATTCAAATTCACCTCTCGGCTGCTCTGATATAGACGCCGCCAGGCGTGGGAGCAGAAATAGTGAAAAATTACGTTTCTTTTCCAAACGAAGGTGGTGATTTTTGAAAATTTGGAAACGTCTCAAATAAGCAGCTTTGACTGCCTGAAATTATTTATAAATTTTACCAATTTTACCTCCAAAATATTCATACAGATTCATTTTAAATTTTCCCAGTCGGTGTGAATTTTAAGTGTGTTTATTTATTGCTGACGTATTCCCAATAAAAAATTCCTATTTAAAACTTTTTACCAAATCATCTTCAATATATAGCTTTTTATAGCCAGTTTTTCAAGATTAATTTTTATATTTAATTTTCCGTCTTGTGAAAAATCCTTTCTTATTATCTACTAAAGATCAAGTTTATCAACCCCTTGGCGTTTGAAAACGTAATTATTAATTTAAAAAAAAACATGCTTTTTTCTACAAAATTGAGTTGAAGTTAAATTTAATTGCTACCTTTTCAGTACAAAACCCCCCATTTTGCTGTCTAAAGCAAAAATTCAATTTGAAGCGGACCACTTAATTTTTTCCAGTGAATTTAATAATTATTTTATTTATTAACGTCCGCGGCGAGAGTGGATATATAACTGTGAAACTCGGTTTCGAGCATCAGCGCGGGTCAAAAGATCACGAGCGAGCGGCCACACCGAAAGAAATTCGACGAACCGCCTTATTTGAATATTTTAATTACTACACCTCGTCGGGGCGGTTTGCTTGGGAGAGAGAGAGTGAAAGAACTTGGAAGAAGAAATATGATGCGTTGTAAATTTTGGAAAGTCCACTTATTCGCCCAATAATTGTTTTTGCATCTCGCTGGGCCATAATTTATGACTTAATAAGAATTCGGTCGGTCAGCCGAGAAAGTGGCGAGGGGCACAAAAAAAAATCAATTTGGCGACCCGGACGCCCTGGCCTGCGTGCAACCGAAACAATAATAATCAGCAGCGGAATGTGTATAATTATTTTTGCGCGGCCCCGCCCGCTTAATTGTGATTGATGGTTCGCCGATACTCTTGCCGTCCTATTAGACGGCGTGATTGATTGGCCGCTCAAAAGCGCCTAATTACTCCCGCAGCCTTGCGCTAATTTCCGACTCAAAGATGTGATGGTTCGTGTTTCAGCCGACTCGTCCGCCCCCGCACCCCCGAGCGAAGCCCTGGCGCACTGTCTCGAGAGCTTGAGGACCGGCTCGACCACCCTTTTGTCACTTCAAAGGATCAAAGAAGCCGCTATGTAAGTTGATGTTTAAAGCACATTGCAATTTTAACTTTTGAATAATTTTTAATTTATATAATATATTTTTTAAATAAATTATAAACTATTTATTAGTATTTTGTAGTATTTTGTTTTACAACTATGTGTATAAATAAAATTTTATTATTTATTTTATTAATAATATATTAAGTTTTAAATTTTTATTTATTTTAAAATTAAATTAAATTAATTTTACCTATACAAGTATTAATATTTTAAAAATATAATGTATTTCTTGTGTCCTAACAAAGATTATTGAGGTGTAATATCTTTCACTATAGGTTGCTCTTAGAATCCCCAGCATGATAATTAAATAATTGCACAATGCTATTAAATTACAAGCTTCATTTTTTTAAATTCGAAATAATTCATATTATAGTATGAAGGGAGTATTATTGGATGCAAAAAGTTCAAAGTTAATGATAACTTTGACCCTCGCTTTTGGATGACATCATGCATGGGGCAAAGTAGCTCCCTTAAATTTAAATATTGTTCACATTAAAAATATTGCATGGATTCTCATCTTAACCATGAAAAGTTTCAGTGGTTTCAATTAAAGCAACTTATTAATGAAAATAAGGGTTAGAATAATTGTAATAAATTGAAAACAGGCCTAGTCTTATTTAAAAATTATCCTTTATAATTAATTATTTTCCCTATTTTTATAATATATAATAAAATTGTTATAAAATTTGCAGCAATCTGCAATTTCTATCTAACTTCCCAATAATAGTCACACTCTCGCGATCTGTTTCAAACCGCAATCAGCGTTTATCTCCTTTAATACTTATTGAGCACCGTCGGCGTTTACAGTTGGATTATTTTTCCGAATGCCCGTGCAATTGTTGAGCGAATCTTCTTTCTCTTCTCACGCTTCTTCTCCGCGATCAATTTCAATAATCTGCTAAAAATGATGGGTCGATCCACGCCTCGCCTTTCAGTGCGTGCGTGTCGAATCGCAGAAACAGTGGGCAAGCGGCGGCGAGGAATGCATTTTATTGAGAACCACCTCTTTGGAATTCGCTGGTGCATTCGTTTCATCTGCGCGCCTCAATAATTTACAATAATTGGTTACGACTGAAAGAACGGGGAGCCAGGCTGGGAAAGGTTGATTCACTTTTCAACGTTTTCTAACAAAAATTAAAATTTTTCTTCTACTGGAATTTGTGAAATTCAGATTCCAACTCATTCTAATAAAGTAATAATCAACTTCCTCCAATTGTAAGATTTTAAAGTGTTTAATTTTATCAGATTCATACAAATTTAACTAAAATTTTATAGATAAAAAGTTAATAATTATTATTTTGTATTAAAAATTAATTTTTTAAGCTCCTTTTTAGTAAATATTGAAACTTTTAGACTTTTCCCCAGCCTAAAGGAGGTATTAGGTTAAGTAAAAGATTTGCCAGTGTTTTTCTTCAAAATTATCATCTGTTCTATAGAAATCCTTGTGCTCCAAATAATAAATAAATCCCAACACCTAATTTGGTCCGTCTGCTCTCTTGACCGAATTTGAATTTCAAATTTCCACCGCCAGCAGACAGACGTTTTTAACACATCATCAAAATTTACTGCCACCAATAAATCTGGCTAACTAGAGGAGAAATTAATCTGAAAAAGTGGACAATGGGTGTATTCAAGAGATCCAAATAATAAATAGTTTAGAGCGAATAAACAGCAAATTAGCCTCAGCATGTGCGCAGATTTAATCTGAAAGAGCGGCAGCGATCGTTAAAAGCCTTTAACAAGCATTTTATAACGGCCGCGGGCGAATCGAGAGCATTTCAAGCAACACATCCTTGCGCCTTATTGTCTCGCGAGTAATTAGATTTTTCACCTTTTTTTCTCTCTCCTTGAAAATTCAATTACCGCGCCAGCATTAAACGCTTATTTGATATACGAAAGCTTTTCAAGGAAAGACTGCCAGTCTGCCTACTTAGCGTTGGTGAATAAAAAGTGCATAAATATAAACCAGATCAATGCGGTCGGTTGAATTGACATAGATATAAAATTATTTTTTTCAATATTTTTCAGGGTGCTGCATAAAAAGTCAAGCCCGGCGCCAGCAGCAAACGGCGTCAGCTCACCCCCACCCACCACATTCACCACCCCCGCGTGTCCGTCCCCCGGAGGCAGCACCGGCGGCAGCACCGACTACGGCGACAACCTGCGGAGAAGAAAAGTGCACAAGTGCGACTTCGAGGGCTGCGAAAAGGTCTACACGAAAAGTTCCCACCTCAAGGCGCACAAACGGACGCACACAGGTGAGAAATAAAACTCGGCAACCTGCTCGACACTTGTGATCCACTGGTGGCATAACCACCAGTTCGGATAAAAATTTTATATTTCTTTTATTCTTTTAGATTATGATAACAAAAATATGAGCCGCATTTTTAGTAATATAAATGACATAAAAAATCTTGTTTGTTATCTTTCCTTTAAATTCCACTTATATCTCTGCATATATTAAGTTTTACAAAAATTTCGGGGAAAAATAATACAAAATTAATTATTATTTTGAGTGCCCAAAAACCAACCCCTAAAATTCACAAAAGCAAATAATCTGGCAAATCTTATTACCTTATTCTGATTTTTTTACACAGTTAAATTAATGACTCATTATTATCATTGTAAAATTAAGTTTTTATAACAATGGTGATTAAAATTTTCGATTGTTTAACAGTAAAAAAATTTACTGTTCCTATTGTTATACAAAATTGAATAGTTTAATTAGCTTTAACTTTAATTAGTTTATATTCTTTTATTATTTTTAATAAATATTTCGTAGAAGGAAAATGAAAATTTTATTTCCTTATAAAAAATGTGACATTTTTATAATTTCAACGTTTAAAGGATTTATGAAAACAGTCTATTTTGACAAATCAATATTGTCTTAATCTGGCTTGTCGCCGGCCAATCAATATCAATTTCCTGAATAAAGCTTTCATTAAATTTTGTGACGTCAATCAATCTCCTTTTTGCAGGTGAGAAGCCTTACACTTGTACCTGGGAAGGCTGTACCTGGAAGTTCGCTCGGTCCGACGAGCTGACGAGGCACTTTCGGAAGCACACGGGCCAGAAGCCTTTCAAATGCCACCTGTGCCAGAGGTCGTTTTCGCGGTCGGACCACCTGTCCCTGCACATGAAGAGGCACTGAGAGCGCCCCAACCCGCCCGCCTGCCCTCAGAGGGCCCAAAGCACGACTGCAGTTACCTGGCCAAGTGTTTTTGACTCAACACTCCGTCCTTGCACGAGACTTTTTAAATATATTCTTTACTTCTTATCTTGCCAAAAGTGATATTACTAAACGAAACAAAGGTTCAGAGTTCTTTTTTACCACAAGGTGGCCTCCTTTGTGCTTTTTGAGAGGAAGTCCGAAGTGTGAATTCTAACCACTGGATACTTTCCAAGTTCCTCCTGCTTGGTAAATACATGTATTAGCCCAGTAATATTATACAAAGGCATTCCTGGACAAATTCAAAGTGCATTTTTGCACGTAATTACGGAGAAAAATAATAATTTTGAGCTTCCATCTCTAGGCAGGATTTGTAGTTCAGTGGTTGAAAACCATTGGTTGTGGCATTAATATTTTTATAGAATTTTTGCAACCTGGTGCTTTTTACTGAATGCCCCACAAAAAAACAGCATTCTCTATTTTTTGTACAAAAATTAATTTGACAAGTAGACATAATTTAAAAACAAAAGATTGACAATATTAAGACATTCTTTATAGTAAAGTGTTGTTCCAGTGCCTTAAAAACAACACAAAAATTTGGGACTTGGCCATTCCTCGTGTAAAGAAAGATCGACATCTTTCACTTTAATTTTATATGATTTGTTTTTATGTGTATAATGAGTCCTACATCTCTTGGAGACCAGAATTTGTACAGTGACAATTTTTTTTTTAATAATTTTGGCCAGTTAGTATCTCATAAATTCATCATCCATCACTGGAAAAATAAAATGATTTGATTCTGTGATTCGAGAACTGCGGCAGGATATCCGAATCTCAGCTGGTACTTAATAATATAGATTTGTACTTAATTTTCATTCTATTTTCATTCCAATGGAAAATTTTGAAAGTATTATATGAGATTATAATCTGCTTGCAAAATCGAAACAGATTGATCTACACCTTTAATTTATTTTCGCCACTTCATCATGGTGTGTACAGAAATTCATCTAACATATGCATATTGTAAATAGAATTTTATATTTTTAAGGCGGAGTAAATTAATTACTTGTTGAGTATTGTGTACTTTAAAGAAGAAGAAACTTGAAACTTGTTTCAAATCCTTTTTGTAATTAATTGGATGTGTATTGTGTGTATATGTAATTTTTTTGAGCGAAAAAGAGAAGATGCATGTGCAGCTAAAATTCCTGTTGACTACTTAATGAGAAATAATGTATTTTTTCAAAGAGCAAGAGGTTTTTTATTTTCTGCATCCTCTCGCCTGACGCCAAAATAACAAGAAATCCTTTTAGAACCTTAAAATGGGAGCATGGCTTGGAGGGCAGCAAAAATCCAAGCGAAGAAACCTCGGGGTTGCTGAGCTGGAGCGGCATCCTCATCGCCGTCATCAAGTAAGTAACGGACCAATGCCGTTGATGCAGGTTTGTAAGAAATGAGCGGCGCAAAGCGGGCTGTACGGAAAAAATTAGGGCATGCTGCATTTTGTTGTATTATTTAAAATATACCATCCGTGGCTGAAGGTCGGAAGCCATTCAGCACAGCAGTCGCGAACTGCTCCTCATATGTCATGTCCTCAAATTCCCCAGACTCGGCGAGCCGCTTGAGTCGACCGGGCAGATTGGTGCTATCCAAACCAGAACCAGGGTTTCTTCTTGGAAATCGGACCCCTACTACGGTTCGGATCTGCCTTCGGGTGCCAAATCTGTAGAGGCTCCTCGCGTGCTGGTCAAAGCCTTTCCAAACGATCATAAATTTAAAGCTCAGATAAAATACAATTAGGCCTACTTTCACTGGGTTTCGGCCCATCACCGATGAAGAGTCGCACGGTGAAAAGGGACTTCTTGTCCCCAATGGACTTGATCAGAGCGATACCTTCAAGAGAGCTCAGGGGCACGGCCCTTTTGTAGGTCACCCTACGCTCTGCGTTCATTAGGGCTGCTGGAACTTCTTGCATCATGAAGGATGTGAGCGTGATGACGGGAATATCTTGAACTTAAAGAAGAGAACTTTTTCAAAATGAGGATAGTTAGCAATCCGCGACCGTTGAAAGCAAAATCAAGAATTGTTCAAAATTTAAAGATTGTTGTAATTTAGTCATTGTTGCATCAATATCAGATTCTTACATTTTTCAACAACTTTGCATTGTTGTGAGTGACTTTATGCTCTTTTCTTCTGGGTTGAAACTTAAAACGGAAATCATTCACTTGAATTAAATTGTGTATTTGGCAACTTTAAATTAAGTTTATTAACTAAAGTCCTAGGTTCAATCTTATTATGATTATTATTGCCCTTCAGCTCGGAAAACATGGCAAACGCAATCGTTTTTGCCGACTTGTAAGGACTCCTTATTGACATAGTCAAATCAAGTCCTCTCAACAATATGAACAGATTTTTTCGATTGTTGGAAGACAATTGGAAATTTTAATCACCATTGAATGAATTTTAGAAATTGAAAATAATTTTAACTGAATACTACATGATTAAAAATTTTGCAATGAATTAGGGTTAATTTGTACTATAATTTTTAAGTGAACTACAGGATAATATTTGCATGTGCAGTTTTATCATCTGATGAGTACGAGAAGAGCTAAATACATTTAATTTCAAATAATTTTTATTAATGTACATTCTCTGCCAAAATAAATCATCCATAAATTCCAAAATTACAAATTTTGATCGGTTACAAGAGAGAGAATAATATTAAGATTGTATTTATGGAGAGATTGAAATAAAATGCAGACTAGTTAAATTAAAATATTTTTATTTCCGTCCCACACCTCATAAGCAAAGGAATCCTTCTTCTCGTCACGCACTACAAGCATAAAATAATGTTAGTAAGAAAATTTTAATTCTAGTTTTCTAGAAGATTTACCATCCAGTAACATTTTCGGGGCCGTCGCAGGTGTTGATAAATTCATTGAAAGCACGTCCAACTCCACATCTATACATTCTAGGCCGGTTGTTCTCACAGATAAAATATTTGGTGCAGTCATTGTCAGGGGAGCGGAAATATCTGCTGGCGCTGAAGCCTGCAGGACCCAAACTGCTCACCTTTTCTTCAGGACAAGTGAAGCCCAAAAAACCTGCAACGAAAACATTGAACTAAAAAATAGAATTTATTCAATGTCGAAACTTTTTAGTCCATTTACAAAACAAAAACTGAACTTAATTCAATTTATTTAAATTTATAAATTAAATGACAAAAAAGTAGTGTTGTATTTTCAATGATCAAAATAAAAATTTAGAGTCTACATCAGGAAAATTTCTGTACATAAATAATGTTTCACAATTTTTCACTCCAATTAGAACATTTACCCTCAGCGTCACATTCTGCAACCAAATCAGGCCAGTTGCACTGCAGGGTGGTCGAGTCAAAAGCAAGTCCTTCGGGACAATCAAACACGTAGCCCCTTCCGTCGGCGCAGTTCATGAACTGCCCACACTGAGTAGCGTCGGCACCCATTCTGAAGTACCCAAACTGATGAGGACAATCCCCAGACGGCTGCGGAGGTTCTGTTGGTAAAAAGTTTGGAATATGAAACGCCTGCCGATTTGTCAGATATGCAACCGGCTTTGCGTGCATGTTAAACCGGCTGCATAAATCGTTCTTTCACCAGAATAAACTCCTATAGTCTGATCCTTTCTACACGAACAAGGCCAAAGGTAAAATAACTTATGAATTATTCTGGATTGGGAAAAACAAGGTTCTCAAACTCATTTTTCAGAAGCAGCTGACTTAAAAAATCCAGAGTACAAATTTAAATTTTGAATTAATTAAAAAAAAAATCGCATGATAAATTTTTCCATTATTCCAACTCACGAGTGGCTTCCCTTCCAGTGCAGTCGACATCTGTGGGGTAGCTGCAAGGGTAGCTGAAGAAGCGTGCCTTGTCGTTGAAAAGTAGGCCGTCAGGGCAAAGTTTTTCCGTCGCTACTCCGTCCTCGCACTCGATGTACTTGTCGCATTGCCTTGGATCGGCGAATCTACCATTTTTCTCAGGACATTGTTGTGCGTATACGCCTGAGAAAAAAACAATATATGGATTTCTATCAACATGAAGAAAGAAATTAATTTACATAATTTATAACAAATAACAAAAAATTCTATAAAAAATCAATATCTTTTCCTTTTACTTCATAGAAAGTAATTTGAATTGAATTACAAAACTGAAAATTAATAAAAGAAATTAATAAATTCTGAAAATGGGGAAATGAAAATTGATAATTTAAAATGTCAGTGGGATTTGCTGTAGAATAAAATAACAAGTTTCACATTCTACAATTGTTTTTAAAAGCCAGGTTTGCTTCCCAAAGGTGAATAAGAAAGCACTACGGCAGATGGGTTTTAAAAGGCCTAAAAGTTGCTTGCTCCACTCATGACCTTGCATATTACACGCCAAGCAGGAAAACAAGCGCCTCTCTCTCATTCAATATACGCGTTTCCCTTTCAGACGTCTCGCCATTATGCAATAAATTTACACAAATCCACACACAAAATTAACCTTTAATGCCAAAGAATTTAAAATTAATCATCAAGCTTCCATTTGTTCATGATTTGATTTATCATTAGTCATTTTATTCACTTTAAATAAGCAAAAGACCGTAAATGTTAATTAATTGATTAAATAACCGTTTAATTTGAAAGCGAAGTTCTTACTTGATTTATCTTCAAAAAAAAATTATGAACAAACAAAGCAAGTACGTAATATAATTAGATCTAGAAATAGTTACTCACAAATTAATCCAAGAAGGACAGGCAGCCAAATTCTGCTCATGGTGCTATTTGCCTCTCAGGACTGGAGCCAACTGCGATTAGAAAAAGGTAAAGGATGACACCGCTGGGTCACTGAGGGTCTCCGCTGAATGGGAAACCATGTTATGAAGGCACTTCTTTCTCCCACTCCTTTTGTTACGCATCTTCAGCAGTAAACGGGCAGACTCATTTACCTTCAGATTAATCTTGTTCTAACAAACTGAAGTTGCTAAATACCAAATTTTTTAAATTTACACTGAAGCACGTAGAAAAAAAATGAATAAAGCTGCAGAATTTAATTCTAAGTTGAAAATTTTAAAATGTAAGTAAGATACAAATTTAAATAAATTTTTTTTTATAATTTTGTAAAAAATATTTTAATTTTTTGTGTTTGATTATGATTTTTTTTTAAATATGTGATCATTAATATTTTTATAATTTTCATTAGTAAACATCAATATAAAATTGATTCTAAATATTTAGATGACTTAACCTATAACATGAAAAATTCGAAAATTTATTATCAAGAGCAATTTGACTCATTTTAATTAAATATCAAAAACTTCTCTAGACAATAAATATCATGCATTGTATTAAAAATTAAGAAAATCTTCAATATTACAAAATATATAAAGATTTCTTGATTAATTATTAATTTTTCATAGCATTTCATTCTTTTTTTTCGATTAAACTTTTAAGCGAAATTGAGTAATATTAAAATAAAGCATTTCTTAGCCTCTCTAGACTAGCTGCGTAGCGACCAATGGTGGCAAATGTCAGACGGGTTGCATCACAAGCCTTACAATGATGACCAGCACCGCCGTCGCGTCTCGCATCTCTAATTGTGTAAACACATCTGTGCAGTGAAATCTTCGAGATGTTTCACACAACAGCTAGGAATTTGAGAATTCTTTTTAAAATTCTACTCGGTGGCGATCTGATTGAAAAAAGAGCGCGACCGAAAAGGTTAAAACTGAGATCTTTGGCCTTGGCCATTGGATAAATTTTTATTTTTTTCATTCTGGTCGGGTTTGAGCACTTTTACTTGCGGGTGCCGCCGCCGCCACTGCTATTTTATTATTTTTTACGCCAACTTGAAAGTCGGCGGTAAAATATGATCTCAATCTCCGGCGTGTACCTGAAAATTTTGCAGAAACGTTTAAAACAGGATCTTGCAGACGTGATCAGCTTTAAGTATTGGCAATTCGCTTTGTCTGTCCATGGGAAAATATCGCACTTACTTGTAAGTGCACTTGTGTGACGGGAATCGACAAGTAAAACGAGCTGTTAATTGCTGTTGATTACAATTTTCAATTTAAAATAAAAAATTGTCTCAAGAAATTAATTGTATTTTTGGACGTTATAGTTTTCTAACTTACTAAATAGACTATTATAAGTAAATTCTGAATTGCTAATAAAATTTATTATGTTATGTAAATTCAATGACAACAATCAACATAAAATGTTCAGATAATCTTTGAAAATCACAAAAACATTCTGTTTAGTTAGATAATTAATTTTATTTCTAACAAAAATTGTCGCGATTTTTAATTACATCAATATAAGAAAAACATTACCTTCAAATATTATAATAATGTTATTGTTCAATTTTAACTTTATTTTTATCAAATTTACATTGTTTGCTAAAATTTATTTAACTAAAATAAAATAAACGTTAAATTATTTGAATTAATATACTTTTAATATAATATTACTTGCATTTTACGTATTATTGAAATAAATAGCATCTTATAATATTTTTAATAATAATTCCATACAACAAATGCTGTGAGCAATTTAGGACAACAATTTTTTAATTGAACTTTACCACTAAACTTGATCCTGATCTAGATAAGAATTTGAATTTTGAACAGAGGTATTTGGCAACTTCCAAATTAAATTTTTTCTCACAATAGTAAAATTAAATACTTACATAAAATAAATCTTCTGTTTTATTTCCGTACAAAAGCTAGTAAGTATTTTCTCATTTCATAAGTTACATTTACTCATGACAAATTCGTGCAATTTCCATTCAATTTCTTTATTAAAATTGATGAAATCCTATTTCCCTGTATCCGAAGGGCGTTGGTCAATCCCCGAGAGCGGTCACACCTTTTCAATTGGCGTCGCCACACATAATCAGTAGCGTGTGCACTTCACGAGATGATGCTCGACAAGAGCAAAAGAAATGAGCCGCGGCATTGACTTATCGGTGGCGGCGGCGGCGGCTCGATCTCGCTCCAAACTTTCCCCACGTACTTGAGCACAAATCGAATGCAGTGATCCGGCAAGCAAAAGCTGCAATAGTCGAAAAGAAAGCCTTTCTACAGCCGAGTGATACACATTCTGTATCACAAGAAAGAATCAAAGTAGTGCCGCCACAAAAATTTGCTCCAGATGAATGAACTGTAAAAATTTTGCGAGCTCATTATATTTCAAGAGAGAGAGAGAGAAAGAATTATGGACACGCGTGCGTTTTCTGATTTATTCCGGTCACACCTATCGTGAATTAAAAGGGAAAGTGAAGGAGCGTCATTTCGCCGGTGGCCCTTTTCAATGTGTTATTCCATAATACTCGTCTTACGTTACAAATCCAGCCTGGAATATTACAATGACTACACCAGATTTTAAAAAGGAAAAGTTTTAAAGTCATGCACATAAAATTTCATTTATTTTTTTTTATTCTCAATTTTTATCAATAATTGTTTATAATATCCAGAATTAAGGAGCGTCTGCTGCAAAAAAATTCCGATACATTTTGCTGAAAATTGCAGTCTGCATAAAAAATTGAGGCAAAGACTGGGCTTGCTTGACCTTTATTGACCCATTTAAAACGTGTAAAGGGCCAGGTTTGAATCTTGAATACAACAATTGGCAACAAACAAACAATGCCTTCATTTGACTATATCAGAACCTCCTCCTAAAAATAATTACGGATTTTTACTGAGACTTTTGGGTATTTTATGTTTTTTTGTTGTTGCATAGCTAGAAAAAATAGATTCTGCAAACATATTTTTCACTTTGTTAAATTGTGAGTCTTGATAAAAGAATGCTGCTACAAGAATTTAAAATGCCCATTTATTATTAAATCAAAAACTAAAGATAAGAAATATTTTTCATGTTTACAGCTTGCAATCCCTCAAATTTTCTTCAAATTAGAATATATTTTTAAACCACTCCATGCATAAAATGTTGTTTTAATTAGAAAGTATGTTAATTGAAAGCAGTTGAATAAAAAAATCTGTCACAACTCTATATAATCCTAAGAATTTCCTTCTAATATTTTCCACCTCTTGATTATTAAGGTTGCGGTTTAACGGCGAATAAAAAGCGTCTGTCTGCGTCGCCTTTTGACCGCGCCCTGCCGCGACATTGCCCTGAGCTTCCGCTGCGTACTTTTATTATGTTAAATGTATTATTAGTTAATGACCCTGGCTTTTGAGGAAAGCGAGTTAGAGCCGAGCAAAGGTGACAATATGGCTGGCTTCGGTGCAATCAAATGATTTCTCCTCCTGCCAAAGTAAAAGCAGACCGAACAAGGTCGATTAACGATCAGTGTTCTCCTCTCTCTCAGGATGGCTGCACCTAGACTGTTTTTGCTCTGTAAGTTTGTGCACCGACGAAAGTCCCTTTTTGAATCCCATAAACCACACCAACCGCACCGATTTAGAAAATCTCTTTTAATTTCGTTATTAATGCAGAGGAATACGAAAGGAGAGTCTCCTCAAGTTGCTGTAGGCTGATAAATTAATTAAAAAATTTGTCTGCAGAAATAACCTCCAGAAGTTTCCTTTTCTTGGGAACCATTAATTTTGGCATTTACTCTCCGGGCCATAAAGTAAAATCACGTCTGATATAGGCGGAAGTTCTGATTTGTGACTTTCATAAACGGTGAAATTTTCACATTAAATGTCTAATTTTATCAAAAGCCTTTTCAAAACACAGAGAACCAAATTAATATAATTAAATTTATTACATAAGCACGTTTTACTAACATATCTAACTAATTGTAAGTGCGTTATCTGTAAAGCATTAAATTTACTCCAATCAATATCAATAAGCTAGGAGGGTAAGTCAATACTATTTTTAATTTGTATTTTTTTTTCTACATAAAATGAGATTATCAGCGATCAGCTTTAAAAGATTAAACAAGTGAATTAAAACAATTGCCTTGTAATTAAAACCATAGCTAATGAATTAAAAACAATTTTAGTAAATAAATAAATAAGAAAATATTAGGATCCCGTATAGTGAAAAATGAATTCTTTTATTTGTTACTGTTTTTTCAACTATTTAAACTACACAGTATGTGTCATGGCGGCATGTGCGATGGCCGTGCCCCAGAGGAAGAACCAGCAGCCGACAGGGTCAAGGTCGAGGGCTCCTCCACCAAGGGCGCAGCAGCAACAGCAAGAGGACGACGAGCAGTTTTCGGACGAGTGTCCCGAGCCGAACGGATTCTTCGCCGACGCAGAGCAGTGCGACAAGTACTACGCGTGTACTGAGGGTGTCATTGAGGAGAAGTTGTGTCCCGACGGAATGGTCTTCAACGACTTCAGCTCGCAGCACGAAAAGTGCGACCTTCCTTTTGGCATTGACTGCTCCCAGAGGCCCAAACTCCGTGAGTATATAAAAAATATATGAATAAAATGAGAATAACCTGTTTCCACGTAGGATCCTTGCCTTTATATAATTGTTTTAATTAAGTTCAGTCTTCATTGGCAATAAAATAATTAGAGAAAAGAGAAACTCGCGAGAATTTTTAGGTTGTAAACAGTTAGGAGTACTCATCACTCACAATACTCATAAGAGAGGGTTTTTTGAAAACTATTTTTGGCTATAAAAATCAGTAAAAATTGTATGTAACGCAAAGATCTATCAGGAATAGCTAATATGTGATTTTAAATGGGTTGATCAGACTGTTTAGTTTAATATAAATTTTTAAGTTTATATTTTAATTTTGATTTACTGTTTAACAGTTCAAACCAACTCAAAGTCAGTCATTATTGTCAATTTAATATTAATTTCAGAGACTCCTCAGCCTACCATCAATTGCCCTCGCAAGCACGGCTACTTTGCTCACTCAGACCCAAAGATTTGCGACAAGTTCTACTACTGCGTCGATGGCATGTTCAACATGATCACCTGCCCTGATGGCCTCGTGTACAGCGCCAAGACTGGAATCTGCACCTGGCCCGACCAGGCTCAAAAGAAGCACTGCGCCTCTGAAGGTATGAAATTTTAAACTCTTAATTTTCCCACTATATTAAACCACTTTATTTTAGACATTTTTAATTTCTCCTGCCCCAAAACCAACGAGACTGGAATGTCCATCCACCCCAGGTACGCCGACCCTGACGACTGCCAGTTCTTCTACGTGTGCGTCAATGGAGAAATTCCTCGCAGAAACGGGTGCACCCTTGGAAAGGTCTTCAATGACGCCACAAAGTCGTGCGACTCTGTGAAGAACGTGCCTGAATGGTAAGATTAATTTTAAAAATAATAGACAAAAGCTAAATCACAAACTTGGACGATTTTTTTCAATTGTTTTCTTTTTATCTTTTAATTGGGAATTTTCAACACTTATTCAAAATTTGGATAGCTTCATAGTTTTCAAAAAAAAATTATCATTCCAGCAAGGACTGGTACAAGGGCATTTTGACTGACGCTGAACTTGAACGTCTCGACAAGCCCAAGCCCAGACCCTCCGAGTCAGCAACCACCACCCCTGGCAAGAGGAACAGGAGGCCCCAGAGACCTGAGAGAACTCGCCCTCAGGAGAGCCGCGAGGAAGACGCAGCCTAACTTACTTATGTATTTCTAATTTAATATATGTGGCCTATTTGTTTAGGGTGCGAGTTGCGCGCGTTGTAATCTCTGTATCGGACAGATCTCTGCTTGTACTTTATGATTTTTTTTTTTTGTGCAGACTGTGTGTGAGAAAATAAAATTGGAATGATGTGGAAAATTAATAAAAGATTTTTTATTATTTTCATTTGTCTCATAAGTCAAATATTATAAACAATTGTGTATGAAGTTGTAATAATGAAAATTATACTGCGATTCACCTGAAAATGAGAGTCAAAAGATTAAGACTTTTTTCATCAAATAAAATTACCTTTTTAATTGAATAAAGTAGTCAATCAATTATATTATAAAAATATAATATATACTGTGTAATTTTAAATTAAAATTGGAATTTAAAAGATTTATATTTTATTTATTCCTCATTTATCTCTCATTTGGGCGTTTATACAAACATCGTCCTTAGAAAATAATTGATTATCGTGACCACAGTTTTCTATTTTGGGAGATGAGAAAGGTTAAAAACAATAAAAACACATTGAAATGTTTTGAAATGAGAAGTTTTTGAAAAACAAACTGATTTAAAAAAACTCTCTTTATCCATAATTTTGCTCTCCTTTTTCACCTTTTCGCTTCTGATTTCTGATATACGTGTGCCGGAAGCAGTCGGAGGCTGCAGCCATTAACAGTAGCCTGCGACCCAGTTGGAATAAAAGGCGCGGCGTCGAGGCAGAAAAGAGCTCAATTGGCGCAAACCGACATGAAATGCAATATACGTAGCTATCTAACTTTGGACTGGGTGACAAATATCGTGTAATCTACATATGAAGGAGCCAAGAAGAAGTGGTGTGGTGAGAGTAGTGATCGCGAGTTGCCACCACATCACGGCTACAGAGAGAAAGTGCAGGAGAAAGGGGAAGAGTTAAGGGTTCGCGTGGACCCGCCGAGCGCTCAGTTCGCCTCAAGACACCACCATGGCCAAGTGTCTGCTGCTCGTGGCCTCGCTCGTCGCCGCCTCTCGTAAGTTGCACTTGATTTTTAATCCAATGAGGATAGCATTTTCTTGATTTTCAACTCATTAAACTAATGATAGTAAAAAGCAATCGAAGTAGACAACGTTTACCAGAGAATCACAATTGTGCGCGTTAAAAAAATATTCAAAATCACAGAAATATAAAAATATATTAGTAATTTAAAAAAAAATCTCATTGAATAATAAAAGTTTAAAAAATAAAATGTATTTCTTTGCTAACCATTTAATATTAAATAAAAAAAGGAATGTGTTAAAAAAGTTCTGAAAGTGCAAAAAAAATTCATAATTTTGTTTGAATTGAAATGATTTAAATATTTATTTTTAACATTAACTTATTTTTACACTTATTGTTACCCATTTTAAAAAATCTAATGCAGGCATGTGGCTGAATCGTATTTTAATTTTTATTAAAGATCGTCTCTCATAATATTCATCGACGAGAGTAAACATTTTTTTTCAAAGCCGGCGGCGGGTCCGTATAAAAACCTGATCTGTTGGCCGGCACACATACATAGCAATTTACAAACTTACTTAAGGTAGCGAAAGTTTTTAAATCGAAAGTTATTTAATGCAAGACGAAAACAACCTCGGGGGTTCCAAATAAGTGAAAGTGACTTTGGGACCACAATGAATGCTGCACCCCACTTCTCACAACTGCCAAAGAACATTGACCCTCAAGCACACACACGCCGCGCCTGCTGTGGGAATTCGAAAATGTCACTTCACAAACATTACGTCACACTTCTTATAATTGCACGCATTAAATATCCATCAAGGAGTTTAGTGTCATTATGAAATGTCATAATTTATAATTCCACAATATTATTTAATTAACAAAAATACAATTTTTTTCACAGTGGCGGCTGAATTTAGGTGTCCCGCAAAATATGGACAGTACGAGGATGAACGGCAGTGCGACAAATACTACGAGTGCGAGGAAGGTGTGGCCACAGAAAAACTCTGTCCCGATGGCCTGGTCTTCGACCCCACCAACAGGAAGTACAACAAGTGCGACCAGCCCTTCAATGTGGACTGCGGAGACAGGACTGAACTTCGTAAGTTGATGATGAATTCAGAGAATTATGGGAATTAATTTTTTTTTAATTGCAGAGCCTGCCAAGAGCACTGAAAAGTGCCCTCGCCAGAATGGCTACTTCGCCCACCCTGACCCTGCCATTTGCAACGTTTTCTTCAACTGCATTGATGGTGACGCCATCGAGAGCCAGTGCTCGTCTGGTCTTGTCTTCGATGAGTACGCTGGAGTTTGCTCTTGGCCCAAGAAGGAGGACAAGGAGTGCGGATCCAAACGCAGTAAGTGGGAAATTATCAAAAAAAAAAAAAACAAAAAAAAAATACAGTAAAAAAAGAATGATGAAAATAATCACTTTTTCAAATTTAAGATAAATTTTTCTCCTATATTAAAAATGATAAATATTTTTCTTAAACAAATTGAAAAGGCTATTGATCAATTTAAGAGAGCCATTTAACCTGACCTCCATTAAATTCAACGTTTAAAGTAATATTTATTTTTAATGAGTAAATGAGAAGGTTTGTGCGCATTTGAGCGTAAAGAAAATTTAGAATAAATTTTAATATTTTTGTTGTAAAAAAGTTGGCACAAGGTTTCATTATTCAATTTTTATTTCAACCTGCAGTTTCCAATCTGAAAATTCATCCATTTTTCAATCCTTTATAATAATTTACGCATTTTTCCAGCTGTTCTGAAGGACGGATTCTCGTGCCCCAAGGAAGACCAGCTGGACGCCAACGGCCGTGCCACCGACCACCCCAAATACGCTCACCCTGAGGATTGCCAGAAGTTCTACGTGTGCCTGAACGGCGTCACCCCTCGTGAGCAGGGATGCTCATTGGGAGAAGCCTACAACGAAGAGAAGCAGCTGTGCGACGACCCCGAAAATGTTCCCGGATGGTGAGAAATTTTTTTCACATTTTTTTGTTTATCAATTCGTTTAATCGCATGATCAGTCAAGTGGTAAAAGTCTAAGCAGTTCTGGTTGAATGAAAAATTTCCAGTGCATGTCTTAACTGGTTTGGTTCTTTGTTTGTGCAGTGAGGATTGGTACAAGGATCACCCTGAGGTTGCGAACCTCAAGAACAGGGGAGCCCAGATTGACGCCCAGTTCGTCAGCAATAACCCCAAGAGGAATAAGAACTAAAGCGTCTCCTTCCATTGCTAGAGACTAGTCCCCTTAATAACTTTTTTTAACAAATAAAATCAACAAGAGAGCTCGACGTGTGTGCGTCAAGCTGCTGTACAAATTCTGTTATAAACGAGTTATAAAAATTATAGAATTGCCCCAGCCAAGAAAAAACTATTGTTATACAAATAATTTTCTCTCTTGCCTGAGTTGGAAAAAGAATTTTGTGTTCGAGAGCAGCATGTCACGTTTAACATTTTAACAAAAATGTGTGTAAATGTGCGGATTATAAATAAATCACTCCTAACAAAAAGTGGAACATTTTGCTTTTTTATAAATTGTGAGCGTATCCCTTTCAGCGAGGATTGGTACAAGGACCATCCCCAGTTCAAGGAATTGTATGACGATGAGGACGGTGATGGCAAGAAGGACTTTGGCAAAATCAAGAAGTTCAAGAATAGATATTGAACTTGAATCCGTAAAATATAATTTCAAATAATTTTAAGTGTTAATTTAAACAGGAAATAAATCCGTGACTTTTTATAAAAAAAAAACATTATCGTGTCATTCATATGCAAATATTGACCTCGCCCAACTTAGAAATCAGTATTATTAATGGATCTTGAGTACCTTGAAACTTGAACAGCGCCGGCAGAAGAAAGCTAATGAATTAATGATTTCGAAAATTTAAATTTACAATAAAACTGATCCGGTGGAATAAGAGAAAGACTGTGGGTGAAAACGAGTGCAAACCGGTGGCTGCTGCTGGCGAGAAATTGTGAATGCATGTTTTTACATTGAATGCTCAATGACGCGAAAATCGTTTTTCTCTTCGGCGCTGCGTCCATAAAAAGTTCGGTCTGAATGAAAGTTGATTGGGCCAAGTGGGAGAAAGAGGGCATTTTACATGAATACTCGCGCATTTGAAATACACACACATAATATTATGCGCAAGTTTTTGCCACACATATAAAAGCTTTCACTTAATCAGAGCGAGTCAATGTAACCACGTGATCTATTGATCCAGGCCGCGGCAAGCAAGGCATTCATTTTCTCGGCTTGTCACCCAAAATCGGTTTATTGCACGCCGTAAATTTATTACTAAACATGAAAAGGAAATTATTGAGTTGCAACAGACGCTTGACAGCTTTTGCAAAATTCGCATTGTAAAGTATGGACGCCAGACATGCGGACAATCCAATCGGCGATCAAGCGTGAAAAATTCCTCGACGTCAAAAGCTTTTAGCGATTTATTAATTTATCAATTGCAGCCGCAGCAGTTATAAAAAGTTCAACAGCATAAGGAAAATTTGCACAATATATTAAGAAAGTATTGGCTTGCTTATACAACTCATATTAAATTTTAATTTAAATGCGAATAAATCAAATTTATTTACCATGAACCTGGTGAAGGTTAGTATAATTTTGTAATTAATTACTTATATAATAACAACAATATTAAATTCTGTTCTGTTCAATTTAAAAAAATTCAAAGATTTTTAATTTGTTTAAAGTTTTTAATGCTTAAAATTTTTTATTACAAAAATTTATTTATGTAAGTTAACATGACTTTTGGGAATTGTTCAGTAAGCAACTAAAAATTGAAATTTAATTGGTTTTTTATAATAAAATATAATATACGTTCAATATTTATGTTACATAATACTTAATCAAGACAAGGTGAGGAACTGCATATTAATAAATGAAATATCTTAATTATTTAAAAGTGCTATCTGAATCTGAACGTACCTAGTTGCAAACGAATTAAAATAATCATAGCAAAGCCTATATGATTTTGGCCTTAAAAAGCCACAGTCGATGATCTCAAATTCTCTGAATCCATCAGTAAAATAAAAAAATAATAATAATGGTTGTTGCATCATGAGCCACAAAGATTACTTTAATAATAAAAAACGACACATTTAAAATTACACTCTATCATCATTGATTGATTTTGAATTTTTTTAAATTAATCAAGGGTCAAAATAAATTTTAGAAGTCTGCTAATACTCGCTAAATATCCATTGACTGGCGTTAGCATAAAACGCAGGTGCCCAAAATTCGATGAATTGCACAAGAACAAGATTAGGGCAGGTCTCTTGCGTCGGGCTCGGTCGCTCTCGGTGCAATTATTGGCTCGCGGTACTTTACTCTGCAGGCATTAGGAAACTTGCAGCAGCCACGCATTAAAAATACTTTCACGTCTGCTAGCAGAGCAAAGCTACTTTGAGAAAATGTGTGTGTGTGTATAATATCACGCTGGGTTAAATGCTATATTCTCGAATAAAAAGGTAGAGGGCCCCATGGGTTGATGGAAGAGGAAGGGAGACTCCTCGACAGGACTGGGCCAGTCTCAGTCCATTGTTGGTCTACCATGGCAATCCACGTCGTGCTGGCCACGCTCCTCGCAGCCACCTCTGGTGAGTGTTCCGCCCCCGGCCATACAATCTACAAAACCTTTTTATTCAAATTCCCGATTTTTAATTTTGAAAAAAGGGTTGGAAACGTGCGAGGTGCTAAACGGTCAGTGTTTAACGCTCGTGGCTTTGCTTGCGGTCGGATTATTTAACAAGAGAAACCGCACTAGACTTCTTTTAATTGCAACCACCTTAATGACGAGAGCCGCACGCATTCCGTAAAAGGTATCACTTTTCCTTTCACTGGTGAGTGAACGACGGACGTTTCTCTGAAAGTTCGCCGGCGCGTGCCTATATATTATGCGTGTATATTTTAAGAAGCTGAAAACTTTTTTTGCGATGCGAATTTCCTTTCTGACTGATTAATTTACTGGTATATGGCTTTAAGGTCGCGCATTTCTGCGAATCGAAACCTGCCTTCCAGGAAGTTAAGACGCACATTATTAATATTCGTGGCCTCCGTCACATCTTGAAAATTGATGGGTTCTATGTACTAAAAATGTGTTCCGCCTCTCACCACAGAAATTATTAATATTTTTTTTTTTTTATTAATTTTGAAAGCAAAAATTCCATATGAAGAAGAGATTGAAAAAGGAGTATTACACAATTTACAAATAAGTGGAAACTTGTAGGGAAATTCACAAATATGAAATAATTTAATTTGCGCAAATTCCAAATTTTTAACTGAAAAAAATGTTCAACACTAGTAAAATCCATATTTTTAAATTAAATTTAATAAAGTGAATACCAACAAGAGCATTCAATTTACAATTTTTAGTTTCTTATTGTATATTTCTTTCAAAATAGAAGGAAATGATTGCACATATTATAATGTCACTGTGTTAAGAAAAATTAGCTGCAAATCTATCAGTAGCTTATTTTAATTGGCAAATAAAAATTAAAGGATGCCAAAACTATTAAATTGTGTCAGAAAAAATTGTAATATTGTCCTTCTCACTCCACACGCTCTGCTTTTATAATCTTAATTCGCTGAATTAAAGCACTCAAAACGGTATAATTGTGGGAAAACCTTGTGCACAGGTGTAGCAAATGAGCGTTTCCCAATAAAACCCGATTCGCGAGCTCTTGCTTTGTGAAAAGCAAAAAGGCCTTTTGTCGATAACGCATTCGCCGAGAAGAAAATAATTCTTTCTTTTTTGGCCTTGGAATTATAACGGCCACACCCGACCTACCGACCGACTGAAATTGAATAAAATCCCTTCACTGCATGATTCGTTCGTTCACTTCGCTCATACAGAATTCGATATATAGCTGCCGATCACCCTTGACAGATCAACCTGATTTCTTTCAGCACTGCCGGCTGACAAGCAATTTTAAGTTCTCCGATTAATTAATATGTGTTGCGGCGGTGTAACTTCACTTGTGTCCGAGCGAGAGAGCTGCTCTATAATACACAGCTCGGCCAAAGCGATTGTCGCGCAGCAGGAAGTCTACGCACCAGGCGCTTGGGATAAAGAGAATGGAAAAAATTTACAACGCTTGCTTAATTTTTATTTTTAGTAAATCATCACCATCCAGTCAAAAAATATTGATAGTAAATTTAATTTAACAAAAGGTTTCTGATTCAGCTATATCATCTTTTGAGGATAGATAATAATATAGAGAAACTGTTCGAAACTATTAATTTTTGGAAGGAGGAGAACGATAATTTGATAAATACGTGATAACAATTATTTTTATTCTAATTAAAAAATTTAATTTCAGTTCTTGGTGCCCCCACGGCCGATTGTCCAGAGCCTTACGGCGTGCAGACCTACGCCCACCCTGAGTTGTGCGACCACTTCTTCAAGTGCACCAACGGCACCCTGACCCTCGAGCAGTGCGAGAATGGACTCCTGTACGACGGAAAGGGCAACGCTCACGAGCACTGCAATTACCACTGGGCCGTCGATTGCGGCACTAAGAAGGCTGACCGTAAGATAATTTAAATTAATTGCAAACAAATTAATTTTGCTACAATTTGGTGAAACGTCTTACAGCCACAATATCTTTATTCTAATCAATAATACAAAGATTAGATTATGTTATAGTTAATTATTGTTTTTATTAATGAAAAATTTTTCTCAATCCAAACTGAAAAGAATATAAATTTGGTTATTACAAAACCATAATAATGAATGTAATTTTAAAAAATTGATAAGAATTATTATTAATTTCAATGAAAACTTATTTAATACAATACATTTTAGCAAATTCATTATTACTGGAGCTTGTTTTAAACTGTTTTAATGTTCAGTGATTCCCATCAATGCCCCTGGCTGCGAATTTGCTTTCGGAATCTACCCCAACGCTCCCTGCAGCACCACCTACAACAAATGCGCATTCGGTGTGCCCCATGAGCAGCACTGCGAGGCTGGTTTGGCCTATGATGACAGGACTCACTCCTGCAACTGGCCTGATCTGCTCCTTGATGTTTGCAACCCCGAGGGTAACAAATTTGAAACTTCAAACAATTCATTTTCCGTGAAATTTAAAACTTGTAATAAATTTTCAGCCGTAGTTGGATTTAAGTGCCCTGACAAGGTCGACCCCCACTCTGTCTCTGCCAAATTCAACCCCTACCCCCGTTTCAACATTGGCGAGTGCGGTCGTCTCGTGACCTGTGTTAACGGATACCCTAGGCTTGTGACATGCGGAGAGGGCAAAGTGGTCAACGATGAGTCGCTCACCTGTGACGAACCCGAGTACTCCGCGAGATGGTAAATTTTTTTGTTTAAAGAAAGAAAATTTATAAAAAAAAAATCTATTTATTGCAGCTCTCACTTCTTGAAATAAGTCCGAAGCATCAGAGGAACGAAGATACTCATTTTCAATTTTTTTTATATAAATCATGATAGACCAGCAACGTTTTGACAAAAATAAAGGTCTATATTTTCAGAAAACGTGGCACGCGCACAAGTGCAATTTTTGAGATGCGAGAAATAAGTACAATGATTAATAACAACCGCCAACAAGATTTAAAATATACATGATCGTTAACAGCACCACCAAAACAAAACTAGTTTTGTTCTCAATTATAACCTTGGAAAAAAGAAAAAAATGTCTAAAAAGTCTAAAACCCGAGTTTGATTTAAATTAACATCCCCTAATTTTGAGCTTCTTTGATCCACTTCAAAACTTGAGGTGTGAAGTACGAGATTATCACGTCAGCACCTACACAGCAGCAAATAAAAATGCCCAACTTAGAAAAAGTTACAAATTGTGCAGATAAAAAATAAATAAAAAAAAAAATAAACAGGGCTGTACTCACCAGCACGTCTCATAGAGAGCAAAACCTCTTCCACTGCTGGTTGCAACTGGAAAACTCCATTTTTAGCTGCATGGATGAGCATCGAGTACTCGCCGGAAACCTTAAAAATGAAATGTAAAATTAATTTGATTAATCTGAATAAAAATTAAGAAAATGTTATTATAGGTGTTTAATTTAAAAACGCAAAGTCAGAAAATTTGTTATAATTTTAAACAAAACAGAGGACACTAACAAATTTTTAAATTAAGGTTTAAAATAATTTACCTGATATATAAAAAGCGGATATTCAGGGTGTTTATCTTTTGTCTGCCTCACTATGTCCAAGTACGAAAGGCCAGGCTTGACCATCAGCATGTCGGCACCCTCTTCCACATCCCGAAGCTGAAAGTTTTCAACCCATGTTTATTTATTTTTTATTTTTAAATGAAAATTAATTTTGTTTTTACTTAATATGCACTTGAGCGTAATTTCAGTAATTTTTTATAAAAAAAATTAATAAAAAAAAACTCACAGTGGCTCTAGCAGCAAGTCCAGCACTGCCAGGAGGCAACTGGTATCCCCTGCGGTCACCTTTCCCTGGCGCCGATTGAGCTGCATCTCTAAAAGGCCCGTACATGGCTGAGGCAAATTTAGCCGCATAAGATAAAACCGAAACTCTTGAGCCAAGACCAGCTTCAGTCAGTCCCCTTTTGATGGCACCAATCTAATTTTAATTCAGATTAAATTAAACATTCTCTCTAATTTCTGCAGCTTACACGTCCGTCCATCATATCCGATGGAGCAACAATATGAGCACCGGCTTTAGCATAGTTCACCGCTTGCCGAGCAATTCTCTCGATGCTGGCCTGGTTGTCCAAAAAACCTTCAGAGTCGATGAGACCACAGTGTCCATGATCTGTGTAAGCACAGAGGCAAACCTATATTTGTAATAGAAATGAGTGATTTTTTTTTTAATTAAAAAAATCCTTACATCACAAGCAATAACAAGATTTGGGAACCAATCTCTCAACTTTGGTATGACACGAATGACAGGAGTAACGCTTGAGTCTGCATTCGTTCCTTGCCCGTCCTAAAAAAGAACGTTTAAAAATGATTTCACTAATTAAAAATTCAATTCACTTTGGGCAAATTTTGTGGCACACCGAAGAGTAAGACGGATTTCAGTCCGTCATCAACAACCGGCTGGAGGAAAGCTTTGAGTTTGTTGATCCCGAAGCGGAAAACTCCAGGCATGCTTGGAATCTCCTGAACTTCGTCATCAGAATCACTAAAAAATATTAAAATATTTATGAACAAAATCTTATTACTTAAAGTTTCCTACATGATAAAGAGTGGCAGCATAAGGCTCTCGGCCCGGACAGTTGTGTTCGGGCACTGCCACGACCGGAGAACAGGGTGGAAGTATCCACTGTGCAGAATGTGTTTGGCAGCAGGTCGGTTTTCCATTTTTCAATAAAATCGAATAAAACTCTTCAAAAGATACAAAATAATTCAAAAATGACCTCAAGATCAATGCAAGAACATCTGCGTGCCTTGTTCGCCGGCCGGAAAAATAAGATTAAGAAGAGCAAAAGGGATGTGGTCGCGCCATCTGACGAGAGTTTCGCGCCCCAAGTTGCAGTCAAAACAAATGAAAGCTCGTTGATGCGCTGATCCTCGGCAAAAGTGGGCCGATGCCACCGCGTTTGGGTGTCCGTATGTTTTGGTGTCGAATTTTAATTGAAAACAAAAGTTGGAAACGCGAACAGCACCGTGATTAGCGCAGACGTTGGCCGAATTTTCTCGGAATCCGGCGGCCAGCGAGTTCCGCAGAGCGGCGGCATGGCCCTCAACAAGAAGAGTGACCACAATTTCTCCTCCAAGATGCTGAAACCCCAAGAAAAATCCAAGGCGGAGGTGAAAACCCTCAGATTTCAGCTCACGCTTGGCGAGTCTAACGAGAAAACGTGTCCAGAGTTGAACTTCCGGGAACTCGTCGAGTCAGAGGTATCGCAATGCAATTTTATTTTTGCCCTCAACAGTCAACTTTCTTAATTTATTCATGAGTAAATACGCACATAAAAAATGTATATATGTATGTATGCACATGACCAGGTTTAATTAGATCATATTTGTGCGTATCAAATCGCAAGTATTGAAAGCTTGAGATGCTTTTTTGAAGTAAGAGTGTTTTTAAATGTTTATTATTTATTATTCGCTTATAAACTATATTTATAAAGTTCCGTTAAATTTTTTTCTTATCCTTAAAACTTTTGTTGCAGGAAAAGAGAGCGTCGAAAAAGATAGCTAGTTTGAAGGATGGCAAAAACAGTAATCTAATGGATGTTGATGATGACGAGCGTCTTCAAATGGAAGCTATGGCTAGGAAATTTGAAGAAAAATATGTAATACAAAAATTTTGTTTTTCATTCATAATTTTTTCGGCTCCATTTCCAGGGAGGAACCGGCAAGCCAAAGAAGCGTAAAAAGGAAAAGCAGAACGAAGAATATAGAGATCTTGGCGCAGGCTACGATGACAATGACTCTTTCATTGACAACACCGAAGTGGTAATTAAATTATTGTTGGCTGTTAAATTATAAGTTATTGACTCACCACTTAGTACATAATGATATGATTATATATTAAGGTTTTCAGACACAATTCCATCATAGTGTACTTTAAATAAATTTTTAAAATTTCAATTATTACAATTTTTTATCACAAGATTGATTTAATTTTTACAGGAGCAAGCGCCGTTATAATTTTCTGTATCTTTCCCCAGTATGATGAAATAGTGCCTTGCGAAATGACAACAGCTCAGGGCGGCTTTTACATAAATTGTGGAGCCTTGGAGTTTAAGCAAGTTGAAATAGAGGAAGCCCCTTCAGATGATGAAGATCAAGTCAAATCTAAGAAGAAAAAGGTAAATGAAGTCATAAAACAAAATTTAGATCCATTTTAAATTGAATTAATTAAACAATTAATGATCTATAAAATATTTATCTTATTTTATTTAGAACTCAAATGCAGCCATCTGCTCTGACTCGTCGAGTGACGACGATGAAGATGACAGTGATGATGATGAAGATGATGATGACGATTCCGAAGAATCTGATGGTAAGGAGGAGCCTGAAAAGGTTGACAAACCCAAAGAGTCCCAGCCGTCTCAACCAGCAGCTATTGCCAACGGTGTTGTCAAAGCAGTGGAGACTCCTGTCATAGCCACCAGTAAAGAAGTAAGCAATAAAGTCCTGAAGAGACCGCCTCCAGACTCTGCTCCTAACGACGTGCCTCCAATCAAAAAACCTTCATCCTCTCCAGAAATAATTGAGGTGGAGCCTAAGAAGGAGATTAAAAAACCAGGTATTTTTTTTCTTTAAAATATAAATCATTATTTAACTAATTTACACAAATTTTAGCTAAACCACTACCTGCAGCACCACAAGGCTCAGCCATTAGCATAGAGACTGCACTTAAAAATGTTCCTGACTTGACTGTTACGATGAAGCCTCAGCAAAAACCCGAGGTGAAACAGCAGTCGCTTGTCGTCGAGCCAGCCAAACCCCAACTTAAGGAAGTGCCCAAGGATAAGATTATGATGCCAAAAGAGAAGAGTTCAATGCCAAAAGAGAAGAGCTCAAGTAAGCCTGGCAGTTTCTTCCAACAACTACGGGCAGCTGTTGCCACAGCTACATATCAGAGAGAGGATAAAAGGTACGTTTTCAAAATCCAAAGTTTTTCATTATCTTTATAAACGCACTTCCAGACTGAACAATGAAAAATCATCTCCACTTGAAGCTCCCTGGAACCGTGAAATCTCGTAAGTTTTATTTATCATAATTTGATTGTCATTTACTTTTTTTTTGTAGAAATTTGGTCGAGAAAAACATGGATTTGTTGCTCATCGATGGTCGGCTGAACAAAGAGGTTATTGAATCAAAATTTCTACCCCTGTGGCCTAACAGCTGGATGTTCAGGGATAATTTGTATCTGAACCTCAACAGTTTACTCAGGTTTGTTGAAACCATCAATTGGTAAATCTTGATTTTTACAAACAAAATCTTCAGGAAACTCAAACCAAACGCTTCAAAACCAATTCCAACTTCGTTATTAAACTCCTCTCAAACAACCATCACTCCAATACCTCCAAAGCCTGCGAAGCAACACAGATCTGACCAGTCGAACAGCCACAATTCAAGTGGAAGTAAAGAAAAGTACTCCCCAGGAAGTAGGCAGCACGAGCCCCATGATTCTCGAGACTCCAAAATCATGTACGCAAGAAGTGAGCCGCAGGTCATAGACGATCTCCTCACTCAGGTAATAGTTCTTGATTCATAAGTTTTTTTCTTCTTCAAAATTCCCTTAAATTATTAAAATACGAAATAAATTTTAAAATTTTGTGCTCAAAAAGTAAAAAAAGTGTTTTTCTTGTCATTGGTATTTGAAGTTTAGGAAAAACTTTAAAATGGTGATTCGACCCTCAGGTCATCAAAGAGCACCTTCCGTCACCAAAACCCAGCACAAGCAGACCTAGTCAAATGCCTTCCAAGAGCGAACCAAGCCGACATCTCAAACTGGTGCCTGAGGAGGATCTCCGGAGCTTAAAAACCAATTCTTCTCCCGCCTTGTCTGTCGACTCGGAAGCTTCGGTGCAAATGGAAATGAGACGGGTGATGCAGGAGTTGGTCGAGCTGAACGAGCGCCGCAGCATATTTCCATCGTCGGTGACAGTGAGTGAGGCAGCTTCAGGATCGACTTCATCACGCATGTCAGCTGCAACCGCCTCCAGATTGATGACCTCAGCATACAATGAACAACTGGCCTCATTCCAAAACTTCCTTCCAAGGCATTGTGACGACAAACAAAACCCAATGGACATGTTCTCAAATCCGTCTCTCAGAATGCCACAAATGGCAAAGGCAGGAGATTTCCGAGGCCAACCTGCAAGTTTCTTGACCAATCAAATCGGATTCCAGGACGAGTTCCAAAGGCATTTGACTTCTGTCCGAAACCCCACTGACCCTCTTTTCCCGCAGAATCTTCCCACAGGTAATTGATTTTGAGAAAATCGTAACCCTAATGATTACACTTCAGATTTAATGTGATTTTAGAAAGAAAGAAAAATAAGTAAGATATCAAGTAAAAATGGTTATAAAAATTGAGTCCCCCTCCTTGAATTTGGTTATAAGAAGTAAATTACAATGAGTGTGTCATATGGGTAAAATATGCAATATTGTCTGTTTGGAATTTTACTTAATTTTGCCCTGTGCCCAAACAGACTTCTCCAAGAGCTGGAAATACTGAAGTCAAAGTCCCCCTTAGCCATCAAGCTGCCATTGTGAGATGAGAATTGTTGAAACCAAGCAGCTGCCGCCTATGGGCCGTGCTGCGCTGAAAATAATTATGACTCAATTTGCCAAGTCTCATCAGTATTAATTTATAATTGTTTTTATTGTTGTGTGCGTATGATGTGTATAGAATTTTTAAGGAGCTGCATGAGTCACACACAAATTGAACAACTTTCACTTAATTTCCAATTAAAATATTCAATTTACATATTCTCATAATTTTCCACACAGCTCTCAACTCTTGTTTTCTAGTATTTTCAACCATTTAAGATATGAATAAATATTTATTGAATATTTAAGAATAATCAGAGCAAGTTTCATTGCTCTCCAATCCTATCATTTTAGTTGTTTGATATTATACATTTTTTTTCTCTCCGTGGGTTTCCCTTGAGGCGCTTTGACGTTCCTCTCATTACCACATTCTAAACTAAACGATGAGCTAAGCTCCTCAAACACGAGAAATAACATATTTGTGTACCTTCCTGCTATCAGTCACAAGAAGTGATTAGAAGGATAGGTGAGGGAAAAATTCTAGACCGACAAATTCCTTTTCCACGCATTTTATTATGAAAATATAAACAAAATACGATAGAGTAATGGAGAACCTCATAAGTATCTTTTACAGCATAATTTTGAGTACACATGTTTATCAGGCTAGTTGATACCATATACATATTATGCTTGCTAAAAACTAGGGGTGGGTTGACTGTAAATCAAAACTTGCGACTACAAGCTGGGCATGCTTCTGCGAAGCCCTGTTACCTGTTCCCAGGGTGACAGTTTGTAATCCGAGCCTGGTTTTTGCGGTGTGGTCTCGTACCTTGAGTAAATCAGCGTGTCGGACTTGCAGCTGCAAAAAATGCTAATTAGTATTCGGTTTCGCGTCTGGACCGCAAGAATTGGGGAAAACTGAATGGTGGCATTCTAGTTTTCGTGTTTGCTGATGTTTGCAAAAGGGGGGACAAGACCTTGAGTTTGAATTTTTTGGCCTACCTGCACGATTTCTCGTCAAAATAAAAACCGGTGCTGCATTCGCTGACATCCCTGCATTTGCACAGGCATGTCTCAAAGTCCCACAATTTGATTTTGTTTTCCTCGTCGCATTTCTGCTTGTCCTCATTGTTTACGCATCGGCACCTGCAGGCTCGCGCGTCGTACACTTGCAGAGTGTTGCAGTGCTGCACAAAAATTCCAGATAAAAAACAATCAAATTCAAAATAAAAAGGGCCACATACCTCAGCCTTGACCTTGCAGTCGCAGTCGCATTTCATGTGCTCCTCTACCTGAAGTACTTTTCTCCTTCTGACGTTCGAGAATTTTCCATCTTTGAATTCCGTTGCGATAATCTAAGAATTTATTAATTAAATTTGCCTTCTAAATTATTTTGTATTAATTTACTTCAAAATTTCTAAGCCTGATGTCGACTGGTTGACAACTAAGCAAGTCCGAGTTGCAGCACCCACCGCACCTCTGCACCCTCACGCAGCTAGGGTAGTAAATGGTAAAGGGATTTTCCGACGAGTTGTCTGGTTTGAGGAGGACGGTGGTGTTTTCGGGCATGCATTTCGCCTGCTTTGCCCTTTCAACTGAACCTTCAATTTAAATAAGTTAGAGATTTTTTTTGTGAAAAATAAAAACTCACTTTTGCCAATGGAGTGGGCCACAGGACTATCAACGTCTATTTCATCACTTGCTGTGCATTTCAAATTGAATTTAAGCCAATATGCAAAATTTAAATTAATTACATACTCTGCCCTTCATTATGTGCTCTACTGATTCGGAACTGAAGACTTCCTGGGTCTACGTCGTAGAGGCCTGACACATTCACCATTTCGCGGTTTGTGCTTCCGATTAGGGCGAGAAACTCAAACTCATTCTCGATGTCGTTCATCTTCTTGATCAGATCCAGAGGCACGCCTTGATCCTCCTGTTGAATTTTATTTCATTAATTCAGTCGTCTGAATGGGTCAGCGTTGTCATTGATTTTCATATCAAATTTCAAAACCGCGCGCGGACACTTTTTGTGTTAAAGCTGCGGCTTTCGCGGGTAACAAAGTGGAATAAAATTTATTTCTTAATTTTTAACGAAGTTCTTCCTCAAATGATCTGAGAGTGAGTTGTGAGATTCTAATGCGGGGAAACTTGACCCTTTCAAAATTCTTGGTGATTCATATAAAATACGGACAAGATATTATATGGAGAGAAAATCGGTCGCAAGTGATATGTTGTAAACTCTTTAAACCAACAGTGTGTGTGTCTGCGACCGCATAAAGTATCTTAATCGACGAAGGGAAATAAATTTATTTTCCCCGGATGAATGAGACATGGTATTTTGCATCATATTACGAGAGAAGTGAAGAGTCGTTTTTGCTCGACTACAATTTAACTAGGGCGCCGTTAAAAACTGATGACTTGCTAATTATTATCAACTCTCTATTACAAGCAGTTGCAATGAGAGCATGCTTTTATTAAATTCTTGTAATGACATGTTTTATTAAAACTTTATTGGCCCATTTAATAAAAAAAATAGCAATTTAAAGTGCAATACATTTTCTTTAACAAAAAGGTGTATTTAATTGTATTTAATAATCAGAAATTAATATAATTATAAATTTAAAACATCTGAAAGTATAGCAGCTGACCATTGAAAAATATCATTTGAACATAAATAAAGGTCGTATGAAAAACTTTGTAAGTTTCAAATTAATGCAAAATTAAAACCCTGGTCATATGTTCAGGGTGTTGCCGTTTCCTGTACTTTTTTTTTAGAAAATTGTTGTTTGAAAACAGGATTTTTTTTTTCAAAGAATTGAGTTAAAAGTTAGATATAGTGGTAATTAAATTATTCGTGTTTCACGAATTTAAAAAACTGCTTTTTATGGCTTCATGTTAGAATTGACAGAGTTACACGATAAATTTCTTTTGGAAGAAAAATCTTAATTATTTTGACATAAAATATTTGGCTCACTTTAGAAACTGCAACTGGGAAAAAATAATAAAAAATACAGATTGTATTTTCATTTTTAAAGCCGATCAAAACTGAAAATTTTGCTAAAACCGTAACCGGCCCTAAAATTTCAGTAGCTGAATTGAATTTTTCAAGATAAAAAAAAAACAAAATAAGCAGAGTATAAGCAAAAGAGGAGCAATAAACTCTAACGCAGTCTAAAGTCCACTCGTCTGGTTTGACAACTTTTGCACTAGAAATGTTTTAACCTTGATTTTAGCTTAAAGGTTAAAACTTCTGCAATATTAAACAGTCAGCCTTGGCTTAAATAAAAATTTCTCTAATTGAAATAAATTAAAATTCTAATGAAAAAAGTGGAAATATTAAAATATATAATTAAAAATTATATAATACCTCTTCTAATTGGGGCTTGGACGTGGTGGCTTGGACGGACTGGCGTTTGCTTTTGTTGCAAGAAACGCATGGCGCCGCTTTGAAGCCAGGCCTCCGGTTAGGTTGCCTGCGCACCGATGACGACGAGCCCGCGGGGAACACAATGGGGTCATCGGTGGCCCAGACGCACACCGCCCAGGCCAACACCAAAATTGCGATGCAATTCCTCATTGAAATGCACCTCGGCTGCAATTGAAAAAGTCGACGAGTGCCGTTGGCCACCTCTGCTCTGTATGCTGTCTGCGCGCCGAATGAAAGAAATCCCTCGACTAAACAACAATATACTTTCGCAACACTGACTAACTGACTATGTATGAGTATATTCCCAATACGAATTAGTCATTGTGGCTGGAGGGCAGCGAACACATCGAGTGCCACCTAGCGAGCCTGCACGGTCAATTATTTTCTTTAACATCCGCTCTCTTGAGACTCAAAAGGCGCCGCCGCGAAAACGTCTTCCTTTTTTGCATCTTAATTTTATCTTGATCATTGTTAGCTATTTTTTTTAATTATTTAAATATTAAAATATTGGAAATCCAATTATTCAAAAGACGAGATGCGAGATGCCAAAGCGTCGACCTTGCGGAGATCCCCCTGCGCCTTCAAAGCGACCTTTCCTGATTCGAAAGAGTCACGTCGCTCGCGTCTGCACTTAGGAATCCCTCTCGTTAATCGCGGTGTATGTGACAGCTTTATTACGGAGTAATCGCAATCACATTCGCATTGCGGATTTCTAACTTCCAACACTCTATTGTTATTAATTCCAGTGAATTCTTTGTTTATTATTTATAAAGTGATATTGAATTGCAGGGAAGAAAAAAAGGCGAGCCTGAATTTTATCTTGTGAGCGGATTCGGGGTTACCAAATAAAGGGATTTTTTTATATTGGATTTTAAATGGGAGTTTATTTTTTATTCTTTTCAACGCGCTCTAACTGTATTTTGGCTGTGTTTGACAGGCGACTGTGGTGTTCAAGTTTAGAACAGAAATAATTATAATTTTCTGATGATTGGCTTGATTATGGGATTTAAAAAATCGGAAACTATTGTATGTTACTCTAGCTTATTTACGACACACTTCCAGAGAATAGATTAAATTTTGATCACAATATAGCAGTTGCACCAGCGTGCCAAAAAGCATACATGAATTACAGGAAGATTGTAATTTTATTCTTCATCTACCACAATTCGCACTATTGAACTTTCTCAATCAGCAATTATATCCTTTATTTAAAAGAAAATATAAAACAATAAATTACTCAAATTAAGAATAATAATTCATACAGCATAGTAACAATTTAAAATTAAATAATAGTGTAAAATATTTGGTAAAATAAACTGCAAATAATTACTACAATAACTGCAACTATTGTAGTTAAATTTACCAACCAAATTTTTTAAATCAAACTTAAAAGTCAGTTATTTCAAGCTTCTTTTAATCACAAAACAAACAAATTTTCGATATAAAAAATTGTTTTACTTTAACATGACCTTTATAACTCATTTCAATTATATTTATGATATATTTATTGCATAATTCTAAAAAATCTGGCAATAAAAACGAAGAAACATTTTAACATGCGATAATTCTACATTATATTTTAAATATTCTAGGCAAGCGTAACTTTTAAATTGAATTTCATGTTCGATTTTTCAAGAAATCTATGAAATAACCGCAAAATGATTTAAAAAATTTTAAATCGAGCATCAGGTAACAAAGTGAAAATATGTTTTGAAAACTAGCATGCGCTTACGTGTTGTAATTCAGGCAATTATACGGTAAAGAGGTTCAATTAATGCTGAGACTCTTCATATTGAATTGATATATCAAGTTTCAGCAACTTCAGTGGTAAATTCAAGAATCACGCGTGCGGTTTGATCGGACGTAAAGACCACCTGGACCACATTATACAGCGTTGGCTCTCTTACAAAGTTAAGCAATTGCGTATAATAATATTTTTTTACCTGACTTAATTATTCAAGTAGACTCTCACACGTACTCCCATGACTACTTTTAAATAAGGAGGACGAGTTTTTGTGCTTTTTTTGCAATAGAGACCGTATCACATGAGAACGTGAAAAGTCACCTGCTATTTTTAGCAGTTGAAATGTTTGCGAGAGTTTTTATTGCACAAAAAGGAGATTTTCTATTTTTATTTGATGCGTATAATTATTTATCCTATTTATATGGTTTGGAATTTGGCAAAATTGTGAAATTCAACGCAGCTTGTTATGGTTTATTAATTTAAGTGCTCTGACAGTTTTATATCTCTTGATCATCCACATTTATATAAATCTGACCAATTCAGCGTCGCAGTTTTCACGACAAGACCGTCAGCACACATAAACATCAACAGCTATTTTGCATAATGCTGTTTTTTTTCTGGCAAAAACTAGATTTTTATTTTTTGGTCCAACGCACGAGAAAAACTGGAGTAGATTTTGGTGCCAACAGGCAAGCATGGAGAAATCAATATTTTTTTTTCTATCAAAAGTGATATTTTTTGCTTCCATCAGGTGTATAAATTTTCAGTCGCGCGAAACACGAGTCAAAGTCGATTGCAAGATATCGGTTCCCATTAGTGATCGGTTGCGGAAAATCATTGGCTCTTTATTGCGCCTCGATTTCGCTTTCGCACACGTGACATGACCGAGAGACCGACCCGCTGCCCCTCCTCTGAGGACACCAACCAGGAGCTGAAAGACGAGCCTTTTGGTCAGTCGTTCTCGTCAACCAGAGGGGTGAACAAGCACTACTATGAGTGGCTGTCCTATGACAAATGGGTGAGTTTTACATATTGTGGAATATTGATTTTCTATTATATTGGCACGTGACAAAATTGTAAGAATTCAACTATTTCTCTTATAAACTATAATTTTGAAATTTTTAAGATGGAATTTCTGCGTAAACTTGAAGTTTTAATAGAAGATTTACATAAAATAATTTTATTGAGCTCTAGCAATCTATCCAATTAATCAACTTTGCTTTCTTATATAGATCTGTGTAAAGGTAATTTTTGTTTCATTTCACCAGAGCAATATTGCATTAATGGTGATTAAATATGATTATATAAGTATCTTCACAGGCAACTATTAAAAAAAAATGGCACACTTAAAAGTATCCTTTTAATTATTTGATCTCATTCACAGTCGATTGAAAGTGGGGAACAAATTAAAATATTGAAAAATTTTGAGAAGAAAATTAGTTTCTCTGCTTAATTATAAGTTACACTTACCTTTTATAAAATATTTAATATATATAGTAAATAATCATAAAAAACATATTATTTAAATTTACTCTGGTTGATTTTATTACATTTAAATCATTTCTTTTATCACTTATAAAAAAAATAATAATAATTGTAGTTAAAAACTTATGAAATTTTTATTAAAATGACGCAGGACAAAAATTTAATTTATTTGTTTTTATTGGGATGTACTAAAATGTACTCTTACTTTCAAAAGTAAGATTTTTTATGATTGCACCTCCGACTGTGAACCTTGCTATCGCATTCAAAAATTTGTGATTAATATTGTGTAAATTTGTTGTCAGCGTTGGTCATCATGAAGACTCTGGCTCGACTCCGCTGTCAGAGTCTGTGACTGGCGGTGGCATGCTTTATGGAAAGTATTTGCAATTGGACAAAATTGTGGGTGCTCAGCGTCTGCTGAGCGAAGAGGCCAACAGATTGGTGCACGACGAGCATCTTTTTATCGTCACCCACCAAGGTTTGCTTACCGAAAAATTGCGACTTGTGCTGAGACATTAAATCTTATTTCAGCTTACGAGTTGTGGTTCAAGCAGATCATTTACGAGCTTGACTCCATCCGCAACCTCTTCAATAATGAGGTGAGCGCAATTATTGTTAAAAGAGTCTGGACGGTCACGTTGCAAAAAGTTTATCTTCAGATTCAAAATAAAATTTGTACCCGCTAGATTGATAACAAAATTTCATTCGAGCATATTCGATTTTTGCAATTCTGTTTACAACAGTGACCCTCGGGTCATTTAATCTAGATTGTGATGATCCCATGAACAAGAAAATGCATTTCAGACCATGACATTAATAGTGGGAAAAAACTTCTTAGAGGCAAATAAGCAATATGTTGAAAATTCTCTGATAGTGTTAACACACACTTTGTAATGGAACCAGACAATTGACGTAAGAAAATAATTTTTTCCTATACAGGATCTTGCAGAAACGGGGACACTGGAAGTGCTAAAAAGGCTCAACAGAATCGTCCTTATCTTGAAGGTATGAAAATTTGTGGTTAAGCAAGTAACGAAAATTCCCACTTTTTTTCATACACTCAAACCAAAAACCCCATTTTGCTTGTGGTCTTTGAAAAAGACATCTTATGTGTAAGGAGAAAAATATTATTGGCATTCTTAAAAAAAAAATAGCTAAATTAACTTAGATCTGCATTATGACAAATTAATTAAATTTAGAAAAGGGTGCAAACGGCTGATTCATTGTTTCAAAGACGCTTCAAAAAATACTGCGTATACCACTTGACGAAATATTTTCACTCATTATTCACCAAGCCGCGCAAAAAAAATGCTTGTTGACGCCGTTTGGAAGTGAGCTTGCGGAAACGAATCTATATTCATAGTTTGACATCAGATCTTTTGCGTCACACGATTGTGGTGTGTGCTTGTATTTAAGTTTCCGATGCTTTCGCTTGAAACAGATGGGTTTCAAATAATTTTATAGGGCACGGACAAGAGGAGGAAGTGTCAATTTTAATTTCTTCCAACTCATTGACCGATTCACTTTCGTGGCTTGAGAGACCCATATTAGATATTTTCTCTGTGCAATCCAAGGTTGTTCAACTTGAGATGACAGATATGAAAGCCAAAGTGCATTAATTTTTTTTATTTTCAGCATAGTTTTTAAAACTGAAGGTTGAGCCGTGGGCTAAGGTGGTCAACCGCAAGGTGCGCGCTAGGCTTCCATGGTGATCATGCAAAACGTTTTCCTGTTTTGTTTGCACGAAAATTTGCAGTGAAACGAAACTCTGAAGATTGAATTACTGCTACAAAAGTTGTATTGACCGTATTTGGTTTCCGATGAGGCCAGACGCTAGGGAAACGCATCCTCATTTGAGACGTTATTCCGTGAAATAAGTCATAACCAAATTCGGCTAGTATGAAAATAGCTTGATTACCATTTAAAACGCAACTCACGCAATTTTTACTTTAAAAATAGCACAATTTACATTCGTCGGGTCAAGCTTGTTAATTAACACAACCAAAAAACGTGTCTTTCTAGATAAAACGATCTTTCCCAATTTGAAAGTATTTTTTACAGAATTTATAAAATTATTATTTTAAATTTTTAGCTGCTTGTGGACCAAGTCATGATTTTGGAGACAATGACTCCACTGGACTTTATGGACTTCCGCAGCTTTTTGTCTCCCGCTTCCGGTTTTCAGAGCCTCCAGTTCCGACTTCTTGAGAACAAGCTTGGAATTAAACCCGTAATTCTTAAAAATAAAAATAAGCTTCCATCCTTTGTAACACTAAAATGTAGGGGGTTAGAGTCAAGTACAACAAAAGCTACAGCAGCGTGTTTGGAGATGACCCTGAAGGCATGGCATCTCTAATACGGTCCGAAGCAGAACCAACCCTGGCAGAGCTGGTGGAGAAATGGCTGTCAAGAACGCCTGGACTTGAGAAAGAGGGATTCGACTTTTGGGGAAAATATCAAAGCGCCGTCCACGAAATGCTTCAGGAACTGAAGGACAAAGCTGATGTATGGAATTTTGCTTCGGCCGGAGGTCTCTAAATATTTTTTATGTTAATATTTTAGGCTGCAAAAGACGGAACTGCAAAAACGTTTGCCTTGAACAGCTACGCAAAACGCAAGGCAATTTTTGACTCGATTTTCGACCCAGCCGTTCACGATGCTTTGATCAAACGAGGAGAACGCCGTTTTTCACACAAGGCTCTGCAGGGTGCAATCATGATAACGTTCTACCGCGATGAGCCAAGATTTTCGCAACCGCACCAGCTTTTGATGTTACTCATGGACATTGACTCACTCATCACCAAGTGGAGATGTAATTTTTGTGAATCTTAACCAAAATATATTGTCATGAGATTATTTTTAAAACTAGACAACCACGTCATTATGGTGCAGCGCATGATCGGATCCCAGAATATGGGCACAGGAGGTTCGTCTGGCTACCAATACTTGAGGGCTACGCTAGGGTAACTTAATTGAAGATAGCTTTTGATGATAATTAAATTTAAAAAATTCAGGGACCAATACAAAGTGTTCCTCGATTTATTCAACCTCTCCACGTTCTTGATTCCTCGCAACTGTATTCCAACCCTAACACGCGACATGAAGTCCAAGTTGGGCGTCCAGCAAACCTCAAAGGATGCGGATGACAACAAAACTGATAAGGAGAAGATTTAAGCCAAGGACGGCCTCACTTAAATAACTTTAATCCTGCGTGCAAAATGCTCTTCGTTTAATAGTTGGTGGTGGTTTTTCACAAGGAAATTAAAAGTAGGATTTGCATCATAGGAAGTTGTGACCCAAAAGTATAAAAAGTTATTTTACCAGTTCATAGCAATAAACTCATTATCAGTTTAACATTTATTGTTTCATTGTATAAAAATCATAATATGTAATGATAAAAAGCAGTAACAAGATTCTATAACGGCAGTAGTTAATTTTAGAGTTACCCTGCATTTTCAATACACCTTATTAAACTCCAAGTGATGTTGTTTGGAACACATGGATTAAAAAATTCCAGTCATCATTTGATTTAAGTGAAATTGTTGTACAAATTGTATTGGTAAGCATGGTCAACGGGACGGCCTTAAGGTAGTGCGCCATTTTCAGCGCCTACTTATTAGCGAATTAAGTAGGTGGAATGTAGAGAATCACGAGTTCAAAAATAAACTTCAGTTTGGCACTTACATTAACCCCTCCTTCATATGACGTCAACAGCAGAAACTTCATTTGCAATACCTGCGGAAGTAATAAAAATTATGAAAAACTGTTATTTAAAATTTTCTAGCTATAGTTAGTAAATTTTTTCTCTGATAATTTTATTTTAATCTTTTAACAAATTATTTCTTTTCTATTTCCAAAATTTCATGCTCGTACCACAAACATTGTCTCCAATTGCAATGTAGAGGTATCCTTTGTCTCCGAAGTCAGGTCCCCAGGAGTTGCGGACGATATAGTAAGGAATAGCTGCGGTGAGGTTGTATCCGACAATTTGGACAGCATGATTAAGACTTAGAGGGCTGCCATCACAGTTGAATTGAATAACGCCACCAAGATAATTTTGCCAGTTGAGGGCATTCACAGCCACAGCCACTGGCCCGTGGTTGGCCACCAGCTTCAACAGCTCTCCTTCTTCTCCAGCATAACTGCAGGGAAAGTTTTTAGCAAAATTGTTACAATTCGATTTTGTTTTACTTATTGCAAGTGAAATTTGAAGTAATCCTAGTTCCAAACGCTGGAGCACTAAAAATGAAATTTAATTATCAATAAATTAAAAAAAAAATCATGATTTTGTTTTGTACATACTTAAGTTTCATTTTGCATGACCCTGTCGTCCCTGTGAATGGATACTGGCTCTCTGGCAATAGGGAGACTTTGGATAAATTCATCCATTCCAAAAAGCGGCAAGTGTCTCCACCAGCACAGCCAATATTCCCGTTTGTTGCGCAATCAACACCCTGAGACAAAAATAGATATAACCTTAGGCTTTGGTTTAGGTCTTCATTCTTACCTGCTGGACGCTTAATACTACTGAGCTCCCTCTTTCTAGGGCAAGCATTGACTCGATCGTTTCGATTGTGCTGAAGGCCCAACAGGCTCCGCAGGTTTTCTGGTTTTTTATTGGAGTAATAATGCCTTTTATCCTCCTGCAAAAGAAATATGGTAAGTAAATTATCTTTTAATAAGATTCCTTAAAGAAGAATATTATAAGAAGTAAAATATAAAGATATTTTACAGTAATTGTTATTTTACTTTTGCTGCTAATTTAATTATCAAATTTACCAATCAACTGCTTTTGGTAGTGTTGTGTCAATGATCGGTACTGCTACTGCTCGTTTGATCCTCTGCTTGCTGGTTTGATGTTTGTGGTGTTTTCTTAAGGAGAGAGACCTAATTTCCTCTTTCATAAACTTGACGGGAAGATCAGGGTTCAAGTACTTCAGTGTGAATTCTTCCTGAGAGAGATCAGAAAATTTGGTTGGCCCGTAAACAGCTGACAAGGGATGCTCACCGCTGGAGTTTAAATCTGCAGACCTACTCATGGAGTTCTACAAACATAAAAATAATACAAATATTAGCCTGTTTTTTTTTCAATAACATAAAACATAAATATACAAACATAGCAAAGTTTATTATTATGTAATATAAACGCATGTGCGCTTTTTTTCACGCTCATATTTTATTTAATTGAAATTATAGGAATTGAAGGGAAAAAACTGAACTCACACGAAAGTGTATGAATTTCTTCTCAAATTCATCTGAATCCTGGACATAAGAGCGATTGCGAGCGGCAAGGAACTTCAAGTACGACTGCATGTTTTTGTCCGGAGGGTCTACTCGGATGGGGATGCCGAGGAAGCAGAGGGAAAAGACGGCGACGGCTGATAACGCCGTTTTCCATTTGATGGCCATGCTTTTGATTTTTTTCTTCTGTGTAGTCTGAACGAAATTCACGTGACACTCAATCCATTTTAAAACTTTCTTGCTGTCAAACCAAACTGTTACTACAGAACCTTTCCTTCCAGTCACATGACATGACCCATTCCATTTACAACACCATGCACCAGCACGATCTTGAGCTTGCAAACAGGAAGGTGTGCCAACAGAACAGCGCAAACACAAACCTTAATTTGTTGCTATTTTTTCCAATCAGGCCATCAATATTATTATAAAATCTCATTATGTATTTTATAATTCGATTTAAGTTATATTTTAGAGGCCAAAGTTTCTGCGTTTGTTCGAGTCAAGAATAAGAATCAAATTAGAATTTAAAAAGAAGTAAATTTTAATTCCAGATGGAAAATTTTTTAAATTTGAGTGAATGTTCCATTAATAATTTGGTATAAGTCATAAGTTACATTTATATTAGATTTTATTGCGCAGCGTTTCAAACAAAGAAATTAGTTAAAGTTTGCTACTCTCCATTGAATATTCTGCATCCGCAAAAAAAATTTGTAATGATGCACAAGCTATTTAAATTATGCCACTACATAATTTCCCAACATTAGAATTAACATCTATGACAAGATTTTGCTGCCGGGTTTTTCTACTTCTTTTGTTGAAAAATCTCGAATCGCATGATTGGCAGGTCGTTAGATTATTTACACATGTAAATGACAAAATTATTCTTGAAATTCAGTACAAAGAGTGGATTTTCACTCATCAGATAAATAATAATCGAATTCGCATTTTCCTGTAATGCAAAAATTAACATAAATCCACCATAAAATCGATACAGTGCTGTAACTTTTGAAAGTTAGCGTCACATAGTGTCAATTGCAGCTCTAGGCTCTGGAGGCCTGGTTCCTCAGCAGAATGTAGATTTTCTCTTTGATCCAGTCCTTGTTGTAAGGAGCATAGGTGAATGACTGCTTCTGGTACCTGATAATTCAATATGTAGTAAATTAATATATTATATAAAATTGTTAAGACTAATAAAAACTTGAAACCTATAGAATCTGTTTTAAGATATCTCACTGAATTATGCATACAAATTTATATACATACAAAAGAGAAAATTAACTAAAAATTTTTGTTCCAACTTCCAATTAAAAAACAGCATTTTTAATAATTTGTAGGGGAAAGTAATACGTACACAAGGCAGGACAAGTCAGCAAGATCATCGATGAAAGCAAACAGTTGAGATATATCATAGGTGATGCTCGGCGTGTTTGGGTTCATTTTCTTCAGATGCTCTTCATAGATTTTGCACACACCCTCCATGCACTCATTCACACTCTCGTAGTCCGAGTACGTGCGGGTCTCAGGTTTTTGGGTCGGCTGAACCAGCAGAATCGTGTGCGACTGGAAACGAGAAGAGTTTTCATGTTCAACTTTTCAAGTTTGATAAACAACAACATAGGAAACAAATTGCTAAAAAAAGATCATCAGAAATTGTTGAAGAAGCAAACAAACGTACCATTTCGATCAGAAAACTGTGAAGCGCACTTCTTAATTCAGTAAAGCCGTATAGACGCCTTAAAAAGTGCTGAAATTTAACTTTAAAGAGCCGAAGAGAGCGGTGTCAAAAGACGACGAAATTGACTTGACAGCGGCGAAAGTACTGCGCATGAACGCCATGTTGGAAAAGAGCGGGTTGAGTTTGAAAATTGACCAATCAGAAATGTACTTTTGCCACTATTGGCACACACGCCCCATTCTGCACATGCCTGATGTGGCCGGTGCTGACGCTTTCTTTCTTTAGCCGTCTAGTTAGGGCTTCGGCTGGAAACTCCTCGCGACTGCCTGCAAATTCACAAAATTCTTCACTCTACAAAGCATTATCAACGTCAGCAAGAAATTTAAGGAAGAAAATGTCCAGCCAGCAATACACTGCAGTCGAGCGAGGAGCACCTTACTCCTTCGACTATCGTATTTACTTCCGTAAGTGCACGCATATGTACAAAACAAACTCGTGTATGGCAAATATTTTGCATTTTTTTTTAATCCGAAACTTATGAAAATGTGTGAAATGGACTTCTTTTTTCCACTCTTTGTATGATTTCTAAAAATATGTATTTATTTTACCCTCAATACATAAGCTGAATTATTAACATGTTCGAAGTTTGATCAGTATGATAACCTCGGCTTTTCAAATGCATTCACCAATCTTTGTAACAGGATCACTTGAAATTTGTGCAAGGCTAAGCTTTTAATTTTTATCTGCATTATATTTGATAAAAAAAAAAATGAAGGCTTTGAAGGCTAAAATTAAATAAGATTTTCTGGTGCTTCGCATTATATCAATTTTTTATGCTTGGAAAAATGGGCTACAGTTTTACAGTTTAGGTTATGATATAAAAACTTGAATGCAATACATTTTTTTAATTCATAAATTAAAACAAAATTATAATTGGATCAGAGCTGGAATTCAAAGAAAAAATGTAGCGTCATTTGAATGAAGAAAAAATAATTTCTTAGATGATACTGTTGGAAGCAAGGAATGTTGGTCAGGTCAAACCCCTAGTGGCAAGTTAGCTGCTTCCCTATTCCACTCCAATTAATTGGTTTTATTGATTTCAATTGTGAAATCCAGAGTACATCGATTGGGTTGATAGGAACTAATGAAATAGGAATAAATATGGTCTTCTTTTAGACGTCAATATTATTATTTAATTTTCAAAACAAAATTAATTTAATTGAAATTTTCTCCAGGTGACTCAAATGGACCCATCTCACCAATGCATGACATTCCCCTCTTTGCTGACGAGGCCAACAAAATTTACAACATGGTCGTCGAAGTCCCCCGATGGACCAATGCAAAAATGGAGGTAAAATTATCACCCGAGTGCAAATGAGAGCAGTGTATGAATTTAAATTTTACAGATCAGCCTAAAAGAAGTGCTAAACCCCATCAAGCAGGACATCAAGAAGGAAAAGCTGAGATTTGTTGCCAACTGCTTCCCTCACAAGGGCTACATCTGGAACTATGGGGCTCTGCCTCAGACCTGGGAAAATCCTGAAATTCTCGACTCCTCCACTGGTTGCAAGGGAGACAACGACCCCATCGATGTCATGGAAATTGGACAAAGAGTCAGTAATACTCTCAGGAATAAGAAATTATAATTAAAAATTGTCCTAATATTCAGATTGCAAAACGAGGAGAAGTTCTGCAGGTCAAGGTTTTGGGCTGCGTTGGATTGATCGACGAGGGTGAAACTGACTGGAAACTGGTGGCTATTGATATCAACGACCCCTTGGCTGAGCAGCTAAAAGGTGGGAAATTCAAAATAATTTTTAGGCAATTTGTTAATGTTGAAAATTAGACATTGCGGATGTTGAAAGGCTGTGCCCAGGGCTGCTCAAGGCCACTGTCGAGTGGTATCGCATCTACAAAATTCCTGACGGCAAACCAGAGAACAAGTTTGCGTTCAATGGAGAGGCCAAGAACCGTGAGTTTGCCACTCACGTCATTGAAGACGTCCACAAGTTTTGGCAGGCGCTGCAGAATAAGGAGGCTGATGCTGGCGGCATTTGCCTGTAAGTTTTATGCATCTAAATAAAGAATTAGTTTTTAATATTTAAATTTGCAGTTCCACAACTACACTAGAAAGCAGCCCATTCAAAATTGACTTAGTGGCAGCTGAAAAGGTCATCAACGACAGCCCACCCTTGGGCGACCCAGAACCTATCGACTCTATTGGTTAGCCATTTATACAATATCTCTTAGTATCAATGTTAACTATTTATTTCATTGTTACAGTTGACAAGAACCACTTTATCAGGCTGAAGTAAAATACTCGGCAGGATTTTGAATTTGTAACAGAGCACGCTGCATGTATTGAATTCTGCACCTATTATTGAGATTTCCCTGAAGCCATGCAATGGCCTAAATAAAACACATAAAGTTGCATGTGGCACTAAAAATTTCTTTTGTTCTATTAACTTAGAATATTTTACCTTTGATTTAGTTTATATTTATATTGGTTCATCATAACGATGAGTGAATTAGAAAAAAATGCTACCATTGATATTGAGTTTTGCAAGAGTTACATATTCTTATACATAACGTCTTATTTATTTAATCAGCAAATATAATTATGATTGCTGTGGTTGCCCTCCAAATGCAGCATAAACACAAAATAATCTATATGTCAAAGACATCGACATGATCTCCAGATTCAAAGTTGCCGGATTCAAGGAGCTGAATCAGCTTTCCAATCGTATCCTCCGGAGTGAGGTAACTCCCATTGGTTCGAAGATCTTCAAAGGGCTTCCGCAGCTCATGACACTTCAACCCTGCCAGGATCTCGTCTGCCATATCAGTTAACACTGGTCCAGGGGAGTAATTCAAAACCTTCACAGTAGGCTCCTCTAATGCCAAAACCTGAAGTAAAAGATAAATCGAATAAAATATTTAATGCTAATTAAAAATTTTACCTTCAAAAACATCTCTCGGGTGGCTTTGCCTGTGCAGTAAAGGGCAAAACCTTGGAATGGTTTAATCCCACACAGGGAAGTAATATTAATCACCAATCTCTTGTACTTTTCTGACTTGGGGAATGCCTTCAGGAACATAGTATTCAACAGAATCATCGAACCAACATTGAGGTTGAAGTAGTTGTTGATCTCGTCGAGATCTTCAAAGTCTTTGGCAGAACGCTGCAAGTTGCCGAGCGAACCGGCGTTGTGGACAATCACAGCCCTCTCGTAATCATCAGGGTTGGCAGCAGCTTCGGCAATGAAATTTTTAATTTTTTGTGCATCCGGTGACTCCAGGTTGGCAGTCAGAGTCTCAACTACAACATCTGGCGAGCATAGACTTTTGCTTTCCTCCAACCCGGACGCTGATCTTGCCAGCAGAATAAATTTTGATCCGGCAGCAACTCTTTTGGAAAACTCAACTGCGATTGTCCTGCCAATGCCCTTGCTCGCTCCAGTAATGATGACGAAGGTTTTCTTATTCCACTCCATTGCCCTCAGCTTTCTGCTGATCGAGCTGGTCTGCCTTTAGTAATTCCACCAACTCGCCTGGGTTCAGCGGTTGCTCAGGCGCGACTCTGCGGACAACCTCACTTATTTCAATCGGCTGGTCCAAATCAATCTGCAAAAAATTGAATTGAGGGAGGAAATTAGAACAATTTAATTCTTTTTAATCAATTTTTTAATTTCTTACTAAAATTAAATAATTTTATTTCATAACTTTATAGCTACAGTACTGTGGAACAAAATGAAACGAAGAAATTTGCAAATGAAATTGTTTTGTCATTGCCCTGAAATAATTATCCTGAGAAGAAAATATGATAATTAATTTTAACCTATATTGTAAATGATGAAAGCGTTTTTTAATCCTTAGTTTCTAAATTGATTTTCCAATAAAGCGGCCAAAAACAACACCCACTTTAATAGAAAAATTTAAAAATTTTCGCACCAAATTTGGCCAGTTTAAGAAAGGTAAGTGGGAAATTGAAGCTAGTGAATTTTCCCATTAATTTGTGTCATTATTTTGACAAATTAAGACGGTAGTTTTTGTCCTGACAAAACCACCCGTAACGCCCGGACTCGGTTAGACTCATATTGTTTTTTTTTTTTTTTTAATATTTTACAAAAAATTATATGAGAAGCATTTAAAAGCAACTAAATTTTGCAAGTAAAAATCAGATTCTGGAACATTTTTATCCAGGGGAAATATTGAATAAAAATATTTATAAAAACTGTGTACACATATTTTGGAGGCAAAATTGTAAAATAACTGCGACATTTTATAATGTACTTATGGTAAAAATTAAGAAATATTTAGAAAAAAAACCTGCATTTTGTATAATCTTGAAAATAGTATCGCTACTAGCCGATAAGTTCACTATGGTCACAGAGTGATCATGTGATCCGCAGATTTTATTTCATTAAGAAGCGGAGCTCAAATTACTTAAGCAACATAACTAATCACTTTGAATTTAGTCACATGCTGCATTCGTTAAGGACTGTCGCACATGCTAGGGGAATGAATATACATATAAAGTCTGACTAGCGTCCGCGTGCTGTGGGACCGGTATATTAACTAAGATTTTTTACCACAGCCAAAAGAGTCCAGTCTGAACACACGCATTAATAGGTCACGCGCTTTTGGAATGACAAGAAGAGCTTGATCGGAACCAAAAAGAAAACAGCAGAAGATTCGCAACCAATCAATAGTATTTGGAGGAATTTTAATATTTTCTGGTAAAAATATTACTTTGTGCTTCTTTCAATCATGTATTCGTTACCAACTATAATTAAATTTTCTATTTACGTAACTGACACGTGCTAGCAAAAATTTTCAATGGAATTGATTTCTGAGAAAACATAGGTGAGGCAGATAAATAACGAAATTAAAAAAAAAATTATATTTTCCCTTCAAAGATTAATTGAGCAATTAGATGAATACTCACGTCGGTCGGAGAGGTGTTGGTGTTTTCGGTGTTCTCCTCGAGGAATCTCCTCATATACGAGTCACGGGTGTTGGCCAGGTTCTGAACCAGGTCTTTTTTGCCCCTCTGCTGCTGCAGCTTGGACAGTTTTTTCTCTGAAGCAGAGGGAGTGGAAGCGTTTTAGTTATAGTGTGGGCTCTGAACTTATAAAGTCACTCGAGGCCCAGCATATTTGCGTATCCCCCCACGGACGGAGGCAGTTAAAAAAAAAACATCAATAATCGGAGGATGAGAAGAAGAATAAGTTGCGGAATTTCTACCACGAGGAATATAATTTATATTTTTTCCTTCCAGTCCTCGGTGCTATTCGGTTCCATAAATTTGCCAGTCATATTTTTGCAATCACTTTTATTTTCCTTGCAAGGTGTGTCTTGCGCGGGTACATAATTTTTTTTCACCTGCCAAAAAACCTGTACCGACTGGTATGTTAATGTTTTGCGGCTCTTCAAAAAATCCTCTCGTTGCGTATAGACCATGTTGCGGTGTGAAGTTACATAATAAAATATGGGATCAGACTTTAAACGGCAAACGCGATTTTTACATTTAAACTAAGATCATTTTGCTACATTAAGTTTCAGCAACCTCTCGACAAAAAAATACTCAACGCGCGCTTTAGAGATAAAAAAGTTCAGGATGTCAATAATTTATCTCGTTCAGCAGAATACATTTGAAAAAGAAAATCTACATCAATTTTTATTGCCGGCGGCGTCTCTCTAAAAGTAACAAACTTTCTGCTGAAAGTGCTGAAACGTCCTGATTTTTTTTTGTTGAAATGAAAATTAGAATAATTAAATTGTCATGATGTTTAGTGCACGTAAGGGTACAAGTGGCCAATTATGTAATAGCAGGTTTTTATTTTAAAATAATTCAAAGTTCTGCGAAACACCTAAAAAATTCCCTTGAGGATATTATTAGAAAAGTGCCGCTTGGAATAGGGAGAAAATAATGGCTCAAAGTAAATTAATCTTTTTTATTTACCATCAAACCATTTCTGTGTTCTTTGCGTCTGAAACATTTAAAAAAAAAAAATATCAGACTTCAACAAAAACTGATCAAAAAAAGTTGAATAATTATTTCTGATTAAACTTTTTTCATTCTATTCAAGAAAGTTATATAACCTTCAATCTACTTGCAAAGAACCTGTGTATCTTGAATATCTTGATCTGACAAATAATACTAGTCTGCAAGCATAGGTATGCATTGAATACCAGCAACATGGTTTCAACATGTCCTACGACGTGCCGGGTCTCTCGTAAAAAAATAGCTTGCTACCTTTTTACAAGTTAATTAGGCGGAAAAAAATTCTTGCACGCTAAATAATTGAAAAAAAGTTGAAACAATTAGGTTGCTATCCACGTCGACCGACAACTTTTATTTTTTTTTAGGCATTTAAAAAAAATTCCGGGCGCTTTGTGACAAGTTGATTTGCGGTCAAGGCATTAAGAAAAGGCAGACCGGAACAAGAAACTGAACATTTGATATAAACGATGGTTAATGAGAAAAAACTCAAAAGTCACGTAGTCCACACCCTGTTACATAATAGAATGGAAACCACTAATTTAAAATCAATTAGTTTTTTTTTCAATTTCTTAATTTAACAAAGGTTTATATTTAATTTGCAGGATTAGAAGAAAAATATTAAATAATTAAAATTAATTTCATGTCTTAAAACACTTGAAAACTTTTAATTATAAGATCTTAGTGTGTTAAAATTGTGAGTAAACTCAAGCCTTTGTAATTAACACAAGAAATACTTTGGAATTATATTGCTAAATTGCTGAAAGAAGCAGAAATGAATGTTTATTTATATTTAAAATAATTATGTACTTTTTTTATATTTATACTGAATTACAATGAATAAAGGAAAAAATTATTTAAAAAAAAAAAAAAATATTTTTGCTTCTTTCAGCAATCGCCCACATGCATGAATAGAGACCTCACCAGTTTCGTGGCCAGCGCCGCTACTATTTGGTCGGTTTTGGGGGCGCGGGAAGGTTTGAAATTGGCCCCGGTGGCCAGATATTTCAGCCTCCCAGTGTAACCCCAGCGAATTTCGCAAGTCCCGGCGAGTTTTGTGGTCCTTGATGGACGAGTTATCGGATTGTATTCGAAAATCGCGGCTTAATTGCGCGGATCCCAGGGTGGGCGACGTTTTATGGCCGGAGAGAGCCGATTCCGAAAAAAGGAAGGCACTGGTGGCGCCGCCACATGTTAATAAGTGCGAACTTGGCCGTGGCAAGGGAGGGGGATCGTCTGCTCGTCATCGTGGGTTACGCCCCTGCCTCAAATTAAAATCAACAAATAAACAAAGTAAAAGCGAATAGACAAGGAATCACGCACTGTGTTTTTTTATCGTGAGTTTCTGGGCGAAAAAAGTTATGTCGGACTTTTCTCAATGGGCAGCGTGCGCGCCGATCACAACGCGGACTGCTGATGACTCGGGACTCGATCGCCCGACTCTCCGGACACTTTGCCCCAGCAGCGTATGTAATCTTTTTTTTTTGCCATAAATTTTTCTGTCTGGCGCTTTGTTTCAACTGATTCGATCTAAATTTAATAATTTTTAATATTTCTTTAAATTAAAAGTAAACTTTCAAACAGGCCGGTGCGTCTGGACGAGTCACTGCTGGATGATCGGAATGGGTTTCAACTTCGGACCAGAGGATGAGCAGCAAAAGGACGCTCTACACTGCAGCCATCACACGCAATGGAACCCCATTGATTGACCCTTGACCGCAAACCTGGAAGTTATGGCCAGCGGCAGCAGGAGCAGAGAAAATTCCATGGTGAAACTGTAAGTCATCTTTTTAAACGAAGAAACATGGATTATTTTAACCTAATTTATAAATGAAACAAGAAATTCCAAATATATTTTTAATTTATTTAAATAAAATGCAAGATTTAATTTTAATTTTCTCTCCTTTTGCCAACAAGGTGCCATTATTATTAATAGTTAATGCAAATTTCAGGTCCGAGGTGAGAGACGACTGCGACGAGATCGGAGCCCAAGATCAGATGTCGAGGAAGCCAAAATGAACTTGTCAGCTTTTGCTTTTGGATTTTATTTAAGTTTGTTTGTTCTGGAAAATAAAACTTTGTTGACACAATCAATATTTCACCTGTGATAATAAAAATCTTATATTAATTTTTTAAAGGATCCCTTCAGACAAATCTTGTTTCTTATTTTACCATTGTACAAACACAATCTCATGAGAAATTATAAATGATGAGCTTTTCTTCAAATTTACCAGATTTACAACGTGATATTATTAGCTTGTTCTAAAATTTAGAAATTTAAATTGTCTTAGATCTAAAATTAATCAGGAAAATAATTTTTCAAAATATGGAGGGTGATACAAAAATTTATTTCCAAGCCCAAGGTTTTCATATTATATAATGGGAAATGTTGATTGTGTCAACAAAGTTTTATTTTCCAGAACAAACAAACTTAAATAAAATCCAAAAGCAAAAGCTGACAAGTTCATTTTGGCTTCCTCGACATCTGATCTTGGGCTCCGATCTCGTCGCAGTCGTCTCTCACCTCGGACCTGAAATTTGCATTAACTATTAATAATAATGGCACCTTGTTGGCAAAAGGAGAGAAAATTAAAATTAAATCTTGCATTTTATTTAAATAAATTAAAAATATATTTGGAATTTCTTGTTTCATTTATAAATTAGGTTAAAATAATCCATGTTTCTTCGTTTAAAAAGATGACTTACAGTTTCACCATGGAATTTTCTCTGCTCCTGCTGCCGCTGGCCATAACTTCCAGGTTTGCGGTCAAGGGTCAATCAATGGGGTTCCATTGCGTGTGATGGCTGCAGTGTAGAGCGTCCTTTTGCTGCTCATCCTCTGGTCCGAAGTTGAAACCCATTCCGATCATCCAGCAGTGACTCGTCCAGACGCACCGGCCTGTTTGAAAGTTTACTTTTAATTTAAAGAAATATTAAAAATTATTAAATTTAGATCGAATCAGTTGAAACAAAGCGCCAGACAGAAAAATTTATGGCAAAAAAAAAAGATTACATACGCTGCTGGGGCAAAGTGTCCGGAGAGTCGGGCGATCGAGTCCCGAGTCATCAGCAGTCCGCGTTGTGATCGGCGCGCACGCTGCCCATTGAGAAAAGTCCGACATAACTTTTTTCGCCCAGAAACTCACGATAAAAAAACACAGTGCGTGATTCCTTGTCTATTCGCTTTTACTTTGTTTATTTGTTGATTTTAATTTGAGGCAGGGGCGTAACCCACGATGACGAGCAGACGATCCCCCTCCCTTGCCACGGCCAAGTTCGCACTTATTAACATGTGGCGGCGCCACCAGTGCCTTCCTTTTTTCGGAATCGGCTCTCTCCGGCCATAAAACGTCGCCCACCCTGGGATCCGCGCAATTAAGCCGCGATTTTCGAATACAATCCGATAACTCGTCCATCAAGGACCACAAAACTCGCCGGGACTTGCGAAATTCGCTGGGGTTACACTGGGAGGCTGAAATATCTGGCCACCGGGGCCAATTTCAAACCTTCCCGCGCCCCCAAAACCGACCAAATAGTAGCGGCGCTGGCCACGAAACTGGTGAGGTCTCTATTCATGCATGTGGGCAATTATAAAATATAGTTATGAGTAAGTATGTACATGAAATTTTTTCTAATTTCCGAAATTTCTCACTCAAAAATTATGATTGTGGCTCAAAATGTAAAAAAAAATTATTGCCAAAATTGTGAATGCACTTTTTATTAGAAATAACTCAAATTGAGACAAGTTGGATTTTCATGATGATATTTAATAATTATTTATGATGATTTTTTTGCAACATTGGCACGGAAATAATTAAGTGAATTTTTGTGTCTTATGTACCCGGCGGCGCTGTTATTCACATAAAAAAAACATCAAAATCTAACAAAGAACAGGAAAAGAACAAAACATAAAGGATTCAAAGGAAACTTTGTTGAATTCACTGGCAGATCTTCTTTCACGATGAATTTGTCAGGTAATGCAGCAGAATGCACGATTTAATGAGCAGAGTAAAATTGCAGTTCAGTGAACAAGTCAAGTTCCGTTGCATTCAACCTGCGAATAATAAGGACGGACAAGTGTAAAATCTCACCTAGAGAGGCAATGTACTCTTGCGAGTCGGGAAGAGGCTCGTGCTGCACTTCTGCGCGGTCAGTGAAGTTGTCCTCGAACGAATGGTCACCAACTGCATCAACCTGCGTCTCGCCGGAGCCCCAGGCAGCCATAATGCATCGCATTGCAAAAAAATCCCCGTTCCCCGTTATCTCTTCTGCGTTGCGTGCAAATCCTATCAACAAAAGAGGTGGGCGTTTCTCTTCAAATAGTTCGTAGAAAGCCCGTCAGGTCGTGCCACAGAACAAATAAGCTAAAAATGTAAAAATGCCTGCCAAGTGCAAAATACAAATTAAAACTTTTTTCTATTTCATAAATTTTTCCCACTTGCCACAGAAATAATTTTTAAGCTCGTAGTATAAAATATGTATGCTCCGAATGAAGATATAATACACGATTTTTAAAACAAAAAGGACACTTGGGCTCGGCCGGGATTTGAACCCGGGACCTCTCGCACCCTAAGCGAGAATCATACCCCTAGACCACCGAGCCGCGATAGGGAGACGAGATATTTTTAAATTACTTATTTTCAAAATCGAAATGAACCGCGTGCCAGAAGTATGGCCGGTGCATTAAAAAATACTTCTAAATATCCTAGTGAGCTCTACACAATACAACACCAAACTGTACACACATGTTGGATTGTTGATTTGAATCGTACAAACTTAACATAAGGTCCCTTTAAATGGGTTTATTTAAACTAAATTATAATGATTTATTAAAATCGGACTTTTATTTTTTGAATGCTCAAATTGTCACGCAAAATTTTAGATTTTAGGCATAGGCAATGTTCAATAATTGCATAATTTCTTCATTATAATTTGATGCAATCCATGCAAAAAATTAATTTTATTTTCATGTTATTCAATTTTCACCTTCATTACCTTCATTTGACAGCATAAGGATGGATGTACCTTGCGGCGCCGTCTGTGCTTTTGGCAGGTTGCCATACTCTCTGAAAGAAACACACGGCGGTGAGACACAGCCCATTTGACCAGAGCGGTTTGCTAGTTTAGTGCAAAATAAAATAAAAATAAAATTTCACGGCGAGAGGGTGGGTGAGTCACAAATGAGCGAGAATGACGTCAATCAGCACCAATGTCTCGCTCGTCGATACGCTTCTTCGGCCTCTTCGACTTTTGTTTATTTTCTTGAATGTGTAAGTGTTTGAGCGGATTTTATTGGATTGTTTAGCTTCAGCTCACGGGTCTGAACACTCTTTCGTTTTCTTCATTTTATAGATATTATAAACAACGGCAAATTAGTTCTGTTACTTTTTTTAAATTTAAATCAATTAATGCATTTTATGTATACGTCCAATAAAAAAAAAATTGTTAATACCGGTTAATACAAAATATAAAAGGTTATAAATTAGACAAAAAGACTAATTTTGCATGAGTACATGTTTGGAGTTTTTGTTTTAATTTATTATTTATGAGATGTAAATAAGTCTACAAATTATATCAATAACGAGAGTTGAAATCCATTTCATTTTCATACACATATTGGGTTGTAATTAATCTAATTATTGATCCATTTTTACAAAGTTGATTCACAACCAGACGGGGATTTCAGAAGAATTAAGTTTTGTAACCCACAGAAGCAGTGTGTGCTCCTGTTTTGACACTTATGCACTAATTCAGCAACAATTAATTGCCAATGATGTAAGACGTTTTTAATATCTTTGATTTATCACACAAATCATCAATAAATAATTATAGGAAATACGCAGATTGTAATAATTATTTCAAGATTTACACTTTGAACAATACTCAGAATCACGAATTGGGGTTTTTAGTGGCTTGTTTACATATGCCTACATAAATTGAAAAACAAGAAAAAATTTACAGGCTTTAGGCAAGGAAAGAACCAACATAAATTATTTTGCGTAGTGTTTGCTATGTAATAAAAAAGCGTGATGTCAGATAGAAGGAAAAAGTAGGCGCAAATATAGTAACTTCTTCGGATTCAGTTGTTACATTACTTGAGCAACACCCTAAGCACATTCGCCGTAATTGCTAATTTTTTTTTTCTTTTTTCACATTCACCCACGTTTAAAAGTCTGTCCGGTGTCAGAAATATACATTTAAAAATCACTAGAGTCAGTCAACAGGTACAGCAGAAGAGTTTCCTCCAGAAGGGGGTGGGTTTCAACCTCGGCTTGGGAGGAAGGGGTGCTCGGTAGATGGGGGGCCGAATTCGCGCCTGCTGCCTCAGTCCGTGCAGGATCGCTTGGTCGAACACCTCCTTCAGGTTGTGCTGCGTCAGGGCGGAGCACTCAATGTAACTGCAAGCACCCCACTGCGCTGCAACCCTGCGCGCCTCCGTCTCAGACACGGGCCTCTCTCCATACCTGAGGATTCAAATTCAAAATTAATTTTGTTAGTTAAAATAAAGTAAAAGTTAAGGTATAATAGTAATAGTCCTAGAGGTATTAATTCTATTTTTATGATTCAACTTATTTTTATGTTTCTAAAAAAATTTTCTATTTGAATTACTTTTAATTGTAGTTAATTGATTCAACGCCTCTGGCGTGCAAATACATAACCCTAAAAAACAAAACAAATTAATATCCATTATTTTTAATTATTGATTCTTTTTCAATTATCAAATTGCTCATTCTAACTAAAGATATATCTAAATTTTTCTTTAGAAATTGAATGCATTTTTTTTAAGATCATTTTTGCAACGATTATCATTATTTTAAGGATAATTATAATTTATATTATAATTAGATCTAGATGCACTTAATTTTTTTCTACTAATTCCATAAAAAATTTCAAAAAATTTGGAATTCCAAATCGAGTTATCATGTAATTCATGATTTAATTTTTATTATTAATTTGATTAATTTCATAAAAATTGAGCCGGAAAATTTTTATTAGTCCAATTTTATTTGAATAAAAAATTGTCATCTGGTTATTTTCAGAAAAATGAATTTTTTACAAATGTCAAAAAATATTACCTTGCTAGTCTGACAAGAACGCCAACGTCCGCTCGGAGGTCACTTTGAGTTCCAACAAGCAGAATCATCGAGTCCGGACAGTGCGCCCTGACTTCAGGTATCCACTTGGCGACGGCATTGTGAAGGGAAGCCGGCGAGACCACCGAGAAGCAAACTACGAAAATGTCCGTTCCTGAGTAACACAGGGGCCTGAGCGAGTCAAAGTCGTCCTGAAAATCAAAACCAATTCAAACATCCGTTTTTAAATCCACGCCGGGAAAATTGGAGCGCATTGAAATTGGGATCAAAGAATAATTTCCTGATTCACCACAAGTGTCAGTGGCGATTTTCTGACCGTTTCATCAGAAATTAGAGCGAGAAGGGAAATTAGTTTTGGCTGTCGGCGCAAAAACACAGACACGGTCACAGTCAATTTTTGCGTCAGAAGGAAAATTTGCGCTTTGATATTCGGCAAGAGGAGCGGCAGCTGCCTGTTCCTCACTGCCGGTCCATCATCTCAATTAACATGGCAACGTGGCACTCTTAAGAAGAAGCAGTGCACCTGACTCCAGCATGAGTATTTGTTCTTGCTGGACCAGTACATACAAGGTTTCTCTCTCTGCCTTTGCACTGCTCTACGTCCAAGGTTTTAATACATTTTTATTCATTTCCGATCTATGCCGAGTAAATAAAAGATTTCCAGATTTCTTTGAATAAATTAAGTTAATTTGCAAATTATTAATTTATATTAAGATTTGTTAGCAGAATATTTTACTAATTTTTTTAGAATACTTTGATGATTAGTTTTAAAAATCAGCTAAAATCGAAGTTATTGGCAAAAAATAGCCATCTTCTTTGATTCCATTATGTAACATTTTGTTTCGCCTAAAGGTGTATTTTTTTAAATTTTTGATTATTTTACAAAAATAATATGATTTAACCTATAATATTTTATAGGTTAGTTTTCATTATTTTGTTTTATATTTCAAATAATTTTCAGACCATCAACACACAAAAATTTGTGAAAATCCGGGAAAAGATTTAATTTTTTATGATTCAAGCACTCAAATATTTCAAAATGTATTCTTAAAAATTTATATTATTTTGTAATATTTAAAATTAATAAGTCTGTTCACTACTGAAAATTGTGGGTCATAATCAATTTATTATTATTATTAATTATTTTTTAATTATTTCCAGAGTAAAAAGTGAACGTCGTTGATTGAGAGCTATAAGTGCGTCGGCGCGGGTCGCCTCCGACTCAATTATTTAACTGCATATACCGGCAGAATTTAATTTCACTTTGGCTGCTCATTTTATATATTTAAAAATGTAGCTCCAACCCGCAGCAATAAACGGTGGTGTGAAATGAAATGCGCAAGGCTTCCAGCCAGGAGTTTTGAGCAACGGCGTGGCCTCTGGCTTTGGATATGGTCTGTAGTGCAATAAAAGCACAATTCGCTGCAGAGAGCGTCTGTCTTTCAAGGCCCTTGGTAGCCACGGACAATCGGCCCATCGCGTGACAATATTCAACGGCGAGCTGCTGAATTCGCCAAATAATATACAAACGGCCGACACACAATAGTTGCGAAGTCTAAAAAAAGTTGTGAGCGGCGGTGCGGGAGCTCCGAGGAGAGGACAAAGGAGCGACGAGATGAAGCATAGAAAGCTGATTTGTGAGGCTGCTTGGCGCACAATAACACTCTCGCGCGTCGAGTAATTATTATTCACCATAGTCTCGCAGCCCAAGTGACCAAGGCAGCTTTCACGGTGTACAGACAGACACGGTGGCGTTTCTCTTTGAGGCGCTTCGAGCTCCTCTGCGAGCAGAATCAATTTGCGACCCGGACCATGTCCAAATTGATTCTCTTGAATCAGAAAAAAATGGGGGTGAGACTAATCGCCCACGTTTTTCTCCAAAAGATTTGATATAAAACCGATAATGCCATTTTTGGTTTATCTTGATATGTGTACATTTTTAAAAAAATATAAAAGAGATAATACATTTATGGATATTTTAGATTATATAGCAAAACCTAAAATTTAAAAAAAGGAGAAAAATTCATTTTTTGAAAAACTAATTTTAATCTAAAGTATTTTTAACAAAAACTCTCAAATCAGGATAATTTTTCAGCCAGTTTCAGAATTTCACATGAAGTTTCGTAATGAAACCTAAAAATTTTAACTTCAAAACTCTCTCTAAACATCTATTAAAATGATCAAATTATAACAAAAAACACAGCATCAATAAATTCATATTAAAAAACTTATAAGGCTTTTGATCTTGATGGGAAACTTAATCTGATCGCCTTGTGTCTTGCTAAAGTGGAGCAAATTTTTGATCATTTTTTTTTTTTTTTAATCTTTCGGAGAAAACATGTGCAGCGAAACCCTTTCTTGGCGCGCGCAACAACTGTTTTAGAACAACACCCACGAATTCTTCCACATCTCCATGCCACAGCTGCCTTTTTTCGATCCAAATTTTTTTGCTCCCAGCTGAGTTATAAAATAATATATATTCTCCACCACACATTAAAAAAGGGACCACCACTGAACGGTGGCAGATGTCACAAGAGATATGTGCGCCTCCTCGAACTCTTTCCCTCTCCAATTAGCAAAAAGAGGCGGAAGAAATTTGTTACGGCAGCAGAATTAATGTAAGGTGGAATAAAAGTGATGGGCTAGTGGAATGTAGATAACATTCAACAATGTTTCAAAATATATCTGAGAGTTTAACTTGGTTTAACTATTAAATTCTGATTCTCAATGCTATAAATTCCTACAAAAGATAAATTTATAGTTAAAACAAAATCACGTTTCTTCAGCAATTTGAACTACAGGGACTATTTTAATTATCCAGGAAAATCAAATCGCTCCCACTTTACGCAGCTCATTTCCATTTTGAGCACCCCGTGCGTGCCGAGCTGTTTTATTCCGACCGAGATAAGGCACGTTTCCAATTTCCAGCAGGTCTTTTGTTGTGTGATGGCATAACACACCGAGAGACAAGCAGTGCTTCAGGGAGGTGATTGTGTTTCTGTTAGATATAAAGTTTTTTATGAGAACCTGAGAAGAAGCCTTTGGGTTGGACTTTCCTGACACAGAGGAAAACTTTGGCGTGAAATTCGAGCACCACATGCCAGAAATAAAATCACGAAGGAACAACAACATGTTGGCAGTTGGTGCCTGCTGCATCTCCGCAGCAAATCACTCTGGCGAGGGGATTTTTTAGGTTTCTCTCAACAAACCAGACGAAACTGCTTTTGCTATAAGATTGAATTCCATAACATTTGCTGATCTTTGTAATTAATTCCTGATTAATGCAAGTTTTGCTAAATGAAATTCCTGGAAGTGCATATTGTCTTTCTTTGGAATTAAAATAAAATGTCACGGAAGAGTTCCTGCTTAACTTTAATTTAAAAACAATTAAATTATCATCTGCCTCCAGCATAGTAATCGTAAACAATAAAAAAGGAAAAAAAGTAGTGTGATTTTATTGAGTCGGAGCTTTATTGGAATTATTATTTTTTATTTTACTTTTTTGGGTCAGGCCAGGACAAAGTCTTGTCAGCCTGTGCCCATTTTTATTAGCGCAGAAGGCGCCACTCAATTTTGTCTTTTTATTATTTAATTTAAGCTTTACTATTTGGATTATTTGTATATTTGAGGAATAATATTTGTCCTCAATTTCTGTCCATTAATTTCAAAATCAATATAAATTAATGCCTTCAGTGAAACTCCTAATCAGTATCAATGACTTTACTTGTATTATAGCATAGAAGGGATAATGCGACGTTGGTTCCGTGGGCGTACCTCGAGCTCAGAGGCAAATTGCAAAAAACGTCACGTCTGCCGCGAGCGTCTTGTTCTTTGACGGATCGCACTTAAAAACAATAATCTGCGCCACCAATGATCACGCAGCGCCACGCTGCGGTTCTGTTTATTTACCAAGAGCACAAACACACAAGGCACCCATCACGCCCATAAGCATTAAAACGGTGATGCAACACAAATTGTTCGAGCACATATGACGTTTTTTATTTTTCTTTCTTTAGCACTGCTGCTCACTTCTCTTTTACGATCGAAAAGCACCAAAATCCACCTGCTGAGACCAAAAATAATAATTTTTCCAGGCGTCTTCATAATTCTAAGAGGACACAATTGAACATAAAAATTTGTCTCTATCCCACAGGAAAATCTCTTTCCGAGACAATGACGTGAAAAAATGCACAAGCGAGAAGATTATCTTCTTTCACAACTCTTTCTTTCTTTCTTTCTTTTGCTTTTGTTAGAGCTCAACATTTTGCCCCATTGACCTTCGGTGACCTTGTGACTGACGTATGAAGGTTGTCTGCAAGCGCGTGCATAGTTTTCTTCCTTGCTCGTGTATATAAAAAAACCTGCTAAATTGAGCAATGATATAATAAAGTAAACCATAAACTGCGACGAAATGATAATGGGTGATCAAGTCAAGGAAACTTGCGGATTGTGACCAGAGGCGGTTTTTTATGTTTGATAATTACACGTCTCTCAAAATGATCACCGAGGTCCTAAATTAATGAATCGATCCATGCAAAGATTGATGTCAACCAGGTGGTCCAAATAATAAAACATCTGGTCCGTACATGAGTTCTTTTTCGGCTCCTTAAAAGGAACTTCTTTGCGTTTCATTAAGGTCTTTTATATGTGCGTTGATTTATAATTGGCATAGTCACACATTAGCAAGGATTTCTTTACATCAATCTAATCAACCCGATATCAATTTGTGTGCATGTTTGCCTGATTCATTTACGCCTTAATGAAGAGGGAAGCGTGCTCTGATTGATTTGTTAAGATCAAAACAATAAGTCAGGTACGGCAAGTGAGCCTTCAGGTGAGGACGACAAGCAATTAAAACCACCACCTCAGGTGTATGTATTAGAAAATGCGATTTGCAATTCAATTAATATGCTTGAAAGTGCGTGGACTGTTGCGTGTTCCTTATCTAATTGCGAATAATATTATTTCAGAATAGGAAATAGTTTACTATTGTAATTCGATATTCGAGCCACACACCCGGTGCTGTTTGAAAATTCAAAATTAAATAAATGCTCACTCAAGCAAAAAAATTTTTAAAGTACCAGCAGACCGCAGGTCGCCTTTTGAGGTCAGTTGTCCTTTATTTTATCATTTTTTCTTTACAACGAGGTTTGCCCGGTTTCAATTTTTCATGAAATCCACCTCGAGTGTTGCCACTCAATTTTTTTAACTCATTTAATTGTTTAAAATATTACAGATAAGTATTAAAACTTATCATTTTGCTTGTAAATATTGGGAAAAAAATCAATATACAAATGCAACACATAATTTAATTCTAATTATAACTTTTGATCTGACACATGCGTAAGCCAAAAGCTAATTGCGGCTAAGTTGAGCGCGGCCAGGCGCCTTCTTTAATAATATTAACCGTCCCACTAACACTCAGGTGTAGTGACTCAGCCGAACAATTATGCAAATTGGGTGTTGAAAAAATAATTTATAAATTTGCGCTCGTTCCACAGGCTAATTGCGACACTTCTTTGAAGCGTCGACGACCAACTGTCTTGTGCGGTGTGTGCGTTGGCCATCCTTGTAATGGCTCTGGCGTTATTAAAACAAGGCTGCTTCCAAATGAGCGCGACTGGTTCTCCAAGTATGGGAAATGCACCGATGTGCAGCACACAATGGAGAGCGAAATAATACGGAACGCCTCTCAGCAGTCTCATTACGGCGTGTATATGATTGCGACCACAGTGGTTATTGCAATTCAAATAAACTCAAGAGTATAATGGCATGTGAGTGAGTGAGCCTCGCTCCTAATTGCGCCGAGGCTGCATTGCTTACTTTTGATTGCCTTCAGTGGAGCGCGAGAATTTTCGTCAACTCGTAAATCAAAATTTAAAAAAAAGGAAGTTTACCGTCTGTTACGTCTGCCAAAATGCAATTATAAGTCTCAAAAAAGCAGCACCCAGGAATTTGGTTCATATTTTGTAAGGCTTACGCAAGAAAAGCATTGTGCAAATTGTTGAAGGTGATTCTTGGAATTATATTCCTGCGGTTTGTATATCGAAAAAATGAGAGTTTTCGCTTTTGCGCAATACCTTGAGGGGGATATGTTTATAAAACAAATAATAGAGCTTTTGGAGGACAGCCAGAACTTCGTCATAAGTAAAAAAAGGACTAACTCTACAAAGAAAAAATTCAAAAAATACTTTAAAATTTGGGAGTTTAAGAAAACGATGGATAAGTCTGAAATATTCCGAAATTTAAGACCAGTTTAAAACGTTGTGTTATAAAAAATCAATGCCAATATTTTTATTTTTTATTTAATAACACGGTATTATTATTTTGAATGAAATTGCATAAAATTGGTTATGTTTATTTGATCACACGGCTAGAAAAAAATGAGAAACTGTTCAATTATCTTTGCGATCTGTTTGAGTTAAGAAAATGTTAATATTTTAGACTTACTGCCACTCTCTTTAAAGTCAAGAATTTAAGCTCCCTCAAAAATTGCGTCAAGAGACATATAAATTGTAAGTTTCTCTTCAAAGAAGCTTGACAAATTTACAATAGCACCTGGAAGTTCAATCTTGATCTCTTCCAATGAAAGGTGCTGTGAACCTCTTATTTTTTGCTAGACAAAAATTGTGGGGCCAACCCTTTTTTAACGGAACGTATTAATTTTCAAGCGGCGCAGTTTGGCTTCTGATTGATCTGTAACTGACGAAAAGGCGACTCGAACAAAAGTCATCTGATCTTTATCTGGCCGCTGCCTCTGCTGGGCGGAAGACATTTGATACGCACTTTAGTCGCGAACAAAAAGGAGATTCTCTCAGATATAATAGAAGATAGACGAGGGGATGAAGAAGTCGGGTGTAATTTATTTTATATCCTTACCTGGCCAGCTGTGTCACAGAGCTGCAGTCTCAAAGGTTGGCCGTCGATCCGAACCACAACTGCAACAGAATGAAGAAGGTTGAGTTTTAAAATAAATCCAAAGATTTATCTGCAAATCATGTTAATTTAAATAGACGCACAATAGGGTTGATTGACAAGCTGAAACTAATGAACCAATCGAGCTCTAGGTTAATAAGCACTCCTTAAAACAACATGATGGAATAATCAGCAATGCATTATTCCAGACACATCTGCGAGCTCATGATTAAACAAGTGGCTCTGCTCATTAATTCCATTCACCATGTGCATGCACACAACGTCATGTCCACTTCCAGCAGACGGCTCCCAATTGTATTATAATTTTTTTTTGCATTGGCATTTCTGAGACTGCAGTCATATTGCGGGCATGTGTTCGGAATTGCGAAATCGCGATTATTGTCTCTTGATTGATGGATCCATTTGCAAGTCTAGACGCGTGAATATTTGCGTCTGCTTGGCTCGCTTTGTGTTTATTAATTCGGACATGCCGGACAAATACCAATCGAGACCGCGACTTTTGCTCGTTACTCTGTTTGTCTGCTTATTGAACTGAATACACGCTCCGTCACCTCTATTTATATATTAAGTGACGCCAAATAGCCCCGATGTGCTTTACTTTGTTTCCATTTCTGTTGTTTGCAATCATTATCCATCATGTAGGTCGATCCGATGACATTTAAGACAATGTGACAATGGGATTTGATTGACAGCGGAAATTATTTAAAAATTAGAGCGTTTTCAGTTTTTCTGTTCCGGATCTTATTTAGTTAAAAAAGGTATTTAAGGGTGCGTAAAAAATGGGAATCTCTTACAAAAGGTGAAAAAAAAATGTTGATTCTGTATATTTGTTAAAACAATATTGGAAGTTCAGACTGGATCAATTATTTTTTTAAATAATCCGCTTTTACCTTTCTAAAATATTTTGTATAAATTTGTATAATGCTGTTTTAAACTTCTTCCTACTTCATTTAATAATAATTCTATCCAGTTAAGTAACAATGCAGCCACTCGTGTGAACTGTTTTCACATGTGCTGGAAAGCGCACATTTGTATCTTCCCATTCAACCAGCAGAAAAAGTGCAGTGCGTGTGTTACACATTCCGCGGGTACTTTATTTTTACATTATGTGTGACTTTAAGTGCTCCTATACGGTCTGCCGACACTCACTTCCTTTTCACCAAGAAGATAAAAATAATAGACAAGGCAGACACGACAGAAAGCTGGCAGGGGTGACCAACCAACTTGACAACTTATCGTCTGGTACGACCGTCCCGTTTAAAACGCGTTCAATATAAAATTCTTTCACCATATCTTATTGTTTTTCACTATAATAATATAAAAAGAAGACAAACAAATGTCCGGAAATGTGAGGAAATAGCAGTGCACACAAAATCATTTTATTCAGTCATTGAAATGGAAAAAAATATTAATTATGATTTTATGGGAGAATTGCCTTCCGCAACGTGATTGAAAATCACTTTCCGCCTCAGTAAACCAAACAATATGCCAAGAACAACTTTCATTTGATGGTGCACGCTATAAATCCAAGATTTATGTGAATAAACTAGTAGAAGATAAATTTATCTCCTTAAATAATTGTTAATTAAACATTTTTTTATTCACAATAGCAAAAATAAACGTTTCCGGTTAATTATTAAAATTTATGAACGCCTCTAACAGCAGAAAGCATATTATTTTTCTCGTGAAGGAAAAATATAATTTGATTGCTTTTGGATTTTTATTGAATTAAAAATAATTTGCAAGTTATATTAAGAGTTTTTCAAACTCTTGAAGCCTTTCGAGAAGTCCAGTTTCACGGCAGTTAAAATAATATTTTACATCTGCAAGCAAAATAAACGCCAACGAAGTTTTTTTTTAGTTTTCAATACGTGGAATGAGATTATTCAGATTTTCCTCAACTCAACACGTGGCTTGCGTGAGTGGTGCGTGTCGCGTTTTTAGATCTTTGCGAATCAGACACGAAGGGAATTTATTTACACAAAAGGGGCATCTGCTCGAGCTTTTACAACCACGATGGAGAAAAGGCGAAGCAACACCTCGTTGGATGGTTTCATAAAACAATTAAATTAACAAAAGAGTCTGGAGTTTTTTGCAACCGGAGACACACATGGCGGTGCACAAAAATGATAATTAAAGGAAATCAGCTGCCTTTCCTGAAGGAAAAAAAATTCTCCTAACTTAGCGCTCATTGATGACATAGCACGCCAACCCGCAGGTGTCAATTTGTTGATGAACGCCGTTTGCTACTCTCGTGACTTGATCCGGCAGCTGCCTACGCCATCAGTCAAGTTCATATGTAAACGTGCGGTACCGGAACTTCAATCAGATTTAAATTTAATTAGTTTAACCTCTCAGCTACAAATCAACTTGATTTTGAGCAGAATATTTTACCCTGGATTATTTTTAAATGTTGAAACGTAAAATTGATTCATCCATGGATTTAAGAATTATTTTTAAACCTTTAAAACACCAAATTAAAACTAATATTAATATATTAATTTTTAAAAATTTTTAAATGAGTTACTATAAATCAGAAAGTGAACTTTAAAATCCAATTTTCCAGTTCTACATCAAATATCCCTGCTGAATTGATTGCGATTATTAAGTTTGTAATTAGTTCAGCAGACAATTTGGTTAACAAAACAACCTTACTGGAGGTCCGATATTTTTGCATTTGAAAGGAGCAGCCCACGAAAATATACTGGTCCGACGAGCTTTGGTCATGTATCAAATAATGATTTACAGCCGACGGCGAATACACGCGTCGTCCATAGCCTTTTTCAGTTGTGAATAAAATAAATACGGTGAGAGAGAAAGAAAGATGAGTCACTCTAATAAGTGCTTGCGCGGTCGAATAGAAGACGAAGAGCAAACTGGTCAGCAGCAGCCGGCCCGGCGCTTGCATATTTATATATTTTTAAAATATGCTCTCGGACTTCGTCTTGCCTGGTGGTTATTTTAGTACAGTTTGCCGCAGTTTCGTTCGAGACGAGCAAGAAAACTTATTCGAGTGTATAAAAGCCGCAGGCGCATCCTACGGCAAGTGATTTTTCAGCCTGCTGACTGACGTCTCTGTCTCTTCTCTCTTCGGAGAAAAAAGCTCAACCCACGGTTATGTACACACTCATTTCAAAACAAACTCTTTTCTCTCCCCAAAAACTGCGAGTGAAACTTGAGGTCGGCTAATTAGGCGCTGCAAGGTGCTTATTTGGGGAGGAAGCGGCATGAAACTTCCACGCAGAAGAGCAAAAGTCAATGACTGTGATTAATCTTTGGCGAGATAAAACCCATTTGTTTGTCGCAATGAGTGCCAGCTCTAATTGGCTGCTTGGTGTTAAATGACAAAGCAGGAAGTTGTGCCTTATCTGTTTCCAAATAAATTGACGGGATGAACTGGCTGGAAAATTGACTCTGGTTTGAACTAGCCTTATGAAACAGATTTTTTTATAGAATTTGATGAATAGCTCTAGAAACAGATGCAAAAATTGCAAAAATTTGTATTTTAAATTTTTGTTAAAAATTCATATTGTATTGTTTCAAAAAACGGAAATTTTTTTGGAACGGTTCTTTTTCCACTTACTAGCTCCGATCCATTTTTCACGCACAAAATTCAAGGTTGCGTCTGTTTAGAAATCCTGGTGCCTCGGGTGGAAAGGTGCGATTTTAGGACAAAAGGTCGGTGAAAAGAGGCAAAGCGCGGTGTCGGCCTCTCTTTGTGAGCAGCAGCAGCATCACCTAGCTCCAATCAGGCAGCTCAAATTAGTTGTTTCGAAAATTAGGGGGTCGTTGCCGACGTCGGTTGTGGCAACTCAGCCTTATTAAGTGTGATTATGGCAGGGTTTCGGGCGGAATCGTAGCTCGGCGTGGGAAATGAGCCGCGGCTACCTCCGCGAGAACAGAAAAAATAAGAAGCGGCGGCGTTGCCAAGAGGAGTCCAGGTGGTCGGCAGGCAGGTGGGATATATTTTGTATCGGGCCAAAAATAATGATACCACTGCGCGAGAGAGTAATATTTTCATGGCCATTCAAGAAGCTGAGGTTCGATCTCAAATTTTACCTGCACATACTGGAACGAGAGCTAGGCAGCTCATTGCCGGGGGCGCAGTTTCTGAAACTTATATAAGAGATGGCAAGGAAAATCGGATTCAATCACTTTTTCTTCAAATATGGTTTACGGTTTGAACTGCCGAAAATCGAAAAAATATTTTGTATCTGCAATGAACCTGAACGTTTTTATCTTTCTTGCTTAAAAAAAATCATATTCAATCAAGACGTGCACATATTGATTAATTTTGTAACCAAAATTTAGTAAAATTATTATTATTTCCGCAGTAAAATTGTATATTGAGAGACTCCAATAGAGCAATTACAGTAAAAGAATAAATTATTCAATTATGAATTTAAAATGATTTATGAGAGGTAACTTTATTTGCATTAAAGTTGAGGAAATGAAAATTAATTTAATTTTTTTTGTATGAAAAGAAAAGAAAAATGAAATTTTTGTGAAATAGTGGTTTTGATCAGTTTGTCTATAAACAATTGGATTGCTACACTAAGCATAAAATCTATAGATTTTCCATAAAATATCTCGCCGAAAAAAATGGGAATTACGATTTATGCCTGGTCCCTCATAATTTTCAGAGGAAAGACTTGTTGCACTAAAGTTTAAAAAGTAGAGTGATATTGATGCTCTAGTTGCGTGTCCTCTCGCGTAATGATTTCACAGCCTTGGCTACTTGCCCACTAAGTGCTCGGTTGCAATTATTCAGTCCCTCGCTTGTGTGACAATAAATTATATCAAAAGAAGTTGGTGATCCAATTTGCCTTGAAAGTTGAGAACGTCGTTCCTTATTGTATAATGCTTGGCAAAAAATCGAACTCCCAGCCGGGGGGAAATTCGACACCCGAACGAGAGAGGATATTGAGCGTTTTCATATCGTAAAGAAATTGACATCGTTGGTGGTTTTGTGACCTTTGGCAAGAGAGTAACGTCCCATATAACTGGTTCACCTTTCCTATGGAGGTGTTTTTGTCATAAATTTATCTCGTGTGCGTCAGGAGAGAAGTGAGAAAATTCATATTGAGTAAGATCAAAAATATTTAAACTAAAAGCCACCTACATCAATTTCAGCCTATCTTGCTGCGAATGCTGATGAACTGGTTGGGAAAAGGTGAACTATCTTACTTAGTAATGAAATAATTTGTCTTCGAATATCAATTAAAAATATTATAACTTAAGAATTAATTTAAAAAACGGCCAATATGGTAGTAAAGTTTTGTAACATATAAGAGATAAAATATTATATGATATTTATTCCTATTTCTAAATCTTGACCAAAAAAATGCATTTCAACGCTTCTTAACATGGACTTTCCAGTGCAAGAGAAAATAACACATAATTAATTACAAAAGAGCCAAAATGTCGTTCTTGTTTTGCATTAAGTGATAATTAAATATTATATTTTAAATATTAAAAAATATGACTTAAAAAATAAAAATGATTATAATTGCTAAAACAAACCTAATAAAAATTTTAATAAATCAGGACTAAAAATATGTTATATCAATAAAATAATGGATTTGTTATTAAATCTTGCAATCAGAAAAACCAATTTTGACAGAAAAACCAATAATATTTGTCTCTTGCCTGGGGAAAATTATGAAAGCCACGATCTCATTGTCAAATAACTGATTTGAAATTTCTTAACCTTGATGTTACACGTTCAATGATTGCTTGCTTGAAACTTACATTATCTGATTGTGAGTAAAATAAAGAAGTAGAAGAAATACTTTAGACTTTTTTCCATCCCAAATGTAGCCTTGGTTTTCAGAGCCGAATAAAATTTCTCTATCAATCAGCGTTCAGAAGGTAATTTGCACCATAAAGTAATTATTAAAATGACCAGCACTTTTTTAATAAAAAACAGCCTCCGCTCCACGTCTTGCATCTCCAATATTAGATTGTAAAAATTTCTCTCGCGAGTTTTAACTGGAGGCGAGTTGAATTTTCTTAGCAAACGTCCTCATTTCGTCGTCCGCGTTTCAAATCGACTTCTTCCGAATTTTATTTTCGGCATGTGGTGCAACGGGCTCGCGTCGTCGTTTCTAAAAACGCTCGGCTTTAAATCATGGTCCCGTCACGTCCTCGCGCAGATTAAGTCTTATTTCTGCCAAACTTAATTTCATCCGCACAAATCCATCCACACGCATGTCAAGTGACAATTAAAGGGGGTGGACAAAATCTTTTTCTCCTCCACACACGAAATCCTGCTACTTTGTGTAGCTGCGGGGTGTTTCTCTTAATGACATGTTCCTAAGCCCCCGACAACAACAACCAGCAGAAATTTCTTTCTCACTGCACCCACCATTCACCCCCTGTTCCCCCCTCGAGGGTGCATTGTGTGCGCCGTCGGCCGGTGATACGCTAGGTGGGTTTATTTATCGATAGACTATAGATGCACACACAAAAAATCGTGTTTCCCACAGACCCTGTGGCATGGAAACACGAAAGAGAGATTGCTGCTCGAGGGGAGAGAAAGAGAGTGGCTGAATTTGGGGAAAATAAATTTTAGCCTTGTGTTGAATGTCACTCTACACGTCCATTTAACACGATACTCGACAATTTTTGGCATCAGTTAATCAAAACAACTCAAGGACGAGGACCAACAAACATTTTTTTCTTCTTGCTGAAGACTTTTAAACTGCCCAATATATTTTTAAAGATCAGACTGATTAACAGCTTACATCGACCCAATTAAATTGATTTTTTAAAGATAGTTTATATTTCATTCTAATTTTAATGAGATATAAAAAATAAACTGACAAAATAAATAATTTACAGCTTTTATTTTCATAATAGGCAAATATATGGAGCACGATTTGTTATGATGAGAACTTTTTCCTGAGCCGTACCTACTTTTAAAGTTTAATAAATCAATTAAAATTTAAATACAATATTATAAGTCTATTCCCATAACATTAATATTATGCACTTGTTTCAGTCGATACTTGATCCGAAACACGGTCGTTCTCACGTCAAAATAGCTATTATTTTTTTTATTGTTTCACACGAATTGGGGTTTCTCTCGTTCTCGTTTTGACGGTCGGAGCGTCTTTTAACGGAAGCGGTAACGCGTGCAGGCCAGATTAATAATTTGAGTCACCTCTCTTTGCTTGCTCAGTTAATGATAAGAGAGAAGTGATCAAGCCGACGCGAATAAAAAGTATAGTGATAAACTGCTTTCGCATGAACGCGGCGACTCGCAATTATTCGCCACGCCTGATAAAGCAAAATGTCTCGCCGGGAAAGGGATAATTAACACTGAACGTTCAATTAGCACGGGTAGATAACACCAGCCGAGCGTGATTTCACGCAGACTGGCCTCGCGTTTATTAACCCTTTTAGTCCAAATCGATAAATATTGATTTGGAGAAATATATCCCCTTCAGTAAATTCAAGTAAAGACCTTTCTATTTACTATATATAAAATAAAACATAAATTGTGAGATCATGATTTTTTCTAATAAAATTTCAAGCCAATGAAGCGCATAAGCAAAAATGATATCTGCAACTGATTTCATGGCAAATATTGAATGTAGGATAATGATGATTCCACGATTTGCGCATTTCAGCGCTTTTGCTGCAATTAATCATTCCATTCTTTTGGAAATCGCTCTTGTAACTGCGCAAGATTATCACGCAAGAACAATGAAGGCATTGAAAAAGGCAAAACGGAGAGAGGCGCTTTAGAAAGGACCACAGGGAAGGCGCAGTGAATTCTGGGAAACAAAAATTGTTTGATTTATGGCTCAAATCTGCACGGCAAGAAAGGCAACTTTTTGACTCTGGCCGAGATTTGAGGTAAATGAGTAATGTCAATATTATTTGTGGCGTTATATTCCTGCTGCTCTGAAGCTTTGACAAATTACTGCTATAAACACTGCAATAAACAGCATAGACAGTAAAACTTAAAAATGCTATTATTAAAACTTATTATTGCAAAGTTTTATTTGTTTTATCAATTAATTAATTTTTTTGGGTTATTTATAAATGTTTTTATACAAATTTATGTATATATTTGAATGCATTTAACAATAAATAAATAAATTATAATTAAGGCATTGATAGAAAAATAAACATGTCACAAGAAATTATTCACAGCTAGCGTAATTAAGTAACTATGTTAGCTCTTAAAGCATTAATTATTCAATTATGCAATTTATTATTCAATAAAACTCTTAACATTGCTAAAATTCTCTGTTATTATAATTTTAATAATATGTATATTTTTTTTATCTCATCCCTCTTCCAGAATTTATCACAATAATTATTTAATTTGATAATTTTTACTATCAATGTTTTCAACCTCTGTAGAAATGCAGCAGAATTAAAATATATAACACAATAATGAAAAATAGAAGGAAATATTTATATAAGTACTATAATAGGGGTTTTTAAATTAATCTGAAAAATTTAATGATCTGAAATGAGTGGATTCGCAGATATTTCTAAAAAGAAAAGACTTTGGTGAAATTTACATAGAGAATTTAATATTTGACCAACTAATTGGGAGCCAAACATTATCATATATTTATTTGCCCTAAATAATTTTCTCAATGTTGAAAACTTAATAAATAAATAACGAAGTGCAATTATTTAAGTTATTGATAATTAGACGCTCAGTTAAAGTGGTGTCAAAGTCCAAGGCTCAAAATCAACATGAAATTGAACTTAAAGAACTCCAATGGATGCACTTGACAGAATTAATAATTGCTATCAACAAATCTTCTGAAATTGTCCTAAGCCATAATTTGCATCCTGGGGACTTAAAGGTTGAATAAAGGTGAAGGTCTGAAGCGGCGCGAGAGACCACAGGTTTTCTAAAGAAGGTAGTCTCTGTGTCAGGTACTCACCATTGTAGTTGTCAAAGGCGGTGGGCACGTACTCGGTCGGAAAGCCATTGGTGGTGTAGCTGACGACGAGGGAGGTTTTGCCGACGGCGCCGTCGCCGACCATCACGCACTTGACCTTTTGTCGGCAGTGCTCGAAGCCCTTGTCGGCGTTATACTGCAGCAGGCTGGCCGTGAGGGCCTTGTCGCTGAAGGGCGGCATCGTCTTCGGGGGCCACGTCCCGCAAACTCAACACACACCTCTCGCTCCTCTCGACGCGAAGCTTGCACTGCGTTCTGCTTGATTTTTCTACTTGCACACCGCTCGCTCGCTCGCTCGTCCGCTCCGCCGCACTCCAACAGGCAGCTGATTCACGCCGTGAAACGCTGGCAACGCCGAGCCCCACTCGATCTCGCGCAGCATCTCTCTCCGTGCCAACCATTGAGATGCTGCGGATGGAGCACTCGCTGTCATGAGTGCGACTTTTCACAAAACTGCCATTGATGCTCACGTGCAATTAGCATAAGTGAGAGCCATTGAAAAAATAATTTTAGTATAGGTTAACAAGAGTATAATACCCACACGAGAAATGATTAACGTGAAGTGTGTGTCAACAAAAATTATTGTAATTTGACCTTCTTTTCTTATTTCTCTCTTTCTGGTATTAATGATTTTTACGTACATATTAATTATTTCTTGCTATAAATAATAAAAATTAAAGTTTTATCCATATGAAGATCAATTATAATTATTTAAGTCAATTTTTATAAAAATTTGAATCCTAATTTTATTTAAATTAATTTAGTTTAATTATTTTAGTTAAAAATTATTCTGTTTGTTTAAAAACCACTTTTAGGTTTCATTTTATTTAATTTTTAGAGCAATTTTAAATTTCAATGTTTAATTTGTAGTATTCTTTTAAATGTGAATAGTATTTCAGTCAATTTCAATAAAACATTTAAAAATGTATTGTATTATGAATTATTGCTCTTACTTCACGATTACAATTTATGAGTATTTAAAAGTAAAAACCATCTAACGTTGTCCTATGTTCGTCCTTTAGTTTAGAACGACCATATTAAAAGAAGCACAATTTATTAATTATTTGAATTAATGATAATGAAAGATTAAATTGATCTACAAGCTTCTGCAGTATATTTCAGAATATTTTTCAATAAAAGAAATTATCTGCTACTAAAAATGCCATTTTGATTGTTTGAACAACAAACATGTTAAATACAGCTAAATAAAATTAATTTGCAAAACTTATGATTAAAGAACTAAATTCACAATATTTTTCTTCGGATTCCTATGAATTTTATGAATTTGTCATTTGCTCTACTTCCGACCCACTTCCTATATTTTTAGTAGGACAAGGACGCACCTGACGTGCAGTATTTTGGCTGAATTTTCAGGTCATTTTACAAATTTTAATAGAATTTTATCATTTTCTCACTTTTGAAAGTGTTTTATATCAAATTTGATGTTTATATTTCTTTATCGTTAAAATTTTTTAAAAATAGTTCTTGATTAATATAAAAGAACATTTTATGGAATTAAATATTATTGTAAAAATGGTAAAAATCGTAAAAATATTCGCATATTAATCTTTTGACTTTTTATTGATTGTAAGTTATTATAAAAAAACTATGAAACTGCGTTTAATATTTTTAAATTAAGAAATTTATAACACAAATCCATCACAAATATTAGGGCAATTTCTCAAATAAATAAATATAGTGTACATAATTGCTTAAAAACTGATTGGCTAATTTCATTAATGTAAAAAAAAATATCACTAAAAATATATCTATAATCGGAGAAACAGTTAATAACATGTGCTTGAATATGCATAAAGTAAATGAAATTAAAAAGAAAAAAATTACCTTTCCGTCTTTGCCTCCACAAGCAACGTAAATTTCTTCATCACGAGCGATCGTTTCGTCGACTATGCAATTGGCAGAGCACGCAAGTCGAGCGGGTAGTCTATCCGCGAGCCCCTGCAGAGGTTATAATAATCGCGGCCGCGAGTTTAGCTGCGCGATGTTGGCTGCAATGCGCGGCGGTGCAAGCAAAAATCGGCAACGCCGCGTTTCAAGAACGAGGCGTTACGTGTGTTGTTTGGGGTGTGATAGCTCCGTCGGTCGAACGCGAGTCAGACGCTGAAATTCACCTTCTCGGACCAGCATTGCCGGAAAATGCTGCCCCTGTTTCTGCTTCTGGCCGCTCTGGGCCCAGGTGAGTGTCCTTCGGAAACCCGCGCGGCCCCCGATGGCCCCCGGAGGCGGCTCGCCTCTGGCTTGGGTCGGCGGCTTTTTTACCTTCCGTCGGCTTGCTGTTTGAAATCGCGCCTTTCCACTGGGCGTGGACCGTCCTAGAATTTGCAATTTTCTGAAATTTCAGTAACTTTTTCGCCCGTTTTTGTTTTTTCGAGGACGCAGGTCAGGTAGTTAAGGTGCGTTGTGCATCTTTTGCGACTATTTTTGCTTTTAATTGTTCTCTGTGCGCGACACACAAGCGCAGAGCATGACCTTTCGGTGAGCAAACAACATCGGTCTTTTGTAATTAGGACGGCTGCAGGGTTTTACTTATTCATGAGAACGGTGTTTCTTTCTTTCGTAGTGGGAATTTTCGTTACTTAATTATATATTAAGAAATGGAAATAATTTGTCTATTTGATAAGTTAATTGCGGTCTATTGAAAGAAGCAAAATCAGCCAAATATCTAAGGACCAAAAATCGATTTTTTTTTAATTATTTGTAAAGTTATATAATTTAATACAAATTTTATTCTATACCCAGTTTCTAAACAAAATATATTTTCCTTGCATTAAATTTTGTATTCCTCTACTTAAATTATAGTTGTGTTTTAAAACCTTGCAATTATTACCAATTTAGAGCCTTGGCTTTACTCAGGGTTTGTGTTTTCACGAAGACAAATTTTAAATTTTTAGACACAATTATTCCTTTGAGATTAATTACTCTTGACGTGCGTTGATTTAGTTTTTATATCGTAAATTCAATATGAGTATTTTAGGACATTTCCAATTATTCAGTTAACACAAAAATGAAATTTATAACTGTAAAGGTTCACAACTCACCGAACACCAAAATTAAATTAGCCACCAGGTGAATCTTTGCTGAAAACTCAATAAACTAATTACTTTTTGCACGTTCATTGCCTCTTTGTTTTAATTGGTACCTGGAAAGCACCAGACCTGGGTCCTGCTGAGGGTAAAGCACGGCTCATAAATTTTCGCTTCTGTTTTTTATCATGCAAAGATAAGATGCTTGATTCTCCTGTCATGAGCAAAATTTAAAACTTAAAAAGTCTCTATTTAAAAGCAAGTTGGAGGTTTGTCAACAGAGATCAGTGGCAATTGCTTTTCATTCCTTCTCCATGACGCAATGGTCTGCGAAGAGCAATGACTCACGATGAGGGCCACTTGATTATTTGTGCTTTGTATGCACTAGAAGAAGACAGTGTCTTTCCGGTAATCTTACAAGAGGCGCGACCTATACACCACTCTCTCAGAATTAGGTTGGTATCCCGTTTTATGTCGCGCCTGCTGTAGTGGTTTTATGTCGCGCCTACTGTAGTGGTTTTATGTCGCGCCTGCTGTAGTGGTTGATAAAGAAAACCGGTATTTACAGCTCACAATCACCGGGACTGCAGGAAAGAATAAGGGCCTTTGGGATGGGTTCAGAAGGGGAAGACAATCTTAACTGATTGCAAAAGACGTGATCTACCACCAATGTACGGGGAAGGGGGTTGTTTTTATATGTCGCGCCTCTTGTAATGGTTCACTACAACAGGCGCGACATATGCAAGTATTCTCATGGTAGGTCGCGCCTCTTGTAATCGACCACTACAACAGGCGCGACATATACAATTAATAATGTTAAAAAAAAAACGAAAACAGCGAAATTGTATGCACACCACGAACCAGACCACCCCACAAACCGGCAACTCGGAGGTGGGCAACCCCCCAAGATTAATTTTTGCAGAAGCCGCGAGCGAGGGGTGGAGGCGCAGCGAGGTCGAGGACGTGGGGAAGGCCGTGCGGAGGGCGAGGACAAAAGGGCGGCTGTGTTCGTGGGGGGGCTCCTGCGGAGCCCCCCCACGATCCCCGCCCTTTTGTCCCGCCCGGAGCCGGCCTTCACCACGTTCTCGGGCGAGCGCGCCTCCAGCCCGAAGCTCGCAAACCCACAACGGAGTTGCCCACGAAGGGAGTTGTGGGCACCCACACCGTTTGCTTTCAAAACACCCTTTGCAGACAACTCCCTTTGTGGGCAACTCCGTTGTGGGTTTGCGAGCTTCGGGCTGGAGGCGCGCTCGCCCGAGAACGTGGTGAAGGCCGGCTCCGGGCGGGACAAAAGGGCGGGGATCGTGGGGGGCCCCCCACGAACACAGCCGCCCTTTTGTCCTCGCCCTCCGCACGGCCTTCCCCACGTCCTCGACCTCGCTGCGCCTCCACCCCTCGCTCGCGGCTTCTGCAAAAATTAATCTTGGGGGGTTGCCCACCTCCGAGTTGCCGGTTTGTGGGGTGGTCTGGTTCGTGGTGTGCTTACAATTTCGCTGTTTTCTTTTTTTTTTTAACATTATTAATTGTATATGTCGCGCCTGTTGTAGTGGTCGATTACAAGAGGCGCGACCTACCACAGGCGTTGCGTGCATATGTCGCGCCTGTTGTAGTGGTCGATTACAAGAGGCGCGACCTACCATGAGAATACTTGCATATGTCGCGCCTGTTGTAGTGAACCATTACAAGAGGCGCGACATATAAAAACAACCCCCTTCCCCGTACATTGGTGGTAGATCACGTCTTTTGCAATCAGTTAAGATTGTCTTCCCCTTCTGAACCCATCCCAAAGGCCCTTATTCTTTCCTGCAGTCCCGGTGATTGTGAGCTGTAAATACCGGTTTTCTTTATCAACCACTACAGCAGGCGCGACATAAAACCACTACAGTAGGCGCGACATAAAACCACTTCAGTAGGCGCGACATAAAACCACTACAGCAGGCGCGACATACCAACCTAATTTTTAAATACTGGTGTATAGGTCGCGCCTCTTGTAAGATTACCGTCTTTCCTGTGTGAAGAAATGAGGGAATACATTCTTTCTTAATGGTTCCTAATTTATTTGGAGACTCCTTATTGAGAACAATAGAAGAAGTCGTCATAAACTTTTTTTATGTAGTCATGGAAAATTTATTATTGGAAAATCCAAGATCATTAAATGAATATAAGATTGAAAAAAATTGAGTTAGAAATAATTTGATTAAAAAAAATCAAGAAAAAGCTAGTGTACAATCATTATTTTTTTATTCATCAAACTCTTTTTAATTTTCAAATATATTTTTCATATTTTTTGCCCTGATGTAATATTTTTGAAATTAAATTAAATATGTTCAAATGAATTGACTAATTCGCATCCTTACCTAATATAGAAAATTTAAAGATAATCCTCATCTATTATTTTCATTCCCTTTTGTAACTTTAAAAAATAACGTGACAAATTATTTTGTCACGTTATTCAGATGTTTCCTATTATTTTTAGCAGAAGTTTGAAGCCTAATGGGATAGAAAACTGCCCTTGCACTTTTTCAAATGTCAGTTGCACAGTCGTACATAATTTTTTCCCACCGCACTCATTTTCCTGTGCCACTGGAGGCACACAAAAGCAATTACGGCGCACTCGATTTATAAAACAATAAATCTTGGTCCCGATCGCGCCACTTATACAATTTACATTTGTACTTTTTGTGCGTGAAAATAAGTGATGGCGCAGGAAAGTGAGATGTGCATTCGACACGCACATATCACCCGGAAAACCGCGCAGCTGCACCCCTTGCTTGCTTGTCCCTGGCAGGGGTTGTTTAAAGGGGGATGCAGCTTGTAAAGAATTCATTCATTCATTCTCGCCTGTGAAAGGAACACGCGCATTAAATGTGTATGAAATATCGCGCATCTCAAACAAGGGGGAGGCAGGCAGGCGGTATCAAAAACCAGAGTGGGAATCATCGTCCGTCGAAGAGAAAAAATAAATCGTGCGTCGCGTGCAATTGAGTCATTTTCCCTGGGGTTGGATCGCTTTTTTATTGTGCACCAATTTCCGAAATTAGATTATGTAGCACTAACGAGGGGTCGAACAAAATTGCACTTGATTAGAAATTGATTGGTTGAAATAACAATGCTGTTTATATTAGAAAAAGAATGATAATGTTTTAATTAGTAATTTTTTTTCTTCTTTATTTGGCCTGATTTGGCCTAATTGTTGATATGAAATTTGTATGATATTAAATTTTAAATTAGATCAAATTATTTTGAATTAAATTTTGTTTATTATAGTGAACATTTAAATTTTAAAAAAAATCTATTATTTTTTAATAAAATTTTATTTTATAACTATTTGAAGATTACACTTGAAAAAATATTATAAAACTTTTCAAGACTCTAGTTGCGTGTTTTGCGACGGGGCAGAAAAATGACTGTTCTAAGGGGAAGGTCTGACAAGACAGGTTTTCACATGATCCCTCTCTCTACTCTACGCCCAGGTTTCTGAAACGCAGCTTAGCCAATTTCATGACTTCTTACCCACCTTTGTCTTGCTTCGTCCCCCGGAGTGAAATTTGAGCCCAGCTAATTTCCCTCGTGTGCATTTTTTCACTTCCGTTTAATCACTCGTACTTCTTGTAAATTAAAACGAGCTTTGCTTTTGTCCGCAGCTTTTGCTCAGAGAACACCAACCATCTCTTACATCTCTCAGGAGCAGATCAAAGACATCGGAGGAACTGCCGAGCTAGAGTGCTCTGTACAGTATGCTCAGGTATACAAAAGGATAAAAATGTGATAATTTGAAGTCTAGACTTGCATAATTTCAACGGCAGATACACTTGTGGAAATAATAAAATTTCAACCAAATAAATTTCTTAACAATAGAAAATTACTATTATTAAAAATTGATCATTTTTATATGCAAACTTAGTAAAAATTAAATTTCAAATCAAAATTCTAATTTTTTTTTCTTCAGGAGTATCCTGTGTTGTGGATGAAAGTGGACAAGGCTAGTGACCCTCTGCCGATTTCGAGCGGCAGCACCCTGATCCTGAGGGACAGTCGTTTCGCCCTGCGCTTTGACTCTGCCAGCTCGACCTACACACTGCAGATCAAGGACATCCAGGAGGCGGACGCTGGAATTTACCAGTGCCAGGTGATCATCGCCATCACCAACAAGATCACGGCCGATGTCGACCTGCTGGTGCGTCAGCCACCAGTCATTGCGGACAACTCGACCAGAGGCATTGTGGTCAAGGAGGGCCAGAGCGTGCAGCTCGAATGTTATGCTGGTGGCTTCCCCCTGCCCAGGATCTCTTGGCGCAGAGAGGACAATGCCATCCTCCCTACTGGTGGCTCCATTTACAGGTGAAAAAAGAATTTTTTTTTAACTAGATCTAATAATTGAACAAAAGCAATAATAGTAGAAAATTAAAGCTAATTATAAAACAAATTTTAACAGATATCTTTACAGTTTTGAGTAAATTTCGAAGTTAAAGTTATTTCTTGAAAAATTTATAAAAAAAAAAAAATTACTGTTTCCTTTATAATGTACATTTTATTGAGTTGGTAGCGCTAATTGCGGTTTTTAGGCTATAGATCAGCTTTTATTTTCTGTTAACTAATTTAATTGAATTAAAGCACTAATTTAAATTTAAATTGCAGCTGGTTCTTTAATGATTTAGTACTTATGACTAAACAATCATTGTCTTTGGAGTGGCTTGGAGAATATTTTATGCTAACTTCAATTGCTTTTGCAGAGGAAACATTTTAAAGATTGCGCAAATCCGCAAGGAAGACCGTGGAACCTACTACTGTGTGGCTGAAAACGGCGTCGGCAAAGGCGCCAGGAGGAACATTGCTGTCGAAGTTGAGTTCGCGCCAGTCATCACCGTGGCCAGACCGAGACTTGGCCAAGCCCTGCAATATGACATGGACCTGGAGTGTCACATCGAGGCCTATCCTCCACCAGCCATCACTTGGGTCTTCAAGGAAATTCATCTCACAACTAACCAGCACTACTCGTAAGAACCAATGACCTGTCTTATAATTATTTTAATTTTAATTAATTGAAGTTCAAAAAGGCTGTAATTAATTCATACCTATAAAAAAGCTCATAATAAAATTGAACTTTTAAAACTAGTGATTTCCATGGAAATAAAAAAATTAATGATAGATAAAAACCTATTAGAAAATATAATTAAGTTGAATATATTTAGATGAAATATAAATATTTTAATTTTTAAATATTCACTCTTTTTTGTAGAATAACTCAGTTTGCTACCAATGACGAGGTCACCGACACAACCCTTCGTGTCATTTCCATCGAGAAGCGCCAATACGGCGAGTACACCTGCAAAGCTGCCAACCAGCTTGGTCAGAGTGAGGCCCGAGTCCAACTATTTGGTAAGTCCTTCTCCTAAACCCATAGTGTGTTTGTGATATAAATAGTGATCATGCTCGAATTTGCTAGTGATCGCATAATATTTAATATTTTACTTTTTTATATTAGGGTCTTGAAATTCATTTTTTTTTTTTGTCATTTATTAGTCATGAATATATCATTGATCATTTTTGTGTGTAATTTGACCCAGCCAAAACGCATATTATTTTTTGCATGGTCATTTGCATGTGAATTGACAATTTGCAGAGACCACCACCCCATTGTGCCCCCCTGCTTGCGACCAGACGAGATATTCAGCAGGAGAGATAAGTGCAGCCATCAACTGCATGACTATTCTGTTTATGGCCTGTATAACCTACTTGTGGCGTCTGTAATAATTAAGTGTGAGTTTTGCATATTTTGTGTAGATTTATTTTGCTAGTACAGATTTTACTTGCAGTGAGTAAACTAGTCTATTTCTGCCACAAAATAAAAATAAAAATCATTAAATTCATAAATAGCAGGTAGCTATTTATTGGAGAAATATTAAATTTAAATTTTTCTTCCATAATGCCCCAGAATAAACATAATCACTTCCATAATCTATGTAATGTATCTTATTCCGATATATATATATTTTTTTTTTAGCTCCTTCACTTGAAAAATCTCAAAATTCTCACATACACTTCATTCCATTAACTGTCAAAATGCACCGTGCACCTGTACAATTTTTTGCAACCTTATCAAAATTTGTATCTTTTGCGACTGCAAAACACAATTTTCCACTCTTTAAATTCAATTAAACGTCAGATTTTGGTCTTTTTAAATTTAATTTTGTTTCATGAAATTTTGCAGAGACTGTAATTCCAAATCTGCGTTACCGCAAAGTCTTCAGCTACAGCAACGGAGCATCATTTCTCATGAGTCAAGTGTTGCTCGTTGTGACAGCCTTTTTGGCAGCTCAACTGTAAAAACTCCAACCGAATGCACAACTTCACAGCACGACGAGAGATTGATGCCAAAAATAGTGGTAATTTGATAATGGATGTTGGGAGGATGTTATGATTCATTAATTGTACAAATCAACAAAATGCAGTTATAGATTTATTTGAGCGGAAAAAAACACACATTAGGTCAAGTCGTACAAATTTAGCTAACCTGAAGATATTTTGTTTGAACTATGATCGGTGTTAAAAAACACAGCTTCTTTTTTATGATATTATTTTCTTTTACCTTACTGTTGCACTAGTACATGTTAATTTACAGATTTTAAGCTCAAACAAATGATATCATGTACAGTGACTATTTTTAAAATACTTGCTTTGATGATGCAGACGTTTTTAGGAGCAACAGCTTATTCACGAAAATAGATCTGATCAAGAAAATAACGTTTTAATCAATCTTTTGAAGAAAGACAAATTACACAGTGCCCTGATGCAATTTGCAAACCTGTAATAAAGTAATGCATGCCTAAGCTATTATAATATAAAATAATATATATATGATCTGACTAATGTATGAATACAACATCTATTTTCCTTGTAGGCGAGAAGGTTTTAATGAAAAATTTAATGAGACGATGCCACACACGGGTTTAGGCGTTTTAATGTAATTAAACTATTGACTTCAAAAGTGTTTAACGTAATTGGAATCATTTCCAATACAATTAATTAAGGACCAAAACTAGACATTCCAGCAATATGTGTTTGTACTGTATAATTTTCCGAGGATATTTTTAGCAGAGAGAGATTAGTTTTTAAAACGAATTGTGATTTGCATTCCACCCGTTATTTTATTTTCTTGTGATGAGCCTCTATTTTTTACAGTTTTTGTTCGCAATGCATTTTTGTAGGTTACATTCATGTTTCAACGCTAACTTTCTTGTTTGCAAACATGTGACTGGAATTTTGAACCTTGATGTGAATAAAAGTAATGCCTCTTTCATACAATTATATTTACTTTTTATTTGAAAAAAATCCACGCTTGAAAAAATTTTAAGAAATTTCTAAAGATTTGCTCTAATATTATGTACATCTCTTAATAAAAGTGATAATAAATAAAAACTTTTCATTAAAAAGTATGCTGGAAGAAGTTTAAAAGTTAATTTTATAATGTTATTCAATGACCCATGAAGTTTAATTTGTTTACTTAAAAACTCGATCAGATTTAGTGCAAAATATAATTATATTAATTTCAATTCATTTATTCTCTCGCAACAAGTCAAACAGAAAATTAAAAATCACATTGGGAGAGAATTGGCAAAATTAGTTTGAGGAAGTTGACACTCAAGGAGATGATCATGGAAATGAATGAATCGGGCTTTTTCCTCGTTGCAGAAATCGTTTTTTATTCAAAAACAAATTGGCTCTACCAGTTTCGGTCACGGTCTGCGACCCTATTTCATGAGCAAACGCTGCTCGCTGACTAATACAAGAAATCTTTGTATTTTATTTTATTATATAAATATAATAAAAGCATTATTATTATGTGTCATGGTGCTGACAATGAGTCAACGAGCACACCAAAAATACTGTAATAATAATTTTCATAGATTTATTAATAAATCCATTAATACGCTCTTTTTAAAGGATTTTGTATTAAACGCTTTTGCGTACAACTACTGTACACTCTTCTCTTCATCCTTTTATTCCCGCTTTTGCGGCAAGCGCAGAGAGAGTTCACGCAGACCTTGCGCAGACACGCAGTGCGCACCACAACAACAACAGTTGTGTTGTGTGTGTGTTGTCACTGACGCGGTCACTGATGCCTGGTTGGCGGTTGCCCTGTTTGTCCGTTGTCGCGAAAAGCCTCGCAGCATTGCTTGCTTGCTTCCTTAATTTTCCTCTATCTATGTATATAAAATTATAAATTAAAATCACTTGGTTCCAATTCCACTATCGACGCACTCAATCGACTAATTTCGTCCGAGGGCCAGGCATTTGACGATTCCCATAATATACACATCATCACTGTAAGTATCAAAAGCAAAAAGCTTATCAAAAATCGACAAAGAGAGTTTAAGAGATGTAATTGTAGCAATAAAAAAATTAAATGTTTTCTCCGTGAGAATTTACATAATAATATGTAGGAACTATAACTAAAGTAAATTTTTCATTTAAAATAGGATGGACTATCATTTATCTATCAGCCAATAAATAGTCTGATTAATAACTGCAAGATGAGCTCTCAGAACTACGACTGTGTGTGCATGATGCACTTGAAGGCATTTCAAATGTACTACCCTGAAAAATTTGACAGCTTGAAGTTTGCAAAAATTATAAGTCCTGTGTGGCGCAACCGAGTCAGTATGTATTAAATTATTTGCTGTTCTCTATTTCTACATTATTAATCAAATTTAATTAAAATTGGTTTGTAATGAAAAGCATTTTGAAATCAATTTCTTTTGATAAAAATATAATTTTAACAATCGTTTTATTTTTCAGGTCATTACAAAAACTACGGAACTCAAATTAGGTACAACAATGTGATCTCTGATTTCCCATGGGTCAATTTTAAGGAGAGCAGTGAAGGAATTGATCAAGAACCCAACAAGAATGGGCTGCTGAAAAAACTGCTGATGACATCTACTGGTGATCAAGATGTCAATCTATATTCGCTGCTTGAAGTTTCAGCACCAGAATACTTGGATCCGTTTTATTACGATGGACGGTGTAGTGTGATGCATGGAGGCAAAGACGCAAAAATTGATTTAATACATGCAACAATGACAGGAACACGACTTGTATTTGACCACGAGACCACAGGACTTGACTTTTGGAAGTCAATCAAGTCAAATACTGAATGTAACAATTGTTCTGATGACCCAGATATGCTCTGCAAAGGAATGTTTATCAAAGAGTGCCACGCTTTGCTTAGCTATGAATGCAATGAGAGGAAAAGCCTTAAATACTCTGATAAATATCATCCTGAAGACTTCTTGTTCTGCAAAGGAGTCCTGTGGCAGCTCCATGTCAACCCTGCCATGCTAAATCAGTGGTTGATGGCCGCCCTCCATGTTATCATGCAATTTGAAAAACAAACGTCGATGTTGCGGTATATGCCAGTGCCTCTGCAAATGGAGGAAGTCGTCAAGGAATTGCTGGTGTTCCTGAGGGACTTGAGGAAAAGAATCAGTTATGGATTTCTTCTGATTGGCTATCAAGTTAAAATTCATCCTGAGAAAGATAAACAAGTAAACATGCTAATAAGAGAAGATATTGTTCCCCAGTCATTAGCATCACTGAAACTTTTGCTGAACGATGAAAAGATCCAAAATTTTATTCTAAAATTGCCACATGCCATCTTAGCTGCAAGAAAAAAAGGAACGTTTGGGAAAGATGTTTATATGAATGCCAAAAATTTCACTGTTTCGGATGAAGTTGACAAGTTTGATAACATTTTCTCCTTCAAGTTTTGGACTGGAGCTAGAGAAAATCTTTTTGGTACGCTCAAGACGGAAATCGATGATCTTAAGTCAAAGATTAACAAGAGTGAAACTCACGCGAGTGTAGAAAATGTGTTATTGATCGAGGAATCCAATGACGATGTTCTTGATGCCCTGAAAATGCACTTTCCTGACCCAGTGTGCAGTAAAGCAAACATAGACAAGCTGAACAAGGATTTGTGTACTGACCAAAGTAGACTGTATACAAAAAGTTGCCTGTTTTCTTTGCTGCTTGAGGAACACCGGACCATTGTTTCGCACCTTTTTGCAAAATGTCTCACTGATGAGGATTATCTCCATTTCAAAATGACTGAAACAGAACTCAATGAATTCATCAATCTCAAACAAGGCTTTGAAGGACAGAAACTACTAGACATAGCCAGAGATAAATATATTGAAGAGTGGGATGGCAAACGTTTTCCAGTAGACATACTCTATATTCGTGAATCACCTTCCAATCCACGTGAGGTAAGAATTTTTTTTTGTTTTTATCCAATGAAGTTTAAATTCTACTAAAATGTCTATGTCTTTTTAATTAAATAAAAAATATTAAAGCATTTAATTTAAATATTTTAAGTTACATTATTTAAAACTTAATAATATTCTTTCAGGGGATCTTGCAGGAGTTGCGAAGCCAAATTTTGATGGACGTTGACGAAACAAGCGAATTGTATCCATCTTGGGGTTTTGTGTTCAACATTCTGCCATTCCTCAATCTTTCCCTCTCTAAATGCGGTGATGGTGGACTGAAGGATAAGTTTACAGATGCATGCGGCAAAGCATTAGTAAAAGTATTTCGGGGTGATAGAGTGGCTTGGAAACTGCATCCAGAGGACGCAATGGAAAACAGCAAATGGTTTATAAATTCACTCCTACAACCAAAAAAGGTGCTAATACAGAAATTAAAAGCAATTAGTTACTTTGTGTCGCATTTAAACCCATTGATTGCAAATGTTTTGGCTCCAATCTCAATGTTTGCTTATTTGCTTGTTAACACAACACTCAGCCATGCAAAAGAAAATGATATTTCGGACTGTCCATGCAAAAATATTATGGTTGTAGAAATCATTAAAATATCTTTCCCTTGGGCAATGAAAGTTGCAAGTTGGCTAAACGCAATGATGTTTTCTGTCGTTCAAGCTACTGTTGAATGTGTCAAAACACCAAACTCTGGAAAACTGAAAAGTTTGCTACTGACACTGAGTTCAGTGATTGAGCTTGTTATTCTGTACTATGATGAGAAGACTCCGGGACTAAGTAGACTTTATGAAGATTTCACAAAGAAAGTTGATACACTCAAAGATGCCTACCTCGAACTGATTGGAACCTCAAGACAATCATCAAAAGGCAAAACCACCATCACTGGATGGCAAAAATTGGGGGTGCTCCTTTTCCTGATCTACGAAATCAGGAAGTTGATGTCAATCCCGGCAGGCTACAACCCACCATCGTACTACCCTAGAGATGCAAAGCTCGCCCTCAAATATTTTGCAGCGAAAGATCTAAAGAAATTCAAAAGGACAATCATCCCAATGTGTGTTGACTCCAACCGCCAGAACTTGACTTTGGTGACTTTTGATGACATCAAAAATTCAAGAAACCTATTTGATCCGTACCTCTCAAAGATGAGGAGGGAAAAAATTAGAAGTTGGGACGAAGACCTGCTACTTCTGGTGAAGCATTGCCGTTATTGCGGAAAAGTGGGTGGGAATTTGCAAATGTGCAGCGCTTGTGTTGATAACGACGATTTCCCTGATGTCAACTGGTTCTGTGGAGAAGCGTGCGAGGAAAAAGCTTTCAAACACTGCAGACATGGAGACGAGCATGAAGATTTCATTTTAAGTAGGATTAAAATTTGATCTCCTTTTTTATTGTATTCATAAATAATGGGGGCGCCTCAAGCGTCAACTCCGCCGAAAAGAACTAGCCCATGGACCTAATAAATTAGTAAATTAATGAACTAGCCCGCAATGGAATTTGCAAAAGAAAGCCAAAAAGCAAGAAGTCTGAATCGACAAAATTATTACTAGCCAGAATTTTTAGAGTGAATAAGACGGAATTTGCGACGATATATTATATTTTTGGAAATAAAAATGATAATTATTTTTTTAATGTAGAACTTCAATTTATTACTACCCAGGTTCCCTCTGTTACTTTTTTTCCTGAATATTTATTTGAAATTTACTAATGAGTGCTAAGTTTAAAAAATAATAATAATTGCTTATCGCTTGTAGAGAAATACTAAAATAACCATATATTATTGTTTTTGCGTGATTCCAGCTGTTCTATAATTTCACTAAAATAAAACCTCTTTTAATCAATTCTCTAATATAAATTTTTTGCAGACTTTCTAATTCAGAGCTAATTTTGTAGTTTAGTGAGTGAAACTTTGAAGCATTATAATGATGCACATCTGAAAAATGATTTTCAGATGTGTCTTTTTTTAACATAATGAAGATTCTTATTTTTTTTTTATTCATTTGTCTAAATTTTTAAATGAAATTCTTTATTAGATAATACTATGCACAATAAAGTCATCTGCAATTTGCAGGTGCTACTTCCTTGCAATTGGCCTTCACATACGCACGGTACCGCGTCACCGGTACTTAGACCACGTGACATTTTGCATCTTGAATTTGCATCAGCGATTCTTAACAGGGAGATCAGTATGTGGCGCACGCTGTGCTGTATCAGACTTGCAGAACCCGCAAGCTGCAGCATATTAGCTTTCACTCATCTACATTTCTTTGCAGCAAGGGAATTCTTGAAATCATTCTCCAGAAATGGAACCTAATGAAAGAGTGGCGTTTGTCCGGCGTTCCGTGGCGCTCGAAGTTTTTGACTCGTGAGTCAGTCAGTGCTGCGAAGACGTTGGCTTAGGAAGGAAACGCACAAATTGCTGCTGATATGCGATCGTTGCTCCTGACCGCCTTCGTTGTGGCTTTCCTGCTGCACACTTTTGCTTTCAAATTTTCCTGGGCCCACATTTTCAGCAAAGTAAGTTCAATTATATTAAAATTTTTAACAATTTGAATAAAAAAAAAAAGATTTTTGTACCATTTTAATAAATATAAATTAATTTATACTTAACATAATGCAAAATTTTTCCTTTCATATATATGAAGATTCTCATTGAAATTTTATTTTTTTCTGTAGAAAAAGGTGATCATAAAATATTTGCGCTATGACAATTGTGGAGGCACCTTTGACCCAGTACGGTTTTCTGACGTGCAAGTCTCAACAACTGGAGATGGTGACCTAGTCGTCTCAGGGAAATTTGACGCCTACACCAAACTTGAGCCTCCCATTAAGGTAAATAAAATATGAGTGAAAATATTTATATTCATGAAAATAATTCTTCAAAAATAATTCAACTCTACATAAATATTGCTTGGAATATTTTTTTTTAAGTGATTTTTTTTATTTTTACTATTTAAGGCAATAGTTAAGATGAAAAGGAGAATATTGGGAATTTGGACTCCGGTCCCATTTTGCTACAAAGACTTCGGTTCCTGCGAATTTGATGACATTTGCAATTACGGACGCGATTTGACAGAATGTCCTCCACTTCTAGACGAGCATGACGTGCCTTGCGAATGCCCAATCGAGAAGGTAATAAACGATTTGAAGGGCAACTTTTAAGTTCCATTGTTTTTACGTGTATTTATTCTTCCGGATTCAGGGTCGCTACATTCTTCCGGGCGCGCAGTTCTCCACTAAAGGAACGCGATGGGCAGCACTTATAGCGGGACATTACAAGGGGAGCATCAAACTGATGCACAATCAAGATCAAATTGCCTGCTACAACGCCACATGGACCCTTGACGACTGATTTCATTTTTTTATTACATAATTAGTTTTAAGATATAATGTATAATTGCGCGCCTCTTCAGTAGTATATAATTTATATATTGTAATTTATATTCCAAAATAAACAAAAAACTGTATAATTAGACTCCAGTGAAATAAAAACTTGAAAAGTTTGCACTTCTCGCTGAGCTATCGGGTTCTTTGTGATTCACAATCATGTTCTTTATACATTAGTATGCTGTGGGTTGCGCAAACGGAGAGTAGGAGTGGCTTCGTTAGTAAATGTTGACCATCTAAAACTTGTGATCAGAACTGGTTTCTTTTTAGCAACGATGCTCGCCTTAAAATATTTAGGCTTTATTTGCTTTTGGGCAAGTTTTTCCGAAACGCATTTGGCGAGCCATCTTTCTCAAACGCAGGTCAGTAATTCTTAGAATTTATTTTATTTGTAAATATTAATTTTAGTTATTCTCTCAGACGGTTGTAAGAAAGAAGCTCAAATTACGCAGTACTACATGGTCCAATTGCGGCTCCGACACGGACAGCGTCCTAATACAGAGTCTTGACGTCGCGCCAGACTTTATTCACATTCCTGGAAACATCACCGTCAGTGCCCAGGTGTCTGTAAACTCAAACATCCTCTCACCAGTCAAGGTTAAATCTTTTCTACACATTCGTCACTAGAAGCTAATATTTTAAATGTGCAGGTGGACGTTGTTGCCAAGAGAAAAACCATTCTCGGCTGGATCGAGATTCCATGTTGGCAACAAGAATTCGGCTCCTGCAAATTCGAGGACGCCTGCACCCTCAGCCCCTATGCTTCAGCCTGTCCGAAATTTTTCGCTGACCACAACATTCCCTGCCACTGCCCGATCTTAAAGGTACTTAAAAAATAAATCGATAATTTTATAACTTGAATTTTTTTCAAGGGCGCGTATGGGGTTAGTAATGTGACGATGATGGTCGATCTGGCTGTGCCCGACTGGCTGGAAAAGGGATTTTACAAAGCTCAGGTTAAAGTTTCGCAGGAAGATCAACAACTGGCTTGTTACGAGTTCCAATCTCACTTTGCGTGAGACCTTTATTTTTAAACATGTTACCGCATAACAAATACATTATATTTTTATATACTTTAAATTTACTGCCGGAAACAGAAGGGTGACTAAGAGGCAGCTTTTGGCACAAAAGGAAAGAAATTATATGTGTTCCAAGTCCAAAGTGTGAAATTTACGAATGTAGGTCTAGCTTTGTAACAAATAAAGCACTGTCATCCAAGAAGTGCAGCTTTTTAAAAACTTGTTTTGTTGAACACACATTATATGTATCATATGAAAATTATTTAGAAGCATTTTTATACATACTAAAAGACACCCTAATTAAGTATTGATTGCATATAATATTGCATTATGCAAAAGGAAGTGTAAATTGAGTAATTTCTGGATTACAAGGTCAATACTTTTAGTAAAATATCTTTCAATTTGACTTACCTTAACGTGACGTTCGTCGCAAATAAAAATGGCCCTTTTCAATTCATGCACATACAAATCACAAACTTCACTCATTCATCTGCAGCAAGTTGTTGATGGTTGCCTCCTTGTTGCCTCTGTTTGCTTCGAAGACGGATCGGATGACTTCCTTGTCCATATTCTTGAACATTTCTTCAATCTGAAAATAAAAATTAGGAAAAAAATCAATTTAAAATAAATATAGCAGAGGCTTTATTACCATCTTGTATTCCTCCTCGGTTATTTGGGGTGCTGGAGGTGGTGCCTGCTGCTGGGCTTGAGGCATTGTTGGAGGCATCTGGTAAACAGTCATTGGCTGCACACCAAAGCCTGTAGCTGAGGGTACCATGACAACAGGGGCCGTCATAGATTGGTACATGAGAGGGTAGGCCTGAGGAGGCATGTTCGGTGCTTGCGTCTGTAAAAAAACACACAATAAAATATTAATTTTTATTATACCTGATAAACTTGAATTTACAATAGGTCATGCAATTCTACAATTCTTATAATTTTTTATAATAGAAAATATTTTATGTATATTTTTATGAGATTATTTTAGGATTACTTTGGGATTCTGTCAACCTGGAAAAAAAATATTCCCCGGAAATAAAGGAATCCTCTTTCTATGCATGAATGCATGTATTATCCATTCTGTTTAAAAATTTAAAACCTCCAACAGTTTTCAATTTATATTCAACTCCCATGTGGGGAATTTTGGTCAGTCAGAAATGATATTTGCTGAAAAATTATTACCGAGAAGCTGAGTACGAGGTTGACGTTTCCCTCTTGTCCGTCACCCTGCTTTCCGTTCAGCGCGTACCACTCGTCAATTGTCTCCCCATTCATAACAGCTTCTGGAATGGGAATGTGGGCCCAGGCAATGAGCTCGTCGACCGTAAATGAGCACTCGTCGTAAATTTCAAGGTAGATGCTGTTCACTCTCTGAGCGAGCAAACTGCAAAGTTGAAATGGATTAAAAAAAATCATAAAACTTTCAATTTGAATAACTAACCACTGGACGACTTTGTTCCAGTGCGGATTTTTCCCTCCGTTGCTGTCAGTGTGAGTTTCGTAAACGCAGTGTCCAACTCGAAGCCTCACATAGGGATCCATCCTGGTCATTCCATAATTTTTCACAAGTTTGGCCTGAAATTGTTGAATAATAAAGATTGTGTTGAATTATATATAACTGGAAAAATTTTACCTGAGCCACGGTAATGTTGAGTTTGCCTACATAATTTTGCTGGGGATAGGCTGGCATTCCAGAATATTGCTGTTGCAGGGCCATTGCTGCCTGCCGGTCAGCGGCCTCCTGCAGCTGTTGAGCAGACACGTTGATTCGAAGGAAATCCGACGGAAGCGGACCGAGAAAGACCTGCAAAATAATGTAATTAGAGGTAAATTTTTAATTTGAGACGGTGCTGTTAGATAATTTGCAGCATAATCAGAAAGGCGTGTGACACCAAACGCACACAACATTAACATGTGAAAATTTTATGAAAAATTGTCACCTGCTGTCTTCTCTCGTTGTTCTTCTGCTCGGGAGACACGGCCATACTCATCTTCGACAAGAAAAGATGCTGATTAACTAAGTGAACTCCCAACAATTAAATTATAATCCACGGATTACAACTTTGTTGCTACTTTTCGAGAAATGCGTCAACATCAGCTGACAAGGTAAGTGAGTGGGGTGTGCAGAAAGGAGGTGAGTGGCCAGGTGCGGACTTTCGGGAAACTTCACCCGAATTAGTACTGGAACTGCGCAATTGTGTTTTTATTTCTCGCTGGCCATCCATTTTCAATGATAATTTAACGTTAAAAATGAATCTTTTGTATTTATTTTGCAAAAATTTAATACTCCTTGAATGGTACCTTCAGTACAATATAAAACTTTACCGAACTTTAGTTTATGCAACCTGTCAAGCTTACATGTAATGCGGAACAGTGTCTCTCCGATCGCAGGCACCAAAATAGGCAACCGACATCAAATGCGGAAAGCTATACGTTCAGTTAAAATTATCTTTGAAAACATTTCTAGTCAAAAATAAATGAAACAAGTATTAAGGTTTAATTTTCACTAAATTTCATTTTATTTTGTAGCTTAAAAAACCATTGGAAGGATATTTTATTAAATATTGTAAATTAATATTGGCTATAATTTAGATAAACTGAGATAAACAAAATATTCTATATTCTTAAATAATGTTTTGTTAATAAAATATTAAATTTTACATATAAATATTAAAAAAATTAACATTCCATCAATAAAGTATACTTTTACTACTTTGAAAAACACTTGGATAACAAGCAAATCTTTCTTCGCACAATTTGGAGAACACACCGGCGGAACGTAGAGCCACACAAAGAATATAAAATGAAATTGATGCCAAAGTTGGTATAGTAGAGCAACATGCAGAACTGCTGGAGGCACCACATTGGAGGAGGCGCAGGTTGGCCCCAAAGAGATTGGACTATAGTGTAGAGGCGGAACACGTAGCTGCAACAAAACCATTGATTTCATTTTATGTTCAAAACATGTGCCGCACCCTCCATTCATCGTTGCATCTGTAAACTAAATCTTTACTGCAATGTAAAAGGAAAATGATTGGTCTTGTTTTTTTTTTTCATCTACTGAGTATATAGCATTTCGCCAGCGAATGAGCAAGTAATGTTTATGGCAGAGTGACACGAACTCTCTTTCCCATTGTTGTGCCAACCTTTTACACAGATTATTTGCAAAAAAAAATTGGGTTAATTTAATTAACCTAAAAAAACTAATAGAAAAAGAAGGAAAAAATTAAACATTAGAAATGAAAATTTATACCTTGGCATGTTTAGCAGCAAAAATGTACTTGAAATCACAAGAAGCATTTTAGTAATGCTCCTCTGACAATGGGTTCCTGTAGTTGCAACATTTTGAGAAACAAAGCGCAGCTCTCCTGAAACGATTAAAATATAAAAATTAATTCGATTAAAAACTATTGAAGAATTCAATCACTAATTCCATAATGAATAAATCGAGAAATATTTACAAATATGCTATTTTTCGATATTTTTTTCAAAATTCACTCACTGCTAGTTTGTGAAGCTTCAGTAGATCCAGTAGATCTATTAGTGTTGGAGGTTAATCTGGAGCTGATGGTCTTTGCAGAATGCAAAGAATGTTGTGAACTTAGGTGCCTCCTGAGATTGTCCTTAATACGAAAAAGACATCTTACAAAATAGTAATAGAATATTCATGCAATTATTTCAAGAATTAAAAAAGTCAATGATCAGAATGATCAAGTTTAGCCACCAAAAAGGAAGATGGTAAAATATATTGTTTTTAAACCTTATATAATAAATAATAAAAAAGTTGATAAAATAAATTTTTTTTAATTTTTTCAGACTTCTGTTTAAATAAAAAATTTAAACAAATTTTAATTTAAAACGGGGAAAAAATCTTTCAAATGATCTGATTCAGAATGTCTGAAAAATTTCCAGCCCCATATATAATTTTTTTAGAAGATCACTTCTCTACCGAAGACACTGCATTGCCTGTTGAGGGGTCGTGCTGGTTGTCAACGTGGAAGCGGTGATTGAAACCAATTAGTTTTCTGGTAATTAAGACGTTCATAAAGACAAGGAGCACCGAGGGGATCGCCAGCGTGATAAGACTGTCGGCCAGAGTAATTTTACTTAGCAACTCTCCGTACTCGGCTCGCATGTCGCAAGTGTCCGCTCCGTGTTCATTCTCCACGACGCCGGCGATTACCAAAACGTACGAATTGAGGGCGAGCGAGAGAATGGCCAGTCCCAAGACGACGATCTTCGCACGAGCCACTGTGCAAACGTGCGGACGCTTCAAGGGGTATTGGACGGCGATGAAGCGCTCGATGGTGAAGCCGACCGTCAGCCACACGCTGAGGAAACTCGAAGTGCTGCTCAAGTAGATTACAAGTTGACACCACCCGCTCCTTGTTTTAATGAAATAAAAAAATAAGAATAAATTAATTGAATTTAATGAAGGTATGATTTTAATTTTAATTAAGTAAAAATTCTCGTATTATTAAAATCACAGAGATTCAAAATTTTAATCCCAGTAAAAATACTTGTCGGTTTACTTTTGCTCTTTTTTTCGATTGAAATATTCTTTCTTCTTGAAGAGTATTAGAGTAAGATAAAAAATAAAATGATCATAAATGATTTATATTATTTTCGTTTTTTGCAACACACAGACTGATGAACGAAGACTTCCTTTCTAAAAGACAACGATTTTGGTTTGATTTAAACAGATATCCAGTTATTTAATTTTTTGTTAAATATTTTAATTTTGGTTTTAATTTTTTCAATGTTTTTCCAAGGTGAACGCTAAATTTGGCACAAAACTCAATTTCACCAGTCATATTTCTACAGAATAACACAAACTTCTAAGACAATTAAACAAATAACAAATATAGTATTGCATAATATATAAAAAGTGAAAATACCAAAGTTTTTTAAATGGTTTAAATTTGTACAAAAATTACATTAAATTCAATAAAATATAGAAAACAATAATTTCAATCCAAAAAATTAAAATTGGTTTAAATTGGTAAAAAATTATTTTGCTGAAATCAGAGTTGAATTTATTTACCTGTTGAACGTCTGCACGCCGATCGAGTCACCGAACCAAATCATCCCCAGGGACACGAGGAAGCCTGAATCGGAAACTGCAAGGGCCGCCAGGTAATAACTGGAGCTTCGGTGCTTCAGGTGCGTCTTGAGAAAAACGTAGACATTGAGAGCGTTGAAGCAAATGCCGACGACGACGATGAACGGAATGTAGTACACGTGCAAGAAATCCAAAATCTCAAAAAGGACGGTGGAATAACACGGCTCATAAAAAGGTTTGGCCGTGGTAGGAGGCGCTCGGACTTTGACGGTCCGATTTCTCAGTCGTGCATAAAGAACAGATACGATTTTTTGAATCGAGCTATTGAAGGAAGCCAATAATTGCTCTTCAGAAGACATAATTATTTTTTCGACTTTCTGACCTCAGTTTCAGAGAGACACTGGAATGAGAACTACCCACACGCAGCTTTTCATCCCCTTTCATGGAAAAGGGCAGACATGCGCTTAGTAGTTTTTGAAAAGAATACTGAGAATTGCTAAGAATGAGAAGAACAACGGCAATGTTAATTTTTTATTTATGATATTATACCTGTTTAATAGGAAGAAATGCAAGTTATTGGCGATCGTCAAATTTATGAAAAATTCTTCATACATTAATCCATTTAATTCTGTATAATATTTCATATTTTTATTTAATCCTCCTTAATTAATTTTTAATTGTTTAAAAATTGACATTTTCACAATATCGAAGCATATTATCAAAAAGGCTTTGTTTTAATTTAAAATTAATATCATAAAATCACCAAAAAGATGTTCAATATTTGTCCATTAAAAAAAATCACCGTTTTTTGTGAAATTGCACTTAATTCCAATAAATTTTTTTGCAGTTTTAACCTTATATTATCTTATATTATTTATAGGTTTTTGTAAGTCCAAGAGAGAAGCTTTTTCTGACTTCTCTCAAATACCTGTTATTTTTTACTTTTTTCCGAATTTCAACTTTGAAAAAATTCAAAATTAAATTGTGTGGTGAAAAAGATATTTAATTCATGCTGTAAAATGTGTAGCATGAGCATGAGTAATTTAAAAAATCTGAAAAGCTATCCTCCTCCCGTGAGAAAAAAAATAAAAAAATCTTTTATCGACTGTAATTATATTTTTAGCCATTATAACAGATGAACCTTGATTATAAAAAAAAAAAAACTAAAAAAAGTATCATAATTTTTTTTTCTCACAAATTGCACTAAATATCCAAAAATAAATCTATTCATTTCCATTTTGATAGTTTGTAATAAAAATAAAATCTTGCAAGTTAGAAAAATTACATAGAAAAAAATGCCATAATTTTTTCACTTTGTTTAGATCAACTTGCTAGTTTATCAATATCAAGTCGTGGGAAGCTAAATATTGTAAAAAAAAAATTCATATCATCGATTTAAATTACAGAAAAACAGTTTAGGCGTTCATTCACACAAGTATTTTAATTTTACACTCGAGGTATTTTTATGCGCCGTGTTTTATGCTCTCCGTTTCGCGCTCTCGTTCTCGGGCACAGTTGGCAGCCCTGCCAACATTTCTTCTGCACAATCAGCGATCGGATAAAAAAAAAACACATAACCAAGATGGCGCGCAATTAAAGTACACAATTTGGGTGCGAAGCGAAAAATTCGACAAAAAGCCGTGTCGTCGACGAGTTGGGCTCGGTGTGGCTGCGGGCTTGATGCCGAGTAGTGGCTGCAGGAACGAGATGGCCCTGGTGACCGTAGAAGGCTCTCAAAGTGACTCGCCGTTGTCCGGAGGCAGCTCGGTGAGTTTTGCACTCTCGACAAACCAGTTCTGTTTTTTGTTTTTATTTCGCCCGACGTTTGTGCCCATTGTCTGTGCGGCTGGCTCATGCATAATGCAGCCTGTCACACACTCGTTTACCGTTAATTTATCGGCAATCGAATGCACTCGGCGCTCATCATCCGCCCCGAACGTCGTCGGATGATGTCACGCCAGCACCACACTCTTTGCGACTTCACTTTGCAATAATTTGCATAAGTTTTTATTTCATTGAAACGTCAGAGTTGTCAGATGAACGGGAGTTCGATAATATTTGTTTGATTTTTTTTTATATCAAAGTAAATTCGTCGTTAATGGTCATGTTATGTTTTCGTTAGGGTCAAAGATTTGTGATTGAGTTAAGGATAGAAATGAAAAATAATCCTATTCAGTGCCGGTTGATAAGAGTTGAGTACATTTAATGATAATTTTAAAGAGCAGTGATAGACTTTTATACAGATTTCGTTGATTGCAGTACAGTTGAATTCAATACTGACATGTCACTTTAGATAATGTAAAATTAATAAGTATTTAATATTTACCGATACGTATTTACACTGAAAATATTAACAAATTAAAAAAAAAACAGTTCTTACTTTTATTAAAAATAATTGGTAAAATTGTTTTATTTCCCGCTTATAGGGAACAGAATTTTGGAAGGAAAAATAATAAAAAAATTAATACTACTGCGTGGAATGATTTTTTTATAATTTTCTGATAAATTGAAATTAATTGTTGTTGATTACAAATAAGTCCATTAAAAATTCTGAGAATATTTTTTTATTATTAAATTAATATTTTCTTGTATAAATTGTAAATAAATAATAACAGTTTTGTTTTAATACATCCATAACTTTATAATGATGTATATCAATAAACTTTTTATGAAAGTGTCTTCTTAGCATAAACATTTTTTATATCAGTAGCTTTTATTTTGTAAACTAATAAATTAAATTATTCGCTCAAATGATTATTAAATAATTTTGTAAGATGTTATTGCGTTGTTAATTATTTAATATTATTCACTTTTTGAAGTCATTCATTTTATGCTGGCATTGGATAACATAAAATAAACTAGCTCTGGCCCAGGTATAGAGTGAAGCCTCCAAACATATGGAAGAAGTAATCTGCATTTGAAAATAATTCACCTCGACGCAACCGTCGAAACCCTTTCAAAGCTGCAACCTCGCCAGACGTATTTCACAATTGATAAATTGTTAGAAATTTAATATTAAAATTAATTCATTTTGTTATATAAACAAACTCACCAGTTTTGAAACCGCGTGCTTGTTGTTTGATTAATTAATTATTAGGCAATAGAATATGGTTATGCAAGCAGACACGCACTAATTGCATAAGCAGGTGAGAGAAATAATGCTATTGTCGGGCGTGAGAATTAATTCTGCCGAGGCAAATGGAGAAAAACGACTCAATTAATTCGTATCTGCCGATGTTATCAGAGTGGAACAATACAATGCGCTTAAGCAAAAGTGCTCGTGACCCCAAAAGTCGCCGATTTCTTTTGCTGGACGCGTTCAAAATGCACTTTTTTTATTCCACTGCATTATCCTTTACAATTTATCATCATATAATGGTAATGAAATTAAAAATTTAGTCGATGATTGTTGGTATTTCTAGTAATTATTTTTACGGAGGACCATAATAAATTCAATTTAATAATTTTTATTTTATTTTCAATAAATTAAATTTTAACATTCAAGAGTAGGAAACAATTTTATTTATTGGAAAATTAAAATATGTTTAAAAGTTGTAATGTGTGATTTTTTTCCTTACGAAGTGGTCTGAAATAAGGAGCATGGAACCAATCTATGGTTTTTATGTATCAGAATTACTTCGATGGGAAACTTCTGGATCAATTGGGGCTATTTTTTTCTGGATGAAAATATTTTTTATAATTTCAAGTTTTGCTTTGTCTTGATCTTTTGCGTCTTGTATCGTAAATTATAAAATTTGATGCTCAAGATGAGTGCGTACTTGGAACGCAATTAAGGTCGACACGCTACTTCATTAGTCTGGACAGTGACCCATTTTGGCGCGCGCACACTAATTTTAAATCGCGCCTGCAAATGAACATTTTAGGAATCGTAAACAGTGGCGCGTGGTTCGAAGGTCTATTTTTAGAGTCACGTGGCCTGCGCTTCTTGCATGCATGAACCCTTCCTTCATTCACGCAGCCAAACTATTTTGCTCTGTTGCTGCGGCGAGAAAATACAAAACCCCCACATCTGAATCTGCGCATTTTAAAGCCCTTCGACTTGAAACTAATGCTCCGGTTGCCAAATTGAATTAAAAACGAAAACGCTAAATTAACAGGATTTCCTAATAATTGTTCTCAGCGTAGGACTTCAGGATTGGCTTCCTGCTTTGAGAGAAATTGTCAAAAGTATTATTGTATGAAAAAAGACAAGCGAGAAGGAGTCTTGTGACCGTGAATCGCACACCTTTGGAGACGGAACAAGATGCTTGAAATGGCACTGAATCATGCAGTCGGCGTCTCCCTTGACTGATTTGCACAAGCTATGAAAATTTAATACTTCTTGTCAACTGCCATGAAGAAGAAAAAAATTATTATTGCGAGGACTTGACTGAAGATTACTTCAGAAGCATAAAAAATAAAATTATTTTAATTTAAAGAGTAATGTAAGATTTGCGGTTCTATTAAAATTTTAATTCACTTAAAAAGGAAATTATATAAATTAACAGGTTTAATTGAATTTTGCTAAAATACTTAAAATTGATAAGCAAATAATATTTTAGTGGTAAAATTCAAGAATATCAGAATTTTTCATGAAATCCACCACGAGTGTTAACATTCAATTTTAATATCTTTGAATATAATAAATAATGGACTAACAATTATTTTATAAAGAAAATTAAATTTATCTATGGCATTTAAAAAGAAACTTTATTTATGCTTAATTTATTGTGAGTAAAATTTTGATTATTGATGATCTCCAATGCATGGGAAAATATCTAACAATAGAAAAAAATGCTGTGCATTAATTATTATTTCATTGTTTAACTGCAGTCGGATGCGTTTTTGCGTCGCGAAAGCTGACCATTTACATCCAAGTCCGCGCCGCGAGTCGAAAGGGTTATTTAAGGGCGTTGAATGCGAGCTAGCGAGCGCACAATTTATAATTAAAAGCAGAGGGGGCCATGCGCCGCGCACGTCCCGTTGCGTCTGCGGCTGTCGAGAAGTCAGTCGAGTGAGAGCTTCGGACCGCGAGTGTGCAGCCCGCGCGCGATGTGTTAGTTTGGAATACAATTTTACTTGCGGTACACATGCTGTACATCCTGCCCCCGCCGTCGGCCCCCGGCCCACCCTCGCCCTGGGACCTGATCAACAACAACAGCCCCAGGGGGCCCAACAAAAAGGCGCCGCCGCCGCTCAGGCAAAAGGTGCGCATGATGGTGCACACCCTGGACGCCCCAAAACCCCCGCGCCCTTCCGCCAATCGGACCCTGCGCAAAATTAGACTTCAAAATATTAACAATAATAACAAGGTAATTTTTCCTTCATTAATAATTCTGAGAATTAAATTATTACATTTGGATTCCTCTAAATTTTTGCTTCAAATTTAAATTTAAATGGCACTAATTATTTTAAATTAGTTCACTCTATGTATATTTTATTTTCATTTCAAGTGCTGTTTTTTTTTATATTATTCATTTTATCCAATTTCATTATCAATTCAATTCATTTTTATAATTTAAAGCCATGTTTTAAGACTCAAAAACAGAGTCCATGTTAAAATGACTTGGAAAGTTTAACTAATTTTATTTATTTCGTTTTTATTAATTTGCTAATTAGTAATTATTTGTTTGATCCGGTTTGATCAATTTATTTTCAAACCGAATGTTGCTGTTTGCTTCTTTTAAAGAGTGTGGTAATTTTTGGTCTGATTTCAAAAATTCATTTCAGTTTGGAAAGACTTTGAAAGTGAATTTTATTTATTCAAACTGGTTAATTAAAAGTTTTGCATTTAAAATCCGTTTGATAAAATTTGTATTGCTTAATTTTGCCACGATTTATGTTTTTATAAAATTGCAACAAAGTAAAACTTGAAGAAAGGTTTTGCGATTGAAATACTTTTTTCATTTTTTCACGCACATATATACCATTAAAATCATTATTCTGAAATTTCTATACAATTATGAATTCATTTCTATTGATTTATTTTTAAAATTTAACTTTATTAATTTGGAATTTATTAATTAATTAAGACATTCCTCACGATTTTAGTAGAAAAGCTTAATTCTTTATAGCAAAATGCATTAGAAGCTCATTGAGCTGCCTCAGGTACGCCCCCCTTGCGCATTGTCTTGTGACCTACAAACATTTTTCGCCATATATGGTGTGGCTGCGGTCCTTGTTTCGACTCGATATCTACTCGCGACAGCTTTTCTCTCTTTGCTTTTCAAATGCGCCGCAAATCCAGCTCCCAGTCTGTCTAATAAACATGCAGCGATAAAAACCCATAATATTATCTCACACCACTTGCTAATTGTTTCGGTCAGATAAAGAAGAGGCGCCTCTCGTCGCCACACAGATGATCGCGGTCAAATCAATTTATTCGACGGCACGATTGTTGTGCCAACCAACGGCTGCATGCATATTATTGCCCGCTTTTATTAGTTCCGTGATCACGACAGACAGCATTATCTATTAAAGAGCTTCTGTTTTTGTGCCTTTTCTCCATTTAACCCACTTTTGAAACTAAATATTGAAAAATCTAAACGGTTTATAAATATTCAACGAAAAGACCATGTTCTGAATTTTAAGTTGTTTTGAATGGATAAATTAATAAATTTGTAAGCTTTTAAAGTGTTGTCAAAAGTAAAGTTAGAAAAAATTTAAAACCAAATCTAATTCTAAATAGAAGTCGAAAATGCCTAAAAAGTGAATTTAAATTTGAATCCTCACTCGAATTAAATAAAAAAAGAAAATGAGCAATTAAATTGAATGATAAATATTTGTGCAACAAAGACAATAATAATTTTGAATGCTTTAATTAACAAAGTACTAGTACAATCAGTATATAATAATCTAATTTAAATAATAAAATTAATTGGGAGGTAAGCTCAAAATCATTGAAAATAATCAAAATAAAAATCATCATAGGCATGGATATGAAACTAATTTAAAGTTAATTTAATTAATCAAAATGTGAGTAAAGTGAGTGTGAGATTTACCAATTCCTCTCTAATTGTGAGAGAAATGGCTTGAGCTTTAAACTGCGAAGGTTTTAGCGACCTGCAATAATCTCTCCAAGGCTGCGCTGGTATTTTTTTCCGTTCTTTTTTGACGAGCCCGCAGTTGATGAAAAAGGATGCTCGGCTCAATTAAAATTGTCCGATTTTAGCTCAGCAACAACGGTTTCGACACCACTATGGTTTCCAACAACGTCTCTTAATTTTCTATCTTTGCCAACCGCACGCCAAGACTGAACGTATTTGCAACAAGCAGGCCGGCAGTAATTAATCAATTTGCTCTGACAGCCGACTTGGGTGCTTTGCTTGCTCAGCAATAATGCTTAATTGCACTCATTATGAGTCTGTAATGTGAATGTCTTTTGTTCTCTGTACACTCTGGATAAATACATATGTGTGTTCTGATTGAGAGCTGTAAGGTTGAGTGACTCACGATTGTATAGAATTTAAAATCTTAATAGTTTTTTTTTACCTGAATTGAGATGGACCATTTTTACTGTTATTAAAGGAATTTATTTTAAAGAATTTAAAATGAATCAAAATATTGAAAAATATTTAGAAAATAAGAATTCTAATCATAAAAATTGCTGCTCTTGAGCATAAGTTTATATTTTTAATGATAGAGGAAAATGCTAGAAATTCGTAAATAATCAATCTCCGAAATTTAATGCTTCACGCTTCATTAAATTTGAAATAAGGAGTGAAAATAAAAAGTGAAATATAAAGGCAAAGATAAATTGATATTCATGGTAGAAAGCAAAATTCGTGCTAAATTTGCAATCATTTGTTTCCTTAGCTGCTGGCGACTGTGTCAGGGTTTCTCATCTCGAAACTTCGCCTCGGCCATTTATTATCATTATCTTAAACGTTTTGCTGACGTGACTTGGAAACATTACAAGCACTGCGCAAATCTGCACGACGTACCCAACTTTAGCATAACCGCCTGCGAGATATTCTCAAAAGTTTCCTTTTTCATGGGGCACAAAATATTCTTCCATATAACTTTGTGACGAAGTTTAGTCTTTGAAATGAAATTATTGATTTATTAAACAAAAAGATATATCTCGTTTAATTTTCAACAGGAATTACAATAAAGCTCCAAAATTTCTTGCATCAATATATTTCTTTACGAAAAACAATAAAAAAAATTTGATTGGATCATGGGACTCGTCAGCTATTTTTTTAATTTGTACTTTATGAAAACAGTTAAAATTATTTATGATTTATTAATAATAATAATATATAAAATGATATAAAAATATCCAACTTTCAACAAATATTTATTCCAAATTAGTGATGATTGTTAATTCTTCAATTTCTCCGTCAGAGCTCACAGGATTTTTATAATTTACGCTTTCCACACACAAAACAGCCGAACTTGATTCGCCAAAATCGGAGTGATCTATCGGGGGCATGACAATTACAGACCTTTAGAGTCGTAACTGATTCCGCAGCGGTCGAGAAAGGTGTCAGCGAGTCGGTGATTATTTGAGGCACCTTTATGGGTCACACTAAAATTCGTGCTTGGTCGCGCAAAATCACTCGGTTTGTTCCCAAGCGACTCTCAAATTGCACAGATTTTGATTCTGTCTTTGAGCCACTGGGCGAGAACTCGATGCGGCAAAAAATAACTAACCGAAAGCGTCAGGGGCAGATGCAGTTTCTTGAGACGAGATGGTTCCGAGAAGCAGCTTTTCGAGCTCACTGAACCGAGGAAAGCCAATAAAAAACAGAAGTGATGCTTTGCTCGTGCGGTGGTCTTCTTTATTATTTCGTTTTTTGGTGCGAGAATTCAATCAGTAAATAAAACAGCAGAGATGCTGTGGAGACTTTTTGTTTCTATTTCCAGTTCTTATAAATAAAGTTTTGATTACATTGCAGATTTTCAAGGTTGAAAGTCTAATATAAACAATACAACAAAGGTCTCCAAATGATTTAAAAAATAAAAAAAATTGAAAAAGTTATATTTAGGGTTTTTGTATTGGTTTTCACAATAAATTGCACTTCAGAGAGAAGTTTTAAATTAACACATTAATTTAATATTAACAAATAATTTGAAAGACTATATGTTCAAGTTAGATTATTTTTGTATTTTCACAGTTATATTTAAATTTCCCACACACAACTTCTTTCTTTGCTTTCTTCCCGACGATTTCCACAACCACAAAGGAAATCGTTTGCAAAATCAAACGACCAGTGTTGCTGGTGTTGGGTTCATTTGGGTGAACGCACACGTCACTGCCAGCAAACGCGGAAAAACGAATGAGAAAGAAAATCTCTCAAGTGGTGGCGATGACGACGGCGCTCACTTCTTATACAAATTAAAACTGAGAAGAAGAGAGCTTGGTTTTTTGCGTCTGCCTCAAGAGCTCGATTATTGTGTCGTGCAGCGAAGTCGCGTAATTAAAGCTCAGCACGACCGACTCCTTCTCCGTCAGCAAAAAGACGCAAAGCTGCACGTATTCTCGTTTTGCGCTTGATGTGGCGTGAAAAGTGCTTGAGAGAGACACCTGAGAGCCCGTTTCCTTTTTTTGTTCTTTCGCAACACCCCGAGACGGAGGGAGGATGGACTGCGTTGTCACCAAGCTAAATTTCTTCTCAAACGGCCATTGATTCTCTATGCTCGGAAACAACCCCGACGGAAACAATGATACCTTTTGTGTGGCTTGCAATTGCGATTCGCGACTCTTTTGTCTCATGATTATCTATGAAGGTTGGAACATTGTAAGTTTTTTTCTTGATTTCTCACCAAATTAAATGGACAACCTTCAAACCGTTGAAAAAAATTTACCATGAACCGACTTGAGTAGAATCAATAAATATTTTGTAAATTCTATTTAGAAATAGGGCGAGTTATGGAAATGAAATAACAATTGCTTATTATGAAATAGTGAAGGAAATTTTTAAAATCACAATTCACAATTTTAGGTTATTCTTGTTATCAATTTTTTCAAATGAAGGACGTGTTAAAAGTGTAATATTATGAAATTTGAATTTAACAGTTATCTGATTTTTAGGAAAAAAAAATTTGTAAATAATTTTATATTTTAAGTAAATTTTGTAGTTTTACAATGCTATTTGCTGCATGGATTAACTGTATTTTTTCTTTGAAAAGTAATTTATTTAAGATAATTGTTTGACTTGTTTTACAACTGCAGCCCTCATTCATAGGAGAGAAATTTACTCAAATTTAATATTTATTTTAACATAAATTTTTAACTAATTTAAATTTGATGCAAAGAACAGTAAAAAAAAAAAAAAAGATATCTCTATCCTTAATTCAAAGGATAGATTTGTAGATGCAAAAAAAAAACTCTTCAAGATGGAAAAAACCATAATCGTAAATCTTTAATATACTTATTACTTAATTAATAAATCCTCAATTGATAAATTAATAATTTTTTATTAAGTTATAATTTTATTAAAAATGTCAAGTATAAAAAGTAGTCCAATATTCAAGAAAAATAAACCATAAAATAATTCAAAATAATTATATTATTAAACTTTAAGCACTAAGAATGGCTGGAAACAGGGACGTGCAAATCGGCTGCTGTCTGCGTTTTTATGCGTGCTAACATTGAACAGTTTCACATGGATACGCTAAATTTTATTGCACCGGTCAGAATTGGCCGACTCTTGATGCACTCTCGCAGATAACCGCGTGTTCTCGAGAAGCACGTATAATTGGCGCGGACTTCCGTTGCAACTGTTATTCAATCGATCATGATGGAATTGTCGCTGATTTCACTTTTTTTGCGCTCTGTTGCAGGACAACTCGGCAACCACAAACGGCGGTGAGTCTGCTGAAAAAGCGGAGGAACCCCCCGAGGAGGACGACAAAGACGACACTGTCCGCACAAGCCGAAGGTATGTTGCGAAAAAAAAAATGCTCAAATCATTGTTAGATCAGAGTAATTATTGCGAGCGGTGAGAAAGTTTTTTTATGCACCCGTCGGGCTTCTTTCATTTGCTTTGTGGCGTTACTTTGCAAAACGCTGCACCGACCGAGTGGCAGTGAAAGTCGCAGCGACTGCTCGAGTTGCATCACCCTGCTTTTTGCAAAACGCGTATACTGCCACTCAAATCGATCGTTTTGCATTGCGAAAAGTAAATTGATGCTCTCGGAAACTGAAGACAGGCGTGGAAAGGGATTAGGATTGATGAATGCAGCGCGGTCTTTCGCAACAAGTGCAAACAATCATCTCTCTGCGGTGCAGCGATTGTGTTATTTTTTTTTATTATATTACATACTGCACACTGAATGTGGGAAAGTGCAATTAAACTTGCGGAAGAACCATTTCCTTGTCAACCGATACACCCCGAGTATTATTTTATTAAGTGGCTGATCATTGTTGTAATTTTTTGAGTAGCAAGAAATTTAAAATATTTGTTTAATAATTAATTTAAAATGTGTTTTATGCATAAAAGTGTATGTCATAATATGTATTAAATTGGTTTGGCGAAATTTTCATTAATTTTACCAGGCATATTTTAAGAAATACATTTTCAAGAAAATTAAAATTATCTATATAAACGGAGGATATATAAAAAAAAATCGTCATCGCAGTCGGTCAAGCTTTTAGCTGACAGCAGAGGTATACATTGTTGTGAAACAAAAATTAATTCAGATTTAAATTCATTAGTATTAAAATAAAATTTTGAGATAATCTCCACATGCTATCTAGAAATTTTACTTATTCACAATTGACTGATAATTAAATTTCAAGACAGAAATACCAAATAAATTCAAATTCTACAATTTTGAACTATCTCTCATGCCGCAAATTTACGCGATTGGAGCAATAGCTTACAAAACGCTTGAACTGAATCCGTTATATTAGTTGAAACAAAAGGAGGCCCCGTGAAACCGCCGCCGAAGTTGAGAAATGTTGCACTTATTTATTTTTTGTCCAAGCGTCTCTCTTTGAAATTTATTTATTTTCCACGTGCCCCAGATTGGGAACTCACGCGCCGCCATTGTTTTCTTTTCGCCTCCCTTTTTCATTCAAATGACTTGTTCTAAATCCACATTACATACAAACTAATCACAGAGTACACGCAGCGTTTGAGCCCGAAACCGACAACTTCCCTGTCTGATACGGTGGATCCTGTTATAGACCCATTTTCGCTGCGATAATGACTGCAGAGAAAGTTTCTCCGGCGTAATATTTTGTCACGGCAGGTTGGGTTCACGCTCTATGACACCAGCAACCAGATGCACCGCAGATTCCCTTTTTTTCACTTTATCTCGGGAAAAGCGTTTCTCCTGAAACGGCGGACACGAGAAGCACTCGAGCGAGAAATATATTTGTAAAAGAAGAAAAACGACAGCGTTGTTTTTGACCCCAAAGCGCCTTTGTTGCCAACTTTCGATTAAGGCAATGGATGCGTTTTTTTTAAACTCTTTCAATTAAAAAATTGTACAATTAATGGCGTAATTAATTGCCACCTGGTTAGACAGAAAACAATCGTAGTCTTTGTTTAAAGATTGCGTCACCTTTTTTACTTCTTGTTTGTCTTATTACAAGGTAAAAATGAAGAACTATCATGTCAAATGAATTGTTATAACTGTCTACCTTACACAATTATATCTAAAAAAAATTGTAAGGAATCTCACGAGTTTCTGCAATACAAATTTTTCAGTCTGAAATTTAAATTTTGCTGGTTTATTTCTAATAAATATTTATTTTGCTACGTTTTATAAATTTTAATTTACTTCAAATAAAATAGGCTAGTAAGATTTTAATTTTTATCCAATTTTAGGTCTTAACTTGGATTTAATTAGCCTCTCCCTATACAATCAAAGCCAAGAGCTTGCCGCTTGTATTTATTTTATGTTACAAACAATATTTGATGCTGATCCTACATTAAGCATAAAACATCTTTTAAAGCAGGGGAAAAATTTCCTCACGTGTTGTTACTGACTGATATACATTTTTGTGTCCGGAAATCAAGTTTCCAGTGAGCCAAACTTCCCAAAGACGTGCTCATTTTATTCACATTTCAATACGGGGAATCCTTTGTTTTTGAGCAATTTCATTGTTATCATTTTGTTGTGCTGTTTTTTTTGTATAATTTAGCATTTAAATTTATTTTTTTGCTGTTTATTTAAAAAAATAAATACATTTTTTTTAAGTCTATAATCAATCTATTTTCAATGCATTTCAATTGAAACCAAAATTTTAAAAGAAAATTTGACATCAGTAAATGCTATTAAGATTTCTTTCTACATATTTCTCAATTCACTTAGAGCATCAAAAATGAAAATTTTATTTAAAAAAAATGTGTTAAATAAAAGAAATTGTTTTCATCTTAATCTGTGGATTTTAGACGAAATTAAATGACGCGTGTACATGTTTTGTGTAAAGCCTGTTTCTATGTTTCTATGTAAAGCCTGTTATCCAATATTCCATAACTCATCGGAAGGGTCGTGTCAAAAAAGTTATTGAAATTACACAAGAGCTCACACCTCTCATTCTATGGAGGTTTTGATCTATATTAGGCCGCACGCGTCCCATATATGTGCGTGTAAGAGGATTATTTTACTGTAAACAAGAGCGGCAGCAGCTTCGATTGCACGCAGACAGGATGGGCAATTCTCTCTCGCTCTCGGAGGCCATACTCGTGTTTTATTTTTCTGCTCTGACCGAGCAGAATTGCCTCTTTCCTTCGCCAGCCGAGCTCGTCCGTCCGTTGCGCCACGCAGGAGTTGCGCAGGAAGTTGACTTCTTTTTTAATCGCCAAGAAAACCCTCCCAATTACGTATTATAAAATTTTATTTCCATGCCGGCGGGCCGACGGCAATTAAAATTGTATAGGCGAGCAACTCATGCATATTCTGAGGGTCGGCCGCCGATTTTAGGCTAATTAAGTGCAATTGCCGAAGGTTCTTTCTTCTTCATTGCCATGCTTGTATATCCATTGCATTTTCTTTCTTGTTCGTCTCTCTCTGCGCGCGCAAATAATAATAAATTACGCCGAGCAACTTTCAATATCGCCTTTTTCAGTCCGGCTCTACACGGCGCGATTGGGGTCACAATTTTCTCGCCGACCTTTCGAACAACAAATTCGAATTCATCCTAATTTGGCGAAGGGATTGTCTGGCGAAAAACTAGCCCAGTGATTGACATTTAAGGCGATTGAAATTTGCAAACAAGTGTCGTCGCCCTTGGATTTTTTCTTTTATCAATAAAGAGCTTGTTAACTTTTATTTCAATGGGCAATAAATTTAATTGATTTTGGTCATTGTGAATGCGTAAACTCTGCTAACACGATAATCCAAGCGAGTTGTTTAACTTGCTTGAGTTTATTTTATAATACCATAACCGCCGTTCAAGGTGAGACTAAAAAGCATCGCGCTTTATGATGATTTCACGTGAAAATTGCTTCCAAGGCTGAAAATCCTCACTCATGAGGGAACATCACTCTCTATTAGTTTTTGCAATTTTGGATGAATGGATTTAATATTTTTCCAACAAAAAGTTAATTTCATAAATTATTTTAAATTTTGCTTAGCTTTCAAATTCTAGGAAGAATTTAAAAATAAAATATTATTGGAATGAAAAATTAATGTCTCATAATTTCATTAGACCAATTTTTTTTATATATAATCAAATCATAATGAATATTACCAAATGAAAATTTTTAAATGTTAGATGATATTATTTATATAATGAAGTTTATATTAAATTTTCATCTTTCTTAACATTTTTTAGCAAGTATATTTGGAGTAAAAATTAATTTTTATGTAAGAGAATCCCTTCAAATATTGATTACTTCTTTCTTCAATGAAATTGATTAAATTTTTATTTATTTTACAACATACCATTTGTAAATGTCAATCCCCACTGCTAATCTGTGTCTTCATTAATCACTTTATTTGACCCACTTGGACCGATATTGAAAACTGCTGAAGATTGACAAGGCTCCCTTTACAACTCTCAAGATGAGCATTTGCATTTATAAAATTTTTATTTTACAACTTTTCATCGCCACCGGCCGCAAACTCTCTCTCTCTCTCCATCTCATTTGTCACTCACTTGAGGTTATAAATGCGCCGCAGACCGCACGCAAATACTAATTACAATTTCTTGTGATTTGTGTTTCAGTTTGAGCGACTGCTACTTTCCCTCAAACAGGACTGCATTGGTTCTGCCGCTGAATAATGAGCTCCAGCGACCCGCCAGTCGGAGGGTCAGCGCCTCAGGCCCCTCGGACATCCAGCACCACCTCCAGTCCATGTTTTACCACTTGCGACCCGAGGAGACTCTCAAAATGGTAAATTTCACTTTTGGTCACCTGACTGCTGCAGTAATTGCCACTGTGGTAAAAAAGAAGAGTGGCTGCGGCGAGGGAATTGATATGGTTTTTATTTTATGATATTTGAAAGTTTTGCATGTCCACCTCGGGCAAGAGTCAGAAGCCATAAGATTGATCTAAAAATAAATAAGTTGTATCTGTGAGGTTCACTTGATTGATGAATATAAAGTTTGGTAGCACCAAAAGATAAGTTGACCATCCCCATAAAATATTTGTAAATCTTGAAAAGATCCGTTAACTAGATTTAACACCAATTTTAAATTTCAATATAAATTTTTAAGTTTTTGATGCATTGTTTGAGTAAAAAAAAAACTGAAAATGACTTTCTTCTAATTTTGGAATATTTTGATTCTGGAAAATTGGATTTCATAATTTAATAATCTTTAAAGGACAGAGAACGTGGTTCAATTCATCAGCCCCGGTCTGCTATTTTTTAGCATTTCATTCTCCGAACAATTTCTTAATGAGAAAATTTTGGGCAAATTTCAATCTATAATTTTTTAATGAATTAAAGGAGATTAATTTTGAAAATAACTATGAAAAATACTTTGGAGTTGCTTGACTTTAAAATCTAATTATCGATGAAGTAAGAGTCGCTTATATAAATAGCTGAGATATCCTTATTCTTTTTATCTCTAGCTTAATTAACGTGATGCACATGGCTGCTCCATTGTTTTATTACTTTTGATTGCAAAGTTTGACATTCCAATGTTGATTAAAAAGATTAATCAGGCATTTCTGTTTTGCTAAAATTGAAAGCTCAGAAATGGATTTAATAATCGAAAGCTTGTTTAACATATTTCCAGTTGATTGCATCGACTGATAAATTTCTAACGAAAATTTTCACCTTTGAAGGTTTTATTGCGGTTTCATGCAGTTGGAAAATATTACTCTCTGTCCTTGTTTAATCTAACGCCAATTATTGCACGCGTTTTTGCCACAAAAGAAAGGCTGAGCTGCTAATTAAGACAATGTGCAAAAGCAGCCAGGCAGACAGCCTGTTTATCTGGTGGGCGTTGGATTTGGTTTGACCTTACTTACTTGCTCGCTGCATTGCTAATGCAAAAGAATGCAATAGCAAAGCAAGGCTCCGAGAAAGGTCGAGCGGCGGCTCACAGAGGACGTGCTAGGTGCTGTGCCTACCTGCGGCTGGTGCTGCCGCGGGGACCACCTTTTTTGCACTCGCAGCTGCTAACGCTGCGTGACGCAATTGAAACGATTTTTTTTGCTTTTTGTATTTACTTGACAACTTGACAAGCATTTTGTTCGTGACTGTTCGCAGGCTGTGAAATTGGAGAGTGCGCACCCTGGCCGCACGCGGTACCTGGTGGTCGTATCGAGACTTGCCCCCGCCAGGGACAACAATGACCAGGGTGGCGAGGAGAGCTGCCTCCTCGGCATTGACTGCAATGAAATCACCACGGTCGGGCTCGTTCTCAGGGTGCTCGCTGACACGGCCATCACCCTTGACGGCGATGGGTAAGTTTAAATTTTATATATTATTTTTTTAATTTAAATTTTCCATTTTTATTAACTTGAATAAAATTAATATATTAAAAATTTTCCAATTTATTACAATTATTAACATAATTTAGTTAAATTTTATTTGGTTAATTTAAGAACAGTAAAAAAAATGTATCAAGATTTATAATTTACACTTTTAGGATTTTGAAATTATTGTGGTTGGAAACCATTAGGAAATTTTTTGTCTATCACTTGATGCTTATCACAAAGTTCTTTTGTAACCAAAGCAGTGGTTTAGGTTTTTACATTGAATAATAAATCTTTTCGTGTTTCAGTGGTTTCAGTGTGAGCTCTTGTGGCAAGCAGCACATATTCAAACCTGTCTCCGTACAAGCAATGTGGTGAGTAAATATTCGTTTCTGTTCGCATTTTCTATTACAAAATGAGACAAGCTTTGCATATCAATTAACTCTGGCTATTGACACTGAAGCGTTTAAAAAAAATATCACTTAAAATGCTTTATTTTAGCCTTGAGCAAGGGACAAATAACTTGTCCCGACAAATTCTTATAAATTTTAACCGGGACAAATAAAAAATTCGTTGCGCAACTGAACTAATTGTGAAGAGGGCTAGCCCTAATCATATTTCACCGTAAAAATCACAAACAAGCAAATAAACTATTGACGACGCTTAATTTTAATGCCTGGGAAGAGGAGCTCAATGACGCTTTACAATTTAATTTAATATTTACACACACAAACCTCTCCGTAAAAGGCAACAGGTGTCCAAGTGACATTCCAAAGAGCGGCGAGGCATTTCGTTAACCTTTTTTTTCTTCTGCTCCTTTCGGTGCTGCGCTGCAAGATGGGCTGGGCAACAAGCAAAAATTGCGCACTCCATCTTACTTCGCCTCTCCGTCGGCCGCTGCCTTCACAGCAGATAAAGCAAGCACTCCACTCCAGACTGCTGATTTTCTTTCCTGCACTTTTCCCACTAAGCGATCTGATACCAAAATCTGAGTGCACGTGTGAGGAGGAAGCGGAGTGATGCGCATTATTTTCATATCGCGTTGTTTGCGACTTCGAAAGGCGGAACACTTTGGTCAGCGGCGGCCTTGGCTGAAACCGCCACTGCGATCAAACCTATGCCCATTTAAAGTAAAAAATTTTCGCCCATCATTTTATTGACATCATTCAAATAAATTCAAGTCTTCATAGCTCTATGCAAAGGCAATTAATTTTTCATTGATGTCATGACTGGGAATTTCATTTAAAATTTAATTTATATACAAATTTATTCGATTGATTTAATTTTAAAATTTTATTTAAAATAGCTTTTAAGGATTAATTAATTCCATTTTAAAATAACCATTTATTATGTTGATTATTTTAAAATCAAATAAATAATCCTAAAATTTTGAAAATTGCATATTTTTTAATGTTCATTCTCTTGTAAAGTTTGTATTCTAAGCAATTGAAAAAAATCATAAATAAAATTTTAAACTCCATTATTTTTTTAACTGAAATAGTTTGTCCATAAAAGGAGCTGCTGCTTAGAAAGCGATATTTTTATTTTCGCGCTATTTCTTGCAAATGTCTGATAGCCGGTGGGCCACCTTCGTCTGTTGCCCATTCATGGTAAACTCGATCTCCTTGCTTTGTCTCATGCACGATCGTTGCAAAAAAGAAACGCTCTTCTCTTTTATGTGCGCGCACCGGCAGCCAAGTTAACGCCATTATTGGAGTTTAGCGCGGCGGGACTCTGTGTAATTCTCGATCAGAATGAAACTTATTCAATGAAACCTGATTTGCGGCGGGTTGGCTCATTTGGATGCAGCGAGTGCCATTTCATACCATCATTGCTATTCGTGGCCATTGTTCCCCTTTTTTGTCTCGCAAAGTTCCGTTCGATTTTCTCAGTCGCGGACACAGTGGCGCCAATTAGCCGCTCAGCCAAATTCATCTGATAAAATGTTTTTTTTTTTTTTGTAAATTAACGCCAGATTAAATGAGTCTGCCTCAATATTTCGTTAAATCTTAACATATATCTAGAAATTAAAAGCTTAAAAATTAAGTTGTAAGGAAATAAACGTGTTTCCATGAATAAAATATATTTTTATTGTTGCAAATTTATTTGGGCGCAAATTTATTTTAACTGCTATTAAGAATAAGCAAAATTTATCTAAATCTGTTGACCTTTTTCTGATTGAAGTTTTAAGTTTTACTTAAGTGGATTTTATGAAACAAAATGTAATTTTTCCCTGCTTTTTGTGTCTATTGGGCATTATTACTTTTTAGAAAGAATTCGTAAATAGAGGTGCGTCGATCTGTGTTGTTCTTTTTCCTTTATTTTATCCACAACTCCAAATAAAGCCACGGCAATGTTTTGCGGCGAGGAGTGTCTCTTGCCTCGCTAAAGATGGAATCGTGCTCTGTATTTGGAATTCCTTCGATTTTTAGCTGCGACCAGGTCTGTTTGTCTCGAAGAAAAACTCGCTGAATAAACGAACAGGGAGTGCTCGCATCCTTATCAGGCCGTCGAGCGCAGATTGAGAGTTAATATAGAAAATCGCCGGCTTGAATGATCTCTCACGCCAAAATTGTGTACCCTTAGTACACGCGATAATAAAGTGACACTGATAAGCAAGCCAGAAATCAATCAATCAGAGATTCAATTAAAAATTAAATTTGAGAAAGGAGAATTTGAGTGAGCGTTTTCTCGTTTTGTGACGTAACGAAGAGAGCTGCACTGCGCACTTTTGGTTGTGGCTGCCCGCGAATGGATTGCTCTCTCCAAGTGTGTGTTGGCGGTGATCCAGATTTGTACATGCACACTAGGCGGCAACTCCTTTGCCCTGTGCTGCCCTGGTGCATGCTGTAATTATCTCTTTCCCCAAGACCATGCACTTTCGTGCTTTTAATTGAATAATTAAATTCTATTGCCAAGTCGATGTGGGTGCATTTAATGAGACATACTTGTTTATTTACTTTTTTGACCGTCGTAATCACTTTATAATTATTGTAAACTTTATTTTAGCAACTTCTCTACACCTTATGTTAGTTTTCATTCTACTTTTCTGTTCAGAAAAGTATAAACTCTAGCAAAATTCAAATTTTTAATCATAAAAGTTCTTAGTAAAACTGGCAAAATTACATTGGAATATATAATTTCAACTTATGCAAATTAATCAATAATTAATTTCAGTTCAAAATGTAGAAGGAAAAAATGTATTTGCTAAATTATGCAATTTAAAACAAAAATAGAATTTTAAAAGCTAAATGGATTATTTATTAAACTTTGAATTTTTTGCCTCCTTGTTGCTTTGAACGAATCGTAATTGGTCCAAAGTCTCTAATTATCCTTTTTTAAAAAAAAAAAAATATAAGCAAAAGAAATCGCATTTTAAGAGATGACGACATCCCATTAAGATTTTTCTCTTTTTTTGGCACATAGCCCTTGCAAATCCGAATGATTTAGTCCGTTGGTTCCAACAACAGTTTAACTAGAACTCGTGTCTTTTCTAATGTTAGATGTAAACTAACTAAGAATAAATGTATTTCTACACTTACAACCGTTTAAAATTACACGGAGCAAATTCAACGCTATTTTTAAGCTTGAGAAATGTTTTTCTAGCGCATTTGTGATGTGCATCACTAGTTTGAAGTTTGAATTATTCATGACACACAATTTTTAATAAAATTATGATAAGTCTCCCTATCCTTAACTTGTAACCTACAAGTTTTATGTACCAAATTTCAAAGCCGGTAATTTTATGCAATTTTTAAAATTAGCAAGAAAATTTAATGTTTTTAAACCAATTTCAATTCCTAACATTGAATTTCATAAAATTTTAGAGCTCTGTCACTTCATAAGCATTTTTCTCATAATTTTAACCAAATTTACCCTTTGTTTGCCGCTCAAAAAATATATCTTCCATTTCCTTATAAATAAATTGATAATCTCGGCCCGCCAACAATAAGTAGTGGCCCTTGTCGAAGCCATAAAAAGCAGCGTCGAAGCAAGTGCACTTTAATTACTCTCTCTGCGGCGGCGAGCAGGTTCACAGAATGCGTCGCCTTATTAGGCCGAGCCTGGAATTGCATTTTTCTGCTGCACAAAACACAACGATCATGTGACCCCTTCCAGCACTTGCTCCACTCCATATTACAATTAATTTGTAATCCCCCGCTATCTTTCTGAGTGCTCTGCGAGAGAGAATAATAATATCGGTGGCAGCGCCGCGAGAATTCCCCGTCGCGAGAAAGAGCGGCGCGCTGCTTTTCCTCTGCATCAGCAGCTCGTTACTAAATATGGCTGGTCAAGCGGCGGAGCCAAGAAAAGGAGGCTGCCTCTGCCGCGGCGGCAAGGCTGCTGGATTTTATTAGTGGCCCAAACCTCGTGCCAATAACAGCGGCGGCGTTTTTGTTCTTGAGAAAATCGCACAGTGCCAGTGATAAAAGTGAAAGTGACCGTAGTGATTGATAATAACAACACTCCCATGGATCATGGGCAGGCCCACGAGGTATGCAGTTTTTCCCCCAAAAATTTATCGCGTGTTTCCGGAATTTTATGGTCTTCCGATTGATCCTTGTCCCTACCCGAATTAGCAATGTCACGCACTTAGACACTTTTTATTGCACCCGAATTATGAGCGGTTTTTATATGTTTTTATTAGGCTGACAGAGTAGTCAATTTTATTTATAAATTTTTAAATTTTCAGAATAAAATAACTATTTCATATTTACAATTATATTTTAGATTCCAAGATTTCTCAACTAATTAAAATTTATGCTAGATTTAAAAATTCCAAAGGTATTTTTCATCAAGTTGTTGGTATATAAAACAAGAGTCACGGATGTCACCTTATATAGCGCGCTTGCCGCCCTTTCGCGAAACACGGCCAATGTGGGATTTTCCTCAGCATCACCTTCAACTGTCACGGCTAAACCGGGTTTGAGACGCACTTTGAACCGTTCAGTTTCTTATCCATTTTAAATTTCCGCTTTTTAAAAACTTCCGAAATTTGATAATGATTATAATATAATTATAAATACTAAATGTATAGAACTATATAAATTAAGCCTACATATATACATGAAAAGTATTTTGTTAATTGGAAATTTTCTTTTAAATTATAGTGAAGATCAAATTCAGCAGTTTTAAAATAAGGATATTTAAAGACGTATGTTTGAAATTTTCTTATTATGCAATAATCTACATCGTCGGCTACGCGGCCAAATGGCCGATCTGGTAATTACCCCTGTGGGGAAAATGGCTAGTAGCCACTTTCCCCGTTGGGGAAAATGGCAGATGAGCATTTCCGGACAAATTTTTTTTATTGTTCCAATGCATTCAGTGTAAAAATCTGCATCAGAAATAACCATAAAAGTATCAACTTTCTCGGTAGATGTCTCATTATCGCGAGTTCAGGGAGCAAAAGTAAGGCAGTGCCACGCCCCCTTACAGGCAAGCAGGCAGCATTCCCGCTTGCTGAATAATGCCAAAATTGTTTTAAATGCAATAAATGTTAAAAATAATGAAAATATCGAAAATGTAAAAAATAAAAAAAATAAATTTTAATAAATTTAATAAAATACCTAACATTAAGTAAGAAGTAAAATATCAGAATAAGCTGTAGTTTCGTCAATATTGTATTCCAAAGTGACAGCTTTTTCATGCATTTTGCGTGATAATGCAAATAATTCTTTAAAATAGATATAATTTTAAAATTAAATAAATAGTAAAATATAGATTTTTTTATTAAAATATTTGACATGCAACCAGAAGCTTTATGTTGCATCCGAGCTAGATTTTACTTTACTAATTATTGCAATTTATAGTAAATATCAGTAAAACTATTCATGAGATTATAACTAGAAGTGACGCCGGGTCATGTGAAATAAAAAAAATGCTTTTAATGCCAAAATTGTTTACTATTGTGCAAATAAAAGAATAAAATTTAAATTAATTTAAATAAAATAAAATAATAAAAATTTAATAAAAAAAGATGAATTAAAATAAAATTATATTATAAAATATTATTTTTAAGTTAAATTGAACAAAGAAAAGGAGGAAATAATCGCATAAGTGGTTTAATTTCGATTGTATTGCACGTTTTACTCTTTCAGTGTGGAGTTACGTCCCTTTAAATTTCTTACAACAGTTGTATATTAAGGCTTAAAAGAAAATTAAGTCTACCAAATTATCTGCAATAACATGCTGAACTTTGGTTCAAATTTTGAAATCTGAACATTGAAAATTGGAGCAGATAATCAGTTTTTTGCTTCTCCTGTAAAATTTGAAAAAAGGCCCATCTGCCATTTTCCCCAACGGGGAAAGTGGCTACTAGCCATTTTCCCCACAGGGGTAATTACCAGATCGGCCATTTGGCCGCGTAGCCGACGACATATATTAAAAATTATCAGCCTTGATTTTCTCATTTTTTTTTAGAAATCGCTAATTGTAAATTAGTTTTCTTATTCTTTAAAATAACTGTCAGGTTTAAATTAGGCAGAGGTAAATCGCAGTTTTTACCTTATATTTATTCTTTTACTACGTAATTTTTTTTTATCTATATAGCAAATTTTTTGCTCATTTAGATAGTGCTTGCATCAAAATAACCTCGATTAGCATCTGACAATATCAGACGTTTAGCAGACTTGCTTATAGTAATTGTATTGTTTCGCCCGAAACATTCACTCTGGCGTGTATAATGTACGTAGGTTTTGCAATACATTGTCGGGGGCGAGGCAAAGTAAACTCGGCACGTAGGAATCACAAATCGGCCGTGCGTTGATTCCAGCAGAATTAACGCTGCTTATTGCTACATCTCTCGCGGAGCGCGCGCGGTGTGTGTTTCTCTCACTCTCATCCTATAATAGCAAACTGGCCTTGGGACCACTCTGTCGGTAGGAGTTGCTAATTTTGAGCATGACGTCAGTTGACTTTTGTGCCGTTGCGCCAGCCGTCTTTTCGCTAAATCAAAATCACTCACTTTCTTCCGCTTTAATGGGCAAAATTAAAATTTAATCACCGCATGCCCAAATTTGGTATGGGGAAGTGGTGCGCATTTTAAAGTATTGAATCGTTTCAAAGAAGTTTTCTAAATTCTAGGTTGAGTCATAAGAGTTTCTGAAACTTAAATTCCATCGTTAGTGTCACAGTTTTCATGCCCGATCAAAAATTTCTGGTAGTTTCCAATGAAATTCGAATAGAAAATGATTAACCAGCAAAAATTCTAATTAATTTGTAGGATTAAAAAAATAGCAATTATATTAAACATTTTCTTTTTGAAGTTAATAACAATTTGCGTTCTTAATTCTAAGAAACTGACAAACTTTTCATCAGTTTTCATGTTTATAATTATTAAGAATACTTAAATCGGAAAAGGAAAATTTAAAACGAAAATTTGGTTCAAACACCAATTTTCTTTGTTTATTTTGTTGCAATGGAAATTTCATAGAAATTAATTACGCAACACCGATTTTTTTCCACGCAATTGCATTTGCTCCGACGTGTGCATACAGGCATTTCGTCAGACTTTCCACGCGATTCGTTTGATACGGCTGTTATTTTTCTCTGACCCTTTGCGTCCTCTGCAACAAATGAAAGAGGCACGGACAGAGTATGGAAGGCTCTGTTTTTCGCTCCACCGTTTCCTCATTTTTCTCTCGCCTCTTTGGCATTGTTCGGCGGTGAGCAAATATTTAAATTTCCTCCGGCCGTTTTCTTCTTATCTCTAATTACAATTTTCATGCCAGGTTTTGTCCCCCTTGCCAACATTATTTCCGCCTTTTGATAAAACCACACGCAGTTGAAATGCGACGGTATTCTGCAAAGCTTGTTGCTCTTTAAATTTTTAAAATTTGTATTCATTTCTTTATTTAATTTGTTGTTTTTTCTGTTCTAAGGTCGGCCCTGCAAACCCTGCACAAAGTGAGCTCGAAAGCGCGGGAAAACAACTACTTTTTGGGCGGCCTCACTCACGAATGGGCCACTTACTATGAGCAAAGGGTGGACTCGGAACGTTCATGCCTTAATGAGTGGCATGCGATGGACAATCTCGAGTCCAAACGCCCACCATCCCCCAATTCACTTCGTTCCAAGTAAGTGTACTCAATAATCCCGCCCAGTTTAATCAGACTGCCTTCAACCTTTTTTGACCAATCGCCACTTTCTAATTAACAGGCCATGTGAGAGAGCAGAAACAGAGACTGTTATTCGTAGCGCCCTTAAGGAGATAATGATGTCTGTGGACCTGGACGAAGTGACGTGCAAGTATATACGAGGCAGATTGGAAGAAATGCTGGACATGGACTTGGGCGAGTTCAAGCACTTCATTGACCAGGAAATGCTCACCATCCTGGGCCAGATGGATTCCGCCACGGAGGTCTTCGAGCATGTTTACTTGGGCTCCGAGTGGAATGCCTCCAACTTGGAAGAGCTACAAAAAAATGGGTCAGTAAAAACTTGAATTTTTAAATTTACTTTACACAACTTAACTATTCTCAGCTAGTAAACTGTGTCACTAGTTCAAAAAAGTATTTAAAAATTACAAATAATTCCGATTGAACTTATAAGTCAAAATTTAAAATATAATTTTGTGTGTGAATGATTACTTGGTTATAAATTAATTATACCAATATATTCTGTTTGATATATTATTAATGAATTCTTGAATTCACAGAGTTGGGCATATCCTGAATATAACAAGAGAAATTGACAATTTTTTTCCCGGGACATTCAACTACTTAAATGTGCGCGTCTATGACGATGAAAAGACTGATCTCCTCCGGCACTGGGATAATACTTTTAGGTACATCAACAGAGCCAGGTAAGATCTTAAGAAATAAAATAAATTATAGAATATGTATAACTCGCATTTACTTACAGGCAAGATGGTTCCAAGGTACTAGTTCACTGCAAAATGGGTGTCAGCAGATCCGCTTCTGTGGTCATCGCCTATGCCATGAAGGCTTACAACTGGAATCTGCCGCAGGCAATTGAATTTGTCAAGCAGAAGCGCAGCTGCATTAAGCCCAACACCGCATTTATGTCACAACTCGAGACATATCAGGTAAGATCAAGATAAATGTGAGGATTATGGAAACTAAATCAAAATTTCCCATCAACAGGGTATTTTGGATGCAGTGAAGAACAAAGAACGACTTCTGCGATCAAAATCAGAAACAAACCTGAAGTCACCAGGGCCCGTTTTGAAAATTGAAGACACCGTGGATGCCATTTTGAATGAATCGACACAATCTTCACAGCTTACCACCAGCAGCTTCCTCACCGTTGACTGGACTACAGGTAGAGACCTTGCTACCACCGGAAGGCCCAAGTCTTGGAGTCCAGACAACACCACTGATCTTTTTACCTCACCTTTAACCGGTAATTTTCTAAAAATATTTAATTTATAATTAAATTCTATTAAGGAAATTTTTCAATTTTAGCTCCTACGTCTTTGTCCATGGAGCATCTTCTATCGGACGAGCAACCCGTCAAAGAAGATGCTGAAAAGTTTGAAGACTTTGAGGAAGTTTCGCAAGAGGAGACGGTTGAAATTGACAACAAAGTTTGTTTCTGTGAACTTAAAGAAAACTGCGGTGTTGAGACTAGAAACTACAACTTGAGCGTGCGACTGCCCTGCAGCAACGGCCAGACTTACAGTGTGTCTCAAAACAAAGTTATGTTCCTGCCGACTTGCACAGGCCCGGATTGCATGTCCAGTGTGAAACTGATAGTGAATGAACTGGAGTCCCAAAGTGGAGTTTCTGTGTCTAGGCCGACGTCTCAAGTGCCAGACTTGACAGGACTGGTCCTCAATCTCACTTCGCAGTTCGAAGGCTCGAAGGAGGTTTCGGCCATAGAACAAGAGGAACTTTCGTCTTCGGCCCTCACAAAGCAGCCGCCGCCTCTTTTGCAGGCAAAGCTTTTGAAGAAAGAAACCTGGGACCCAGCCGAACACAAAAACCCACTGACTGAGATGGCGCCGCCACCGTCAAGCAACCCTCAGCCTATTCCTGCCCCTAACAGCAAGCCAAAGCCTGATGACCCCTTTTCTGCGCAACTAGATAGGGTAAGAATAATTTTAGAATTTCATTTAATATGAAATATTATGCAATTTAATAAACAATATTTTCATAAATTTAAAATTGTTTTCCATGGAAACATAATACATTTACAAATTATGTTAGTAATAAATAAAGTAATTATATATTTTGGTTCATGAAAGTAATTAGTTAAAAGAATCACATATGTTTCCTTAAATTTCACATTTAAAATTTGATGAACAAGTCGATGAGATTGAACTTTTATGTTACATTTATATTTTTATCATTTATTTAACACATATTTTTGAAATATTAGAGATTTGTGTTATAATATCGTGTTTTATTTTGTTTCAGGTTTTTGACCGTGAAGAAAAAAGGCAACAGAGATTGAGTTCATCCCTTCCTATTGAGGCCACAAATCAATGTCTCCTTTCTCAAGAAAAGTCCGCTATTCCCGTCAGCACCGAGCAGCTTCTTCGGGAATGCCCGTCCCGTCAAAGTTCATGGAGCTCCTACGACAGCGCAGTTATTCTCCGCGAGTCACCCTCCCGGCAAAGCAGCTGGGGCTCTGCAGACACCAGGTGTACCTATGGCACTCTGCCCTCGAGGAACAGCTCCTGGGGCTCATACGACATTCGCCGCGGCAGCAAATTGTCCGAAGACTTCCCCGAACAGCATTTTTCCTACGACCGTGAGTCAATCCCCTTTTACCCCGGAACAGTCAAAAGAACCAAACAAAAAATAGAATCCGAATCGAGCATCAAGCGTGTGTGTTCGGAAGCGCCCGACCCCATCACCGAGACCTCCACTGCCACAATCAAACTGCTGAAAAGTGGCCAGCCAATCGTACCTGTTTCCAAACCCTCTTCGTGCCACGTCCCCAAGGAACAACCCAAACAGAACTCTAGTCCAAAAGGCAGGTCCCCAGGGCAGCTAGTCAAAAGCAAAGAGGACGTCGGCAAGAAAAGCCCTCTGGTGGACAAAACCAACTCGGCGGGCAATAAAACAACCAACCCCCCTGGCGTAGTGAAAAATCTTAAAAAGGAGTTTGAGGCCAAGTCGGTGGTGCTTCGAAACGCAAAGAGCCTCTCGGTGTCGTCCTCAGAGCCCACCAAGGAAAAGGAGCTGCCCAAAAGCGAACCTACCTCACCGACCGCAGAGGACCTCTCGGTCAAGCTTCTGGTGGACAAATTTGAGGTCAATAACAAAGGGTGGACCTCCTTCTGCCGCAGCATCTCCACCTCGCCCCCAAACAGACTCATCTCCTCCGAGGGCGGCTGTCCAAAGAGACGCTCCTCCCCCGCCAGCCTGTGTCCTCAGCCACCTGTGCCGCAGCGCAAGTCGAGCTTTGAGGCGACAGCTGCTGGAAAAAATAATGTGATAGTCACAAACTGCATCATTCAGGGCAGGGGCGGCAACCTGAAGCCGCCCCCGCCGCAGCCCACGGTCTTGTCCATCGCCAAGTGCAAGAAGCAGCAGGGCAAGACGCACCCTCTCAACCGGCTCGCCCCTGCCTTCACCAAGGCCAGGCACAACAACCCTGTTTTCAACACAATGTGACTTGCCTCTCTTTCTCTCTGCCTGTAGGATGTATAACCACACAATACATGTTTACTGCCTCTATTCAACCAGGATTTGTGCAAAATACATATATATTAAATATAAAACATACAAACAAAGTCCTTTTTCAGATGATCAAGTTTTCAATCTATTACTCTCATGTGGACATGTTTTCTTGTTCATAAATGGTAGGAGCAAGCCTGTTTTGGGTAGACACAAACAAACGCATACATTCTGGGGGTTTTCAAACTTGATATAAATATGTGTGAGAATTAATTTATAGATTTGTTAAATTTATTTTCATGGATGAACAATTATGACTTTTAAAATTTTGTATGATTACTATGTTTCAAACAAATAAAAAGTGATATAAACGTGTATGATATTTATGGTGTTGAATTTTTTACACGATATCCTTTTAATTTTGTATGAGAATTAGTGCAAACTGATGTTAGTTAAATTAAATATTTCAACTTGCAAAAATGTGCTGAAGAGAGCGTCATTCACATCCTCATCTGGCCACATTATTATAGGTCTTGTTGCGTTGCCATGGCGAAAATAAATACATAAAGGATTAAACTATAATCCTCAATTTGTTAATTTTAAATAGCACGAACCTTTATTTCAGGTCTTGTTGCCACGGCGACAAGTCGTGAAAATATTTTAAGATATATCAAATTAACATCTTCTTTAAAAATGGCTGCACACTATAACTAGACATACATATATAGGTTACTTGAAGAATTAAACTATAATCCTCAATTTGTTAATTTTAATTAGCGCGAACCTTTATTTCAAGTCTTGTAGCCGTGGCAAAAAGTCGTGAAAATATTTTAAGATTCATGGCAACAAGTCCTGAAATAAAGGATCGCACTATATAATGTTATCAAATTAAGGATAATTGTTTAATCCGCATCATTAAACCTAGATCTAGTGCGCAGCCATTTGAAAAGGAGTCGTTAATTTCAAAAATCTTAAAATATTTTCACGACTTGTTGCCATGGCAACAAAGGCCTGAAATAAAGGTTCGCGCTAAATAAATTTATCAAATTGAGGATTATATTGTTTAATCCATAATTAAACCTAAGACTAGAGCGCAGCCATTTGTAAAGAAGTCGTTAAATAAAGAAATATTAAAATATTTTCACGACTTGTTGCCATGGCAACAAGTCCGGAAATAAATATTCGCGCTATTTTAAGTAATAAAATTGAGGATAATTGTTTAATCCATTATTTAACCTAGGACTAGTGCGCAGCCATTTGAAAGGATATCATTAATTTTACAAATCTTAAAATGTTTTAACGACTTGTTGCCATGGCAACAAGTCCTGAAATAAAGGTTCGCGCTATATAAAGTAAAAGAATTGAGGATAATTGTTTAATCCATTATTTAACCAAGGATTAGTTTGCTGCCGTTTGCAAAGAAGATGTTAACTTGGGATATCTTGCAAAATGTTCACGACTTGTTGCCATGGCATCAAAGTCCTGAATAAAGGTTCGCGCTATTTTAAGTAATAAAATTGAGGATAATTGTTTAATCCATTATTTAACCTAGGACTATAGTGCGCAGCCATTTGTAAAGAAGTCGTTAATTTTAAAAATCTAAAATTGTTTTCACATCTTGTTGCCATGGCAACATGTGCTGAAATAAAGGTTCGTGCTATATAAAGTTATCAAATTGAGGATTATTGTTTAATCAATAATTAAACCTAGGACTAGTGCGCAGCCATTTGTAAAGAAGTCGTTAATTTTAAAAATCTAAAATTGTTTTCACATTTTGTTGCCATGGCAAGATGTCCTGAAATAAAGTTTCGTGCCATATAAAGTTATAAAATTGAGGATTATTGATTAATCCATAATTAAACCTAGGACTAATGCTCAGCCAGTTGTTAAAAAGTCGATAATTTCAAAAATCTTAAAAAATTTTCACGACTTGTTGCCATGGCAACTAATCCTGAAATAAAGGTTCGCGCGCTATATAAAAGTTACCAAATTGAGGATTATTGTTTAATCCATTATTAAACATAGGACTAGTGCGCAGCCATTTGAAAAGAAGTCGTTAATTTTAAAAATCTTAAAATGGTTTCACGACTTGTTGCCAAGGCAACAAGACCTGAAATAAAGGTTCGCACTATTTAAAGTAATAAAACATAGGATAATTGATTAAGTCATTATTTAACCTAGACTTAGTGCGCAGCCAATTGTAAAGAAGACGTTAATTTAAACAATCTTGAAATGTTTTCACGTCTTGTTGTCATGGCAACAAACCTGAAATAAAGGTTCGCACTATTTAAAGTAATAAAATATAGGATAATTGTATAATCCAACCTAGGTCTAGTGCGAAGCCATTTGTAAAGAAGTCATTAATTTTAAAAATCTTTGAATATTTTCACGACATGTTGCCATGGCTAAAAGACCTGAAAAAAAGGTTAACGTTATAAAGTTATCAAATAGTGGATTATTGTTTAATCCATAATTAAACCTAGGACTTGTGCGCAGTCATTTGTAAAGAAGTCGTTAATTTTAAAAATCTTAAAATGTTTTCACGACTACTTTTCAAATGGCTGCGCACTAGTCCTAGTTTTAATTATGGATTAAACAATGATCCTCAATTTGATTTTTTTATAAAGCGCGAACCTTTATTTCAGGTCTTGTTGCCATGGCAACAAGTCGTGAAAACATTTTTAGATTTTTAAAATTAACGACTTCTTTACAAATGGCTGCGCTCTAGTCCTAGGGTTAATAATGGATTAAACAATAATCCTCAATTTGGTAACTTTATATAGTGCGAACCTTTATTTCAGGACTTGTTGCCATGGCAACAAGTCGTGAAAATAATTTAAGATTTTTAAAATTAACGACTTCTTTACAAATGGCTGCGCTCTAGTCCTAGGTTTAATAATGGATTAAACAATAATCCTCAATTTGGTAACTTTATATTGCGCGAACCTTTATTTCAGGTCTTGTTGCCATGGCAACAAGTCGTGAAAACATTTTAAGATTTTTAAAAATAACGACTTCTTTACAAATGACTGCGCACAAGTCCTAGGTTTAATTATGGATTAAACAGTAATCCACTATTTGATATCTTTATATAACGTTAACCTTTGTTTCAGGTCTTTTTGCCATGGCAACAAGTTGTGAAAATATTCATAGATTTTTAAAATTAATGACTTCTTTACAAATGGCTGCACACTAGTCTTAGGTTTAATTTTGAATTAAACAAAAATCCGCAATTTGATCACTTTATATAGCGCGAACCTCTATTTCAGGACTTATTGCCATGGCAACAAGTCGTGAAAATATTTTATGATTTTTAAATTTAACGACTTCTTTACAAATGGCTTCGCACTAGACCTGGGTTTAATGATGGATTATACAATTATCCTATATATTTTATTACTTTAAATAGTGCGAACCTTTATTTCAGGTTTGTTGCTATGACAACAAGACGTGAAAACATTAAGTTTTTTAAATTAATGACTTCTATACAAATGGCTGCGCATTATTCCTAGGTTTAATTATGGATTAAACAATGATCCTCAATTTGATAACTTTATAAAGCGCGAACCTTTATTTCAGGTCTTGTTGCCATGGCAACAAGTCGTGAAAACATTTTTAGATTTTTAAAATTAACGACTTCTTTACAAATGGCTGCGCTCTAGTCCTAGGTTTAATTATGGATTAAACAATAATCCTCAATTTGGTAACTTTATATAGCGCGAACCTTTATTTCAGGACTTGTTGCCATGGCAACACGTCGTGAAAATAATTTAAGATTTTTGAAAATAACGACTTCTTAACAAATGGCTTAGCATTAGTCCGAGGTTTAATTATGGATTAAACAATAATCCTCAATTTGATTACTTTATATAGCGAGAACCTTTATTTCAGGACTTGTTGCCATGGCAACAAGTCGTGAAAACATTTTAAGATTTTTAAAATTAACGACTTCTTTACAAATGGCTGCGCTCTTGTCCTAGGTTTAATAATGGATTAAACAATAATCCTCAATTTGGTAACTTTATATTGCGCGAACCTTTATTTCAGGTCTTGTTGCCATGGCAACAAGTCGTGAAAATATTTTAAGATTTTTAAAATTAACGACTTCTTTACAAATGACTGCGCACAAGTCCTAGGTTTAATTATGGATTAAACAATAATCCACTATTTGATAACTTTATATAACGTTATCCTTTTTTTCAGGTCTTGTTGCCATGGCAACAAGTCGTGAAAATATTCAAAGATTTTTAAAATTAACAACTTCTTTACAAATGACTGCGCACTAGTCTTAGGTTTAATTTTGAATTAAACAAAAATCCGCAATTTGATCACTTTACATCGCGCGAACCTTTATTTCAGGACTTGTTGCCATGGCAACAAGTCGTGAAAACATTTTTAGATTATTAAAATTAACGACTTCTTTACAAATGGCTGCACTCTAGTCCTAGGTTTAATTATGGATTAAACAATAATCCTCAATTTGGTAACTTTATATAGCGCGAACCTTTATTTCAGGACTTGTTGCCATGGCAACAAGACCTGAAATAAAGGTTCGCACTATTTAAAGTAATAAAACATAGGATAATTGATAAAATCATTGTTAAACCTACTAGATCTAGTGCGCGTTAATTTTAAAAATATTTGAATGTTTTCACGACTTGTTGCCATGGCAACAAATCCTGAAATAAAGGTTCGCGCTATATAAAGATACCAAATTGAGGATTATTGTTTAATCCATAATTAAACCTAGGACTAGTTCGCAGCCATTTGTAAAGAAGTTGTTAATTTTAAAAATCTTAAAATGTTTTCACGACTACTTTTCAAATGGCTGCGCACTAGTCCTAGTTTTAATTATGGATTAAACAATGATCCTCAATTTGATTTTTTTATAAAGCGCGAACCTTTATTTCAGGTCTTGTTGCCATGGCAACAAGTCGTGAAAACATTTTTAGATTTTTAAAATTAACGACTTCTTTACAAATGGCTGCGCTCTAGTCCTAGGGTTAATAATGGATTAAACATTAATCCTCAATTTGGTAACTTTATATAGTGCGAACCTTTATTTCAGGACTTGTTGCCATGGCAACAAGTCGTGAAAATAATTTAAGATTTTTGAAATTTACGACTTCTTAACAAATGGCTGAGCATTAGTCCTAGGTTTAATTATGGATTAAACAATAATCCTCAATTTGATAACTTTATATAGCGCGATCCTTTATTTCAGGTCTTGTTGCCATGGCAACAAGTCGTGAAAACATTTTAAGATTTTTAAAATTAACAACTTCTTTACAAATGGCTGCGCACTAGTCCTAGGTTTAATTATGGATTAAACAATAAACCTTTTTTTGATTGAAAATTTATTTATTACTCAATGAGTAGTCATC